CCTGGCGTTCGCGAGTAGGTAACTCTAGTCTAAGGCGCCTCTGCGATAAGGCGCGTTATCCTGCCCTTCCTTATCTTTGCAGGGAAGGTTCTTATTACCTCCTAGTTTGTAGATCTACCTCGCGACTAGATTATTACTATCTCTCCTACTAGCTGGATTAACAACGACCTCGCGCTTACGTAGCTTAAGCACTTTAATGCTTATACAAAGGCGTCCTCTATTAGGGCATATAGGCTGCTTATTATTAACGACTATAAGAGCTACTACTTAGTAGATTTCTAGGACTACTGCAAGGAGAACAAGATTATCGCTCTCTGCATGCTACCTTACCTATCGCACCTCCTGCAGCCTCTTAACGTTGTCCCTTACTCGCTGTTAAAGCGCTACTACAGCGATAGGATCTTGCTCTTAGCACGCAGCCGCATCTACTATATTAACAAGGAAACCTTCCTACTAGCCTTTAAGGAAGCTTATAAGAAGACGTTTACACTAGAGAACGTTCGCGCAGGCTTTTAAGGTACTAGACTAGTCCTATATGACCTAGAGGCTATGTTATTAAAGCTAGATGTGTAGCTGCGTACGCTAACGCTACCTGCACTAGGCACTATTACTTAGGAGGCGTAAATACTACGCAACGCCTGTAAGATAGAGGCGCAATCTACGCTAATTTAAAATTATATGCGAAACTACTAAGAGTTACTAGTAAGCTTATTAGACGAGCAGGTTAAGCAGCTAGGTAAAGGCGCTTAGCAGATAGCTTATAATATAGTGTTAGTGCAGGAGGAAATAGGCCGCCTTAAAGACGCTGTTAACACGCTCATAAAGCGCAAGACTTGTAAAAGGCGGTATATACGCGCAAAGGAGACTCTAACAGTTAGTGAGGTATCTAACTTAATTGCTAAAATAGACGGTAGTAGGCGTAAGGACAGCGAGACGCCTATAAAGAGGGTGCGCGCAGAGAGGCGTTGCGGCCGTTGCAGCGAGGTTAGGCATAACTCTCGCACCTGTAAGGTAGAAATAGAGGATATAGATAATAGCGAAGCTTCTAAATAATACTACACTGTCGCGATAGTACAAAAATTTGTTGTAGTAATGTAATGCATTGCTGCTTAGGCATTTTAGTAGGGTAAAGTAGCCAGCTCGGTTAGGTAGCCGACTCGGTTGTAAACCACGTTATGGATAAGTATATTATTTAAGTACACTACACATATATAGTCTAAATGCCCGCTTAGCGCTTTATTAATATATACTTAAAGGCTTACTATGGCGTTAGTAATCCTAAAAGGCATAACTAAGTACTTAAAATGCCTGTATTAGGTTCTAAAGGCTGTTTCTACTTGTCCCCTGCTCTAATTTGTATACAGTAGTAAGCATCTTTTAGATTAAGAGTAGTATAGTAACGTACGCCTAACAGGCAGTCTAGGGTCTCTCTAATAAGCAGGAGCAGGTAATAATCTTATATAGTAATAGCGTTTAGGCCTTAATAGTCTACGCATAGGTAGAGTATACTATCCTTCTTTAGTACAAAGGGAATTAGTACGCTAGCAGGGCTTATACTATAGCAAATCTATCCTTTACAGAGGGCTTCCTTTATATATTCTTAGAGCAGCTAAAGCTTATAAGAAGAGAGGGTGTATAGTAGCTTATATAGTAGTTCTTTACCTAGCTAAATAGAGATTATATAATCTAAGCTATTGTAGCTTAGAAGAGTGACCACCTTCTTATTATTAAACATATCTGCGTACTAAGATAAAGCAGCAGGGATGCGTAGCTCCTGCGCTGCATAGACGTTGTATATGCGTACCTTATATTCTAGGTTAGTACTAGTAGCCTGTAGTATTCCTAAAAAGTAGGTGTTAGAGCTAGTACGCTTTGCATCTTTTATAAGGTTCCTAGTAGTTGCTAACTTACTGTTAGCTTTTATATTTCCTTAGCGCTACTTCTAGTAGCTATAATTAATAAAAATGTCCTATTGTTTTAAAAAGGATTTCCTAGGAGTAAGGGCAGTCCTTCCTTATCTACTCTATATGTAGTAACGTAAGTGCAGCGCTTTATAGTATTGTTATATATTAAGCGCTCTTAGAACGTGTAGGCTGCGTAGGTGCTTTAACGTTACGCGCTAATCTATCCTAATTTTTGGAGTTCTGCGTTCTTAATAGGCGTTTTGCTTATTTCTACTACTGTCCTTTAGCAAATTAGGCTTACATCTGCTTAAAGATCTAGGATAACACCTAGTTCTTTTCCTAGACTAGAATCAACGCTAGCGCTGTATATGCGCTTTATACCTAGTAAGACATCTATAGGCAAGCGCCTTACTAATCCTTGGATTTTAGGGAGGCTTAACCTTTTTCTGTCTTATTAATATTAATAAGTAGATAGTTAGGGTTATCACTTTAGCACTCGTTCGCGTAGTACCCCTTCTTTTAGTATTTAAAACACGTAGTAGCATAATTATCTTTTAGTTTCTTAAGTAAGTCGCGCTGTAGAAGTAGAGGAGAAACCTCCCTTCGCTTCCCTTTAAATGCGCTTTAGGTAAGTTACTTATACGCGTAAGGTGCTCCCTGTAAATTCCTCTCTAGCGTAGATGCTAATGTAATAAGATCCTCTCTAGTTACTAGGATCTAATAATAGTTAGTAATAGCTTACTATAGTTTAGGCCTTAACTTAGTAATTAAGTGTTGCACTCTTTATTCTTTAGTATAGGCTGTAAGTTAATCTTCTAGAACCTTAAGGTAGGTAGTAAAAGATTAAATAGTCAAGTCCTTTTGTTACATAGCAGCTACTTCTAAGCTATAGTTAATAGGGTTAGAGAGTAAGTTAAGCAGGTACTACTTAAAGTATTCCTAAGTTAGTATCTCCCCTTGCGCTTTAAAGGTGCGCTTAAAGTGCAAGTACTAAAGCTCCCTAGGTTCTCCCCCTCCTATATACTGTATAGACTAGATTACTTTATCGTAGTATATATAGAACTCCTATAGCAGCGATTAGAAAGCTATCTTACAAGAATAAACAAATTCGCGATGTTCCTTTATTGTTTTGCCCCGGTACTCCGCTGGGTCTTTGGGTTTCAGCGTGCGTTTCGTATACGCAGAACCTATCGGCTCGGCGGCGCCTTGACTGCGCGTAGCGGGGTCCTGCGCTCTAGGGGCATCGTCCCTTGATCCGGCTAGGGTTGCGCTTTGTTCACATCCTTCTAGTTGTGCGACTTCTTCCTCTAGCTCGCGTAGCTATTAGAGAGCTAGTAGTTCGTTGCGTTATTTCGTAACTACTATAATGCGCTCCTAAAGCGCTGCGAGTGCGTCTTCCTCCTGTTCTAGCGGTTCCTTGCGTAGTGTTCGTAATAGGCTTAAGAGGCTAGAGCTTCAGCTCCCTACCTTAGCTTAATTAGCGGATCGTGTAGAGGGAGCTATCCCTATTAGCCTTAGGGAGAGGAAGGATTATTATATAAGGGGTAGTTATAGGCAATATTATTTACTTTACACTATAAGAGAATAGTAGGGGAAGGCTCTGGATTACTACACTAGGTAGGGAGGTCGTATGAATACTTCTTGCCTATCTGCTAACGCGCAGGGCGCAGTTTATAAGCAGGTTTAGATGCTAAGGCGATAACGAGAAAAGCAAACATGTTAAGACCATAATCGTCCCCCTCGCCTAGCCTCTGCTATCCTGTGTTACAGTTATCCTAAGCCGCTGCCCCCTAAACGACCTTTAGAACCCTAGCTACCTATAGTTCTCTTCTCTATTAAATACAACTCTAGTATACCTGTGCGATAGCTCCCTAAGCGTAGCCCCTTATAGGCGAATCGTCTTAAAGACGATGTGGACGCTACGGTAAGGTAGGACACAACTCGCGCACATGTAATTAGGATGCAGAAGTAGATTCTAAGTAGAATAGTGTATTACAATTTCTAATTACTATTGTTAACGGTGCTGTATAGTCGTGTGTAGTCGTGGTTTTAGTAAGGTCTTAGCAAAAGTGCGTCACTCGCTTAGGTGCGTCACTCGCTTGTAAACCACGTTAGCGGAGGTCCACTTTAAGATAAGATAGATCTCGTGTTAGTTAATAGAGCAAGTAACCTAGTTCTCGCTAAGCTGCTAATAGGCTACGTTAGATGAAAAATTCCTAATCATCTCTCTTGTAGGAGGTAAGCCTTTGTTTGTAAGTCCTTTAATATATCGTATAAGCTCTAACTCTTGTTGTAGGTTAAGAGCTTGCCTGCTAGCATCCCTAGCATCCCTAGGCCCTGTTACGCCTCTCTATCGCCGCCCCAGAGTTAACTGGTCAACACTATGCTCTTTAGCAACTTCCTTTAATGTAAAGCGTTCTTCTAAACCTCACGACTTAAGATCTTAATTGCCTTATTAATTAGGCCATAGCTGTAGAGTTATTGCGCGTTGGAGTTGTAGTGTTAAGACGCGCGTTAGTGTTCTGCGGGGCACACTATGAATCTAGGCACACTGCGCATGGGCACATTAGTGGTTTCAACTAGTCGTGAAAATACTTGCCTTCCCCTTAAGATGTATAGTATTCTCACCCAGCGTGCTAATTGTCTTAAAGCAGCATCGTAGCGTTTAATTGTTAGGCTACTTATACGGTTATGATACAACACGAGTAACAGAACTTTAATAGTCTGTAGATATTCGTGTTATTTACAGGACGAATCGCTAGCGAGCCTCGCTAAAGCTACGTACAACGTACGTAGCGCGTACAGCATCCTAACACCACTACAACACTACAGCTCTAGGAAACACTAGGACTATATAACGCTGCTTTCCCTTACCTTCTCTAGACCGCAATTCTAGACTCTAATCTTATCCTATCTAAGCCTATCATAATAACACGTAGAGGCGGATTTGTTAGCAGAGTAGGCATGGGCGCACATAGTCGCATCCAACGCATGGAGACACACGTCCTCCTATTCACAGACCACACAGGGGAAGAAGCATTGATGATCTTCGAAGGCCGAGAAACATGCCCACTTCCCCCGCTCTACAGTTTCGCCATGTACTTCACGCACAAAGATGTAAATGCAGAAAACGTCCAGCCAGTCGAGCTCCTGGATGCCATCAGACGCGGTACCCCGCTGCAAAACTACCCCTGTCCCTTCCGTCTAGAGATATTCTTCCTCCCTGCTTCAAGTGAAGACGCTGCATCCGACGAAGCGTGCATTGCGCATTATCGCGAGGAGAAGCGCAGCCGCGGAGACTACATGCGCCAAATCGAAGCAGTCGACGCTCCAGGCAACAGCACTGGTACCGGAGGTCTCCCTGGCTTCGTGCCAAGCTACATCGACGACCCCTACGGCGACTTTCACCATGGCCGTCTGTACAACTACCAGGGACCCAACTGGCGCACGGATAAGCGGCCGGTCCGCCGCGTTTTCTTCGATCCTATCCCGCAAGAGCAATATGCGCCGATTGCGGAAGAGGCGGGGGAACCGGAAGTCCTGCCGCCGGTGAGGGTCACGCTGCATGCGATGCAGAAGAACGATACGGAGGATTCGGGTGCGAATTTTGTGGGTTTAACGATGCATGAGACGGCGAATGGGAAGACGCAGAATGAGACGGATGGGCCGTGGCAGGAGGCGATGGAGCGGGGTTGGGCTACTTGGTAGAGATGCATCTGATGGAAACGGCCTCGACCAAGTTGCTATTACCATGTCTTCCACGGGGTATGTCGAGTAGCGGTCATCACAATATGTCTTTTTCAACGGGCTTGTTTAGCTGAAAAATGGCAACTATAGCTCCCAGTATTAAGTGTAGATATGCATCCATTCCCTTGCTCTGCATACCCCATTTACCCCCCTCCAACCTTACTAGATTGTACAAAAAACACCGCAATTCCTACACACCCTGCTTCCCCAACTACCCCACATGCAAGGATCAAGCTTAACTCAAGATTCCAACACAGTACGCGTAATCCGGCCAGAAATTCGTCGTGCAATCATTCTGGACAGCCGGATTCCTACATCACCATTCCATTAGCACCACAAACCCCGCTTATCGCCTTATAAAAAGAAACTCACCATTCATAAAACGTATCAAGCCCAATACCGTAAAGTTGGGAAATAGTCCAGCAAGTATCACCCGCTATCACTCATTAGCCAAACCCACATTATTGAACAATGAAGCAAGACACCGGAGTGTCTTTGCTACAGGGATATACTTACAACCAACAACATGCCATTTATTGCAACCGGCAACTGTACCGGGGTGCGTGGGACCGGGTATCGCGGGCGCAGTGGACGTAGGTGGTGCGGATGTCGGGGTGGGGGTGGGTGTGAAGGTGCTGGAGATTATGTCGGTGGGGAGGGCGTCGGTGCTTACGCAGTAGCGGTAGTCTGCAAAACAATTATTAGATAAATTGAATGGCGACAATGGAGGGGAGGAGGGGAGGAGGAGGAGGCGTACTGAGCCATAGACCCGTGCAATCTGGTCCTACTGCGGGATTCATTTTATACAACTGCGCGATAGTGATGCGGTTTCAATCGAGGAACGACTGGCATGTCATTGGAGGGACGACGGCTTCGTATTCGACACAGCCCTCAATAGCGCCTTCTCTGATCGGATAGAAGCCTGCCGCTTCGTCAGGTAAGGTGGCGTTCACGGGCGATCCGCCGCCGCTGTATGCTGCCATGCAATATCGAAGGTCTTTTGCTGGGGCGCAGTCGGTAGAGTTAGTTGTGAGACATGGGTTCCTGGTTTGATTGTCAGTACTCCGCGTCTTTCTACATACGTACAAATGATGGGCTGTCAACAAAAATACTTACCAGTTCTCCAACTGCTCCAATGTAACCCCCCATCCTTTAGCAAGCGCCGCACAAGACGACGAATACGCTTGCAGTATCGTCTCGTCAACGGTCAAATTTGCGCCATTCATGAACAGAAAGCAATCTTTCCTCGTCCCCTTGGCCAACGGCGATGGAGTCGGCAATCCGAGTATCGGGGGCGCGGTAAACGTTGCCTTGGGGAGGCTGTCGTACGGGATCTCCGGCACCGACGTTGCAGGAGGCATGTAGTCGGGATGGCCCGGGTACTCATTCACGGGGCCCACGGGCTCGACACAGTAGCTCTCAAATGCAAAGAGGTTCGTGCAATTGTCGTTGATGCCTTGGTTGAGGAAGCGGAAGTCGTCGAGGCTGATGCTGAACTTGATGACGAGGAGGTTGCAGTATTCTTCTGGCTGGACTTGGTAGAACTTGGCGCAATTAGTGTTGGTGCCGTTGGCAAGGTCACCTGGAACTGGGGCTGCAGTCGGCGTTGCAGTGGGGATAGGCGTGGGGATTAAGGTTGTTGTTGGGTTGGGCTCGAAGTCTTGGTCACCTGGTGGAGTTACACAGATGGTGTCGCCGACGGACTTTTCGATCCTGTTGCAGAGATATCCAAGGACTGGGTTCCCTGATCACGAGGGGTAACTTAGTAAGCTGGTTTTGATGTTTCTGAAGAGGTCTTCTTCTCCACATGGAATGAACGGACGTACATGTGTATAATTGCACCTGACTTATCCTGTTCGCCTTGGCTATATCAAGACAAGTGTCACCCTTTTGGACTGTGTAGGTGCTGCAGGTATTCTGGATGCAGAGGTCACCTGTGGTAGGGAACTCTGCACAAAATGCCTTCAGTCCATTATCCGCAAGAAGCCACGACGTAGCGATGTTCTCGGCTTTGGAGATTGATCGACAAGTGTCACCAGACTTGATTGTGTACGTCTTGCCGGTACATTTTCCCGGTGTAGTGGGGGTAGGAGTTGGTCTGGTAAAGTCAGAGGCATGGTTCATGATATGTTCACAGTAATTTCTTACCTTTCAAAAGGGGCTGTCGAAGTCGCTAAAGGGAAGCCAGTTTTCGAACAGCTTGCCGTCAAAGAGCTGTGATTCGCCTGAAGTGCGTATCCGCCATTGATGGGTGATCCGGCCTGGAACTGGTATGCCTTGATCACACAATTATCGCACATGTCGATCTCCATTTGTTGTTGTCTTCCTATCAAATTGTGAGATTGATACCCATAGAATTTCAGCAATGTGCAATGATCTAGATTCTAGATCACATGATAGTTATGGTATTATTGCTAATTGACTTACTAATGATTGAAGACGGAATGGCTTCAGCAGATCCATTCAAACTGGCAGTCTCGTTACCACCAAACATTCGTAGAGATGGCGTGGCCCAGCACAAGCAGATACCACAAACATTTTCTCCTGCATGAAGCCTCCTCCTGCCAGACTGATAACCAGAGGTACACCGTCACTCTTTCCAAACTGATTTGGCACATACAAGTATGCTGGAAGGGGTATGTCTTTGCCGTAGGGGATGGCTAGTTGATGCTCGGTGACAGCTTTCTGAAGCGCCATGGTTTGCTTGAATAGGGCTTCACTCTTTACCAGCCTCGTAACCGCCAAGGCTTCCTCCGTATGATCTGGCGCGTTCAGCATGTATTGGCTTGCACGGCGATATTTTGTTGCTCGCAACGATGCATTATGGGCCGTAATAGTGTCGCTAGCCTTTCGCGCATCCTCGGCTAGCTTTTCAGCTTTTGTACTGAGCACCGACCACTGTGAACTTCATGAATACAGATTCCCGACTTCAATTTGTGCAGCAACTTCCAGAGCTTCTCCCATCTTACAACCGCCATAGCGTGTTGTGCTTAGAACGCGCAGGGATTCAAAGTTGGAGAACTCGGATTTAAACAATCGATGCATGATAGCAAAGGCTGAATGCTAGCTTTGTTGGTCGAAATACAATGCTGCAACCGAGATGCATATTTCCGACCGTATTTGGACGCTTTCGTTTACGTGAGGTTTTGATCAGAATGCCGAAAACGCCGTGAAGGGTCTCGGCCTACACGCTACTTTCAGCTTGTGAGTAAACACAACACATGCGCGAATACGCCGAACAGGGATCGATCTACCGGTCGACGCAGATAAGCAGTCGGGGATTGCAAACACTGGGCGGACCAGCATGACGGATTACAACTTCACTTTCCTGTTACACCATTTCCTTTTTATCCCGGTGAATTCGACAATGCAGGCACGACCACGGGGTGCGGAGGCCGAAATCTCTCGTCCGCGTCTCCTGTACTTGCACGTATTGTATCGTCTTCGCCGACGTCCACATCTGCACCTGCGTTCAAAATCTGGAACCTCTTCACGCGAACAACATGTCTACGACCACGGCACACGAGGGCGCTATCAAGGACGGCTTTTCAGCTACACAACACTCAAACAATCTAGAGACCAGCTTCGCACCAGAAGGTCAGGCAGACGATATTCCCCAGAGGGACACAACCCAGTACGGATGGCGATCCTGGATGATCATTCTCAGCCTCTATTTTACTTCCCTTCTCACCGCAATCGAGGCCACTGTTACTGCCACAGCGCTACCCAGCGTCGCTCGGGAGCTCGATTCCCGTGAGCTCTATGTATGGTTTGTCAACGCATTGTTCCTCTCCAGGTTAGTCCCACCTTTGCGACTTCAGATTTGTGGATTGCTTCATAAGACTAACTCCACATCAGCGCTGTCGTACAGCCTCTCTTTGGACAATTGGCCGATGTCTTCGGTCGCCGGTGGCCTACCATATTCACAGTCGCTGTGTTTGCGCTTGGCAGCGGTATAGCTGGGGGAGCGACTTCCGCTGGCATGCTCATCGCCGGACGTACACTACAAGGTGTTGGGCTTGGGGGCGTCAACATGCTCATCGACATCATTGTATGTGACCTCGTTCCGCAACGAAAGCGTGGCGCTGTTATGGGTGTCGTCTTTGCCTTCTTTGCTGTTGGCTCTTCACTGGGACCTTTTGTAGGAGGCATACTGGTCGACCGAGCCTCCTGGCGTTGGGTCTTCTACATTGGTCTCCCCATTTCCGGCGTCTCTCTGGTCTTTTTGATTGCCTTCCTGCAAGTTCAGTACGGAAAAGAGATGACTCTGAAGTACAAACTCAGGCGACTTGATTACACCGGAAACATCATCCTCACGTCTTCTGTGGTGTCTATCCTGATCGCTCTAACCTATGGAGGAACACTTCGCCCATGGTCGTCGTGGCGTACAGTCGTACCACTCGTGCTCGGACTTCTTGGACCAGTCGGATTCCATGTATATGAAGCTATCGGCGGACAAAAGGAGCCAGTCGTTCCTGCAAGAATTTTCACCAATCTTACTTCGCTCACCGCCTTCGTACTCGTCTTCCTTCACGGCATGATACTCTACTGGATCACTTACTTCCTCCCCCCCTACTTCCAGGCAGTGTTGTTGAGTAGCCCCACTCGATCCGGGGTCCAGACCTTGCCTACTGTTATCGTAGTGCTCCCCTTTGCAATCATTGCAGGTGGCTTAATCACTGCTACAGGCCGATACAAACCGTTGAACATCATAGGCTTTGCCCTTATAACCCCCGCCGCTGGGCTTCTTACCATGCTTGACTCTTCCTCATCAACTGCCGAATGGACAATCTTTCAAATAATAGGAGCGGTCGGTATCGGACTTGTAACAACCTCGGCGCTGCCGGCGGTTCAGGTCAGCCTTCCAGAAAGCGACGTCGCCTTGTCAACCGCTACTTGGGGATTCCTCCGCAGTCTTGGGTCCATTTGGGGAGTGTCCATTCTAGCAGCCATCTTCAACACGCGCTTCGGAGAGCTCTCCAAGCAGATCACCGACGAGAATCTACGATTGCTGTTACAGAACGGCGTGGCATACGAGAGGGCCTCCGCTGCTTACATTGACGCCTTTCACGAGCCGACGCGTACTGAGCTTATACAAACGTACCAGGGTGCACTTAAGACTGTTTGGCATGTTCTTATTGCATTTTCTGCCTTCGGCTTTTTGGCGACGTGGTTCCTCAAAGAGATTAAGCTCAAGGATACTTTTGAGACGGAATTTGGTCTCGAGACTAAAGATGAGGCGTAAGAATGATGGAAGTTGCATGCGCATTTTGTGTGCACTCTTTCGTTTCTCCAATGCCCGCGCTTCCCTGCACTGTTTTGATTCTTTGTTGGCAACATTCAATGACCTGATGAATCGTGTTCTATGCATTCGAGCCAGATGAAGGATATATCAGTATGCTAGATAGGTGCAAGCGTCATATCAATGCGCTTCTTCAGACCCTCATCTCGTGAACATTCCAGCACCTTCTGCTTCGTCAAAGCGACCGATCTTTCGCGGCTTACCACCAACCCTGTAGTCGTGTCCGACATGTAAGAGATGCGCTCCATCGACGTTGCTCGATTACGTTCGTCAAGCGCCTTCGCAAAGCGCTTGAGACTATTCTGGAATTCATCGTACATGCAGCCGGCAACATCCAAAACGAGGCGAAGCTGTGAGAGATAGCAGGGCGGAGCAACAAATGAGCCGATTGATACAGTCGGTAATGAGTGGGTGATCGTGTGGCGAAAAGTCGCTTTCAGGGCTGCGTCTTCGAGGGAGCTGGTCATCAAGTCGAGCCAAAAGGTAAAGATTCGTTCATAGCCTGTCAATAGCTTTAGGAAACAGGACATGGTGCATATTATGTCAGCATCTTCCACTTCAGCGTAAGTACGTTCCTTGAGATCGAGAAATGGGGCATGTCCATATTCAACGTCCTTGAGTAACTGTACAAACGCCTGTGATACCTGGGAGATTCGCGCATACACTTCCGGGTACTGGATCGATCCATCGAGTGCCCTAGATTCTAGACGTAGCGTACCGAGGTTGTGGAAGACGTCGTGGGCCACGGAAGAAAGCGTGGCTTCCACGACTGTGCTGCGCGCATGTGGTAAGATTTGGACGGTGGCACCAGCTCCCAAATCGTCTGTAGATAAGAGGGGGTTGACTCCATGGGCAATCTCACTATCCGAGAATATGTTGGTCGTTGCCGTACACGCATCATTATTATCCCAAAAGTCAATCTCCTCGTCTGGCGATAGTGGTATGGCAGCAGTGTCCGAGGCGGGGGTCAAAAGCGCGCTAAGGTTGGCTGGTTCCCAATCGCGCGGCTCCTGTGCTGTAGAACCTTGTACAGGTTCAGCAAGGCGGAATAGAACTGTTGTCATGGGTATACTGACGTGTTGTGACGCCCGCTGAACATCTCATCGCAGCTCTCGGTGCATCTGCTCGCCGCCGTCTATTCGAACTATTGTACGCTTGGCGCGGACTGAATACGCATGCTGAACCTGCCTGCGTACATCTGGTACAAGATCGCCTATTCCCTTCGCATCGGAGCTTCTTGGAATGACACCTGTCGCAAGCGTCTCGAATTTTGCTAACGGAGGTTGAAGGTGTAAACATGGTAGTACTCGTACCAGCGCGGATAATGCGAGCCCACCCTATCAATATATACTGTGCCGCTAATTGCGGCGTGGTAGGAAGGCATCCCATATACTGTTCTGATTGGCTACTACCCCAGATTAGGCGCCATTATACTTCGAAGAAAGAACATGTCGCTGCGTTCTTCAGTTTTCTCCATCATGGAAAGAGACATTATTCCGACTCGGACATATACCATGAAGCATCAAACATTCCATCTGAGACGAATTACGTATATACATTACGCGTTGACCGGTAAGCACCAGATGGGCTAGGGGAAAGTTCGCGCCAGGCCGCAGCTGTTGCATATGCAAGCGACATACAACTGGCGATGCTACTGAAATTAAACGTCAACACAGACAGCTTATGGAGAATCGTAAGACTTCCGACGATAAACGATAAAGGTGCGGTAATCTAGGTTCGGTGCTAATGTCTTATGGTCTGCGGCCCGCCATCTGCACATTTCAGACTTGTGTAAGATATGCAGAAACACTGCGCTACAACGCGCGTATATCGTCCTTTCCTTGCTTACATCGCTACCAACGAAAGGGTATACAACCACATCTTAGATATGGACTCGGCGATCTGCTGCATGCCATATGTAGGCCGGGTGTTTTGCTGGGTGCATGGCTTTTAGTCGAAGTTGACATGGAAAACCGATTGCGCTCCTTTGTCTCTGTATACCCAAACCATCAGTTCTTGACGCGAGGCGTCGTGATGTCAAACGCCACCAAAATCCAGCTTAAGCACTGGGCAGAAGACCGATCAGGCGAAGTCATCGCAGTGCATGTCGTTTGTCTTGTTGCGCTTGTCGTCGCTGTAACATTGAGGTGCTATGCACAGTCGTTCGTTGTGAATCCGTGGAAGTATGCTGATAACTGGCTCGCTCTCGTTGTGGCGGTAGGTAGCATGGAACGAGCTCGTAACCAGGCCTAAGCTGACACTTGGTTGAAGGTCCTTGCTACTAGCATTGTTAGATGCATGATCAAGGCTCTGGATCATGGCTTCAGGTAATACATAGTGGCTCGGAATGAGTCAAAAATTGGCGGTGACTAACGAGAAACAGCTTCACAATATCGCAGAAGATCCTATAGCGCCCTACCATTTCGCGACGATATTCATGGTACGTCTACGGTTGTTGTCCATTCTACGATACTGACTTGGACCCAGTATGGCTGTGTCATAAGCATCCTCCAAACACTGTGCATAACTTGCACCAAACTCTCAATCCTTAGTTTGTACGCTCGGGTCTTCGGCATGCTACACCGCGATATGTGTTTCATCTACGGTGTGTATGTATGTGCGGCAATGTGCATCTTTCTCGGAGTGGGCAGTACCTTGGTCTTCATCCTCCAGTGTATTCCAGCGCCAGTCTTCTGGAATCGCATATACCTTATGTTTACTGGAGTACCGGCAAACGGGCCTGCAGAAGGCTATTGCATGGACCATGTAATTTATGTGGTTGTACCCGTTGCTCTGGACCCCGTCATGGAAATAGCCATCATGTTGTTACCTAATCGCTTGTTGTGGAACCTCCAATTGCCGCTGAAGAAGAACATTGGTCTTACCATTACGTTTAGCCTGGACATCTTCGTGCCAGTAATAAACATCGTGCGCATCGTCTACCATTCACGAATCATCAATGGGAGCGATCTCGCATGAGACGACGTCGGCGGCTTGATTTGGACCATCCTGTGCATTTGTTTTGCGGTGGTATGCTCGAGTATTCCTCCATGCACGCCTCTACTAAAGGTATGGTCTCGTAAAACCCTGAGCGACTACGGCTACAGTGGATCGGTGCCATTGACGAATAGGTCTGGGAATACATCGAGACAGAGCGGACGAATAGCTGGTAAGAGAGAGCCTGCTGGAGGGCTCATCATATCTCGAAATCATGAGTGGATGATCGATTCTGAGAGCGTGGGGGCGATGAAGAAGACTTGTATAACTCTACCCATGGCGTTGACCGGCGTTGGAATTCCTGAAGTACATAGTACCTCCGAACACATCGTGCATTGTGTATATTGGGCGACAAGGCTGATGTAAAGATTTCTCGCTTTTGGGACTATTTTTTAAATAGCACAATGCTCTCAGGTAGGCGTAGAAAATATAAACTACTATTGATCTGAATACTGAAGTACATTGACGAAAACGTGGAGTACGTGTGAGGTCAGGAAAGAGGGATGGTTCAGAGCTTGAGAGGACTAACGCACGCTATGACCACTAGCTCCACCAAAAAAGTTCAACGCCAGGCGCGAACTTCATTGCAACCATCTGCGCATTCACCCACAACCAGCATCTGACAGACATTCAGAGCATGGCGCCGCCTTCCTTTTCGCCCGACACATCCATCTCTTCGCATACCCTCTCAATCGGCTCGGCCCAGCCACCGCATATGGAACTCCAACCGTCCGCCGCGACTTCGCCTTCAAGTCTACTCACCAAACCACTAGCCTTCTTACAGCCCACTCCTCAGCTCAATGCGACATTTCTGGCCGCTGCGAAACGGTACCTAGATCCAGTGGCTGCCGGTGTAAGCGCGTCACAATCGCAACGGCAACAAGATTTGCGCAAGAAGCGGAAGCGGGGCGGTGGCTACGACGATGATATTAGCGTGTTACACTTGAAGAAGGTGCATCTGGACGGATTTGGCATAAATCAAGTCTTCGAGCAGACGCGCAAGATTGTCGAGGCGACGACAGATGAGATTGAGCTTTCGTTGCCCGACCAAGATGACGGAGTCGTGACTGTGCTCGACGGCGAAGAAGACGACGAAGGCATCGAGGAAGCCGAGGAGCAATACCATACCGATTCAGACATAGGCGAAGAGGGTGTAGACTGGGAGTACGATGGAGTAGACGAAGACGAGGATGAAGAAGCGCTCGATGGAGAGCAGCAGGATGACGAAGACATCGACATGGAAGACGGAGCAGATGGCATCTTCTCTGACGAAGCATCCGAAGATGCGCCTGCAGAAACCTACCAACCCGATCCCAACGGCCTCAACGACGGCTTCTTCTCTATAGACGACTTCAATAAGCAAACCGACTTCCTAGAACAGCAAGATCAAAGAGGAGAGGGTGTGGACAGCGACGACGACGAGGTAAACTGGGAAGCAGACCCTATGGAAGACGGCCCATCCAAAGGCAAAGCCAATGGTTTTGCAGGAGATGCATCCGACGACGAGTCTGACGAGGGTGGACCAACCTTCGGCAACGCAGACCTAAATGCACCAGAAGGCGACAGTGGCGATGAAGACGATCTCGAGGAAGGTGACTTGGATGGTCTTGATACCGGCATGAACGCCAACAACGTCATGTACAAGGACTTCTTCGCACCCCCTGCCCAGAAAGCGAGCAAAAACAAGAGCGGCAAGAAGCGTGGACGACCCAACCCACACAACTTCCCCGAGAAGCAGTCACAACCTGAACAGGAAACTGAGGAGGACGTCGAAAGAACCATAGCCAAGGTGCACCGAGATCTCTTCGAAGATGACGACGATGTGGAAAGCGAAGGCGACCTCTCCGACGTAGACCCCGCAGATCCGAAGTCAAGGCGATCAACACACGAACGAAGACAAGCCAAGATCGCAGAGGAAATCAGGAAGCTAGAAGCGGCCAACGTTGCGAAACGAGAATGGCAGCTATCTGGTGAAGCTCGCGCAGCAGACCGACCACTGAACTCGCTTCTTGAAGAGAACCTCGAGTTCGAGAGAGCCGGCAAGCCGGTACCGATAGTCACGCAAGAAACCTCAGAGGACATTGAAGCGTTGATTAAGCGACGCATCTTAGCTGGGGAATTCGACGAGATACATCGCCGCAGACCAGACGATCTCGCCACCGGTCCCCGCCGAGGTCGCTTCGAACTCGACGACACGAAATCTGGCAAAGGCCTCGCCGAGATCTACGAAGAAGAGCACCTACGAGAAACTGATCCCAACTTCGTCGAAGCCAAGGACGAGAAGTTGAAAAAGGAGCACGACGAAATCGCCGGCCTATGGAAGAGCATATCTGCTAAACTTGACTCCCTCAGCTCCTCTCACTTCAAGCCCAAGCCTGCAGCACCTAACCTGGAGATTCGCACAGACGCACCCGCTATCGAGATGGAAGACGCGCGTCCCACTGCCGGCGGCGAAGTCGCCGGCGCAAGCATGCTCGCGCCACAAGAGATTTACAAGCCCGGTGAGGAGAAGAGCAAGAATGAGATTGTCACAAAGAGCGGTATGCCAGTCTCACACGAGGAAATGTCACGGGAAGAGAAGATGTCTAGACGAAGACGCGCCAAGGAGAGGGCGAAGAAGGCTGGCCTCAACAAACCGGTGGAAAAGAAGACCGAGGGTAAGGAGAAGAAGAGGGGCGAGAAGAAGCAGTTACTCGGCGATCTTAAGAAGGGTGGCGTACAGATCATTGGACGGAAGGGTGTGCTTACTGATGTTGAGGGCAAGGAAGTCAAGGAGGCTGCGAAGAGGGGCGCGGGAAGCTTCAAATTATAAGACACGAGACTGAGGCTAGAGTTTGTCTTTGAAAAAGAATATGAGTACATTCCAGCGGTTCCAATTGACTTGTCCTTAATTCTTATATGATTCCATTGCTCCAGGTTATATCCCAACGAGATCTTTGTATTTACTGAAGATGTACTCGATCACGTCTAATGATGTTTAGCAGTCGTATGTTCGCGTAATGTGACAGCAGACAACGTAGGTAGCTCAAACACGCAACGGTCTACAAAAGACATACCTCTGATACTCCGCAATCCTGATAATGCATATATATACAAACACGCAACGTCGTTCTAGTTGTATCATCAAAATCATATTTACATTCAACGTCATCATCATCCATGCCCATCCCAACTCATAAATTTCATAGCGCAATCATACCGATTCCGCTCACAACAACTCCAAGCACCATCCCCAATACGCCCCAACCTTCTACAAAACTCGCCTGGCTGCTACTCGGCTGCACCTTGTCCGTCACAGCCGACTGACCACTCGCAGTCGCAGTACACTGCTCACCACATGCATACCCATTGGGGCAGCAATTGCCCCCTGCATCCGCAGGGCAACTATACCATGCACTGGGACAGCTTCCCGCGCTCGTCGCAGCATCCGTAGGCGCTACAATAACAACCCCATTCGTATTGACGATAGTCTCCGTACCCGGTAACGCACAAGATCCCGTGGTCTGGCAATCCCTTCCTACGCGGCAGCAACCAGAGGGGTAGTAAGCGCTGCAGACGTAGAAGCCTGTGGGGCAGATGTTGTCGCTCGGAACGGCATCGGTGGTTGTTACGACGGCTTCGCTGGTGGGACGAACGGGGGCGTCTGGTGCGCGTGTGCTGGAGGGGTTGTCGTCGTCACCGAGACAGGAGGCGCCGGTTGCGCAGGTGCGGCCGTTCATACAGCAGCCGCCACCTAGGGAGGCGGGGCAAGAGAACCAGCCTGTTGAGCAGGTGTATGCGGAGCGGGAGGTGGAAGAGGGCGTTGAAGAGGGCGCTGTGCTGGTTGTGGAGGTGGTGGTGGTTGGGACTGCCGCAGCGGTTGTGGTGGTTGATGATGTTGTAGGAGCGGCGGAGGAGGTTGAGGTCGAGGGTTGGATGAAAGATGTTGATGTACCTTCCGCGACACCTATACGGATTAGTCTCCAATGCGACGAATTTCGAGGACAAAGGTTTGTGACTTACATCCAATACCCTGGCACTTGAAGCCCGGTAAGCAACAGCCTCCATTATCCGTACCAGGACAACTCGTATACCCACTCGCTTCATCACAGCTCACACCACCCGCGCAAGTCTGTCCATTGGGACAACATCCCACATCACCTGCATCCGAGCTTCCAGTAACACTTATACAAGTGCTTCCCGTACTGCAGCATACATCCGGTGCACCAATACTCTCGCAACTCGTCGTTCCATCTGGACACTTGAACTGGCGGTTCAGAAGTATGTCCCTGACGTGCATTCGCGCCAACCAGTCAGACTGGGCTAGGGGGCGCAAGGGCGAGAGGGCTTGAGATGTTGCATTGCCAAAGACGTCAAAGTCGGATCGTTTCGAGGATGATTGAGAGGGCTTGTCGGCAGCGAATATCCAATTATCCAGCATGAACATCTCGCCCTCGTCCAAGCTCATCTTCTTCACTCCAATGGGCTTCTCATGTTGTAGCCTCTGCTTGACGCTCAACCCTCTTCTAGCATGGACTTCGTCCTCGGGGAAGTACTTGAGGTGTCTGGGCACATTATGCGGCCATTGCGACTCTTGGGCGATTACGGGTGTTGTTGCGCACAAAGCGATGATAGCAGGCGGCAGGGCGAGCAGGTGTGGTAGATACATTATTTTCAAAGCCGGAGGATATTTTGGTACGGGATAGCTGCAGGAAGAAGCATGACAAGCTCCGTGAGAATTGTGGTTGCTTGCTCGTGGTTGGGACGTAGTGGCTGGTGGAGCGCCCGGAGGTACGATTCAGGTAATTGGCGAGGCTGGGATGCGTTGGCGGCTCACCGCCGGTGGCATGGCAGGGAGCATCCTGAAGCACGCCGTTGCTGTAACGATGAGGCTTAACATCTGCTAGTAGCGCATGCTAAGGTAATGCATGGTGTACTAGCGTTGGATGCGAAGAAGGATCCCCAAACGTCATGGCGGTATAGTTGTTCCGCTGATTCCGAACCCTGAGATCGCCAGGGTGTCTTGACACCCATCTAACAACATATCAAAATTCACAACTACCACTCTACCACAATCAACGCATACATACTATTACACATAGAACAATGGATTCGGTCGCCCGGCCATTACTGGGCTCACTTATTATGGAGATTAATCTGTGGTAATCCTAAGGTGGCAGGAGTGCACATTCCTCAGTGTGGTGAAGCCACGGCGTATCGCTTGCTGGGCAACCATTTTCATACTCACATCATTGTCATCGGACCATCAAGTAATCAAACGAGTACGATGATCAAAATCAACTCCATCGAAACTTTGAGATGATATATACGGTAGGTGGAGTTCTCTCGTAATATCCACTGAGTATCCGTACCCATGGACAGTTCAAATATCCCGCCTACTCATCCCCAAAACCACTGGAATCATGTTGCAGCGCGTGTCGGGTAGACTTCCAAATTCCTAGCCTGTGGCGTCAGCGACAAGTCGTCTCCCTCACGACCTTTGTTATACCACCAGAGCTTGTCGAGCAGAATGACAGTTCAACGCCAGATCAAGCCTGCAAACCCTTGCGAGCTTTGCGCTCGCTCATGCGGGAGTTCTTTAGCATGGCGACCCATATGAAGCAGGGTACGAATGCGCAAGTTCCCAGCATGACCATGACTTTCTGTGCATCGCCAAAGGCATGAACCACGGCCTCACGCTCCGGACTGCCCCATGGCAGTTCCAGTTGAAGGCTGATGTCGCCGTATATTATCGGAGCCAGGTGCTTCGAGCCTTCAGGGAGGTATTCGGCAAGTTTCTTAGGCACAATCTGGGCCCAGAGGGTGCCGCTGACAGACTGGCCAATGGCACCACCGACCGCGGTGATGACGTTGAGGAGTGCGATAGCAACCGCGACCTGGTCATGCGGAACAGCCATCATGATGGCGACTTGCTCAACGTTGTAGAGCATGGCGCTTGCCATGGCGCCAAGTACCTCGACTAGGACGAGCAATGCGATGTGGGTGCCAGGCGTGCGGAGATGAATCAACAAGCCAGTCATGAGTAGTTGGATAGGGACGGCAATGATGGCTCCCCACTTGTAGGTATCGGTATACTTCATTGCGAGACTGATGATGATGGCCCAGGTGCACGAGACAATGTTGAAGATGTTGGTGATGTATCCAGCCTTGGACACGGAAAGTTGGAAAACGACTTGGAGGTATGACGAGTACATCATCCGATAGGAACTGATTTTTGATATTAGCATAAATATTCCCCTACCGCAGGGAGACTTACTAGAAAGCGATCCAGGAATTGCCGCCTAGCAGGCATGCCGCAATAACCGAACGGTTTTTCATGAGATAGTATGGAAAGAAGGTCTTGATGGCGAAGAAGCGCTCCCAGACAACGAAGGCTGCGATAAGCAAGAGTCCGAAGACGATCATGCACAGGACCATTGGAGACGCGAAACCCTTCTTCTGGTAGAATGCAAGAGGCCAGGGAAGAAGAAGGAGGGAAAAGCCGCCAGCTACGAGCAGGAGGCCAACCACTGTGACAGGTCAGTAGCGATTCGTGTTTTGACGGGAGGTACGACTTGCCATCGAATTCAATACACCAGTGTTTGATGCCCTGAAAAACTGTTCTACTGCTCGGGCTGCGTCCTTCGACACCCGATCGCCTTGCTCGCATACCCATGAGCCAGAAGACAGCCCAAAACGACAGGGAGAATACTGGTGTCAGGATGGCAAAGGATCCATAGCCCCAGCGCCAGGTACTGTAGGTAAGGTAGGTTTCGCCAAGCTCAGGACCAGCGAAGGTGTTGACGACGTAGGGGAGTCCAGTGAACGACATCCAGATCAAACGGTTCTGCATGAGCGAAGTATCGGCGATGAAGATGTTAAAAACGTAGTCGACACCATTCATACCTGTCCAGTAGATGACTTGTGCTGCGCAAAAGGTCTGGACGTTTTGACAGAAAGCCATGAGGATTAGTGCTAGAGAAATCAGTCAGCCGGACAAATATTTTAAAGTCGGAGTGGATGGACTTACAGGCGACAATGAACATTAAGCACATAAGAAAGCCTTGAGGTCGGCCGACGAGGTCAATGAACTTAGCCAGCGGTAGCTTCGATACGCCTCCGACGATGTTGGCTACCACATCGGTCATGGCAGTGAGACCGTGCATCATGAAGGCGGAGGTGACGTAGGGTCTCCACGAGAAGTTGGCTTGTTGTTGGAGAGAGTTGATGAAAGATATGAGCATAATTCTGAACTGTTAGCATGGCTGCACGTATCGCAACAGTAGGAAGCGGAAATCATAGTCGAGTAGGGGAGGGTTCGCCAAAAATGAAAATAGATATGCTTACGCTGCGTAGGCGGCGATGAGCCAATTCTTGGTCCAAATAACGGCCAGATTCTCCATTTCGGCGGGTCCTCTCAACTGCTCAACGTCGTTTTCTGCGGTACTGGGCAATGTATTCATCGTCACATTGCTGTTGCTATCGTACTTGACCGTGGTGCTTGGTGGTTTGACCGAAGTAGTATCGGCGACGACTTCGAGGTTGTCACAGAACTCGCGCTGCTCGGAGGGATGCATTCCGGCGATCTTCTCCATTTGAGGCGCATATCCGCTCGCCATGTTGTACTATCAGTGCCTGGTACTGCGATAGTTCAGCTTCTGGGAGTGTCGTCTTTGCCAATCGCGATGAGTACCTTGTCACGTAATAGTTGCAATCGACTTGCAGTGGCGGCGATGTTGCGAGGAATTGACCTGGTTGCGTTTGCGATGCAGTTTAATGGTGATGAGTCCAGCTGATTCTGCCACAAAGTCCTAAAAGGCAGGCTTGAGAATTGTGCACGGACAGTGAAGGTGAAGAAGAGATGAGCAAAAGCGCGAATTTAAGATTCACAGCGAAGCACGTCGAAAAGAAAGCGGGGCAGTCGTCATTACTGATCATACAGTGTCGTGACGGTGAATCTGAGAGCACGAGAGGAAAGAGCGTTGCGCCCTCTGTCAGTTACGATGGTGGTTAAGCGCAAACGTGTAAGCACCTGACGTTTGAGCGAGTGCTACTTACTAACTGAGCACTATCATACAGTTAACCCGACTGTTAGCCTTGATAAGGACTGTATACATGACGCTGTTAGGATGGCACTGATGCGCCGGGATCCGTCGTACTTGCAAATATGTAGTGAACCGACTGACACCCTCTCAGCCGCTTAAATCGTGGTACCAGAGTTCAATAGACCCTGAACTTGTGCGGCTCTGCTCCAAAAGATGCTAAACGCGCAGATCTACCCAAAAGCATATCGTGCGTGGAAAAGTGACGAAGGTGGACGATGAACTGGTACCGTCGACATGGCTGCAAAGGATATCTTGACTGCAGATCAGGGTGCGATAAGACCTCCAAGAATATCATTCGAGTCTAGTCTAGTAACACAAACTCCTACTGTACGCGTGGCTATGCGTTGAGACTGATCACCTGTTCACGCTCTGGGAAACCACACTTCCTGTCGCAGAACAATATCTGCAGTGCTCTATGTGAAGCAAATGTTGAAAGCCTCCCCAGTTTATCGTATACAAACGCCCCACTATCATGCCGCCAAAACTCCTCAAGCCTCCTGATCAAACTCACGTACTACGAAGTCTGTAGGCTGACCTGCTCCACACCTCTCGATACCTCCTCTTCCGCGGTCTTCGCTGCAGGTCCGTCCTGTCCCTTCTCAGCAGCCTCGACACTCTTGTCCGCGCCAGCTGCTTTCTTCGCCTTCTTGCGCTCCTTTTCTGCCTTCTTAGCTGCCGCCTTCTTGGCTTTCTCCTCCTTAGCCTTGCGAGCCTCTTCTCCACCAAACTGCTCGCGCCACTCCTGCTCCTTCTCGGGCTTAATTTGGCTGAAGAGATAGCCGGCGGTGCCGATCTTGTGACCGACAGGTAGTGATCGTGCCTCCCAAGTGTCGGGGATGATGAGGAATTCGGCATTTAGTTGCGAGAGAATGGCGTCGGTGGTATCGGGCCTGTATCACCGTTAGTCACGTGTTCTACAGTTAAAGTGCGCAGTTGCGTAGATCGTGGAGAAGCAAAACTTACATGTATGGTTGGATCAGACTAGCGAGGAGATGAATCTGACTCAGGGCAAGGCCAACGACAGCGGCACAACGATCTGGCTGCTCGGTAGCCAGCTTGTTGTCCAGTCGGTTGTCTTGCAGCAGCAGGTTACCCAAGCTCGACACGTGTAGCGCTGTGGCAAGCGCGGCGCGAATCTTGACGTCCTCTAGCTCGGCAATGTATGTCTTGAGAAGGTCGTTAACCTTCTTCTTGTGCTCCGTGAAGTAAGGATCATCGAACTTTGTGTAGTCCGGCACGACCGAATCGTAGATCTTGGCGTTGTTGACGAACTTGATTACGCGGTTGATGAAGTTGCCAAGGTTCTTGAGAAGCTCGTTGTTGTTGGCTGCAATGAAGCCGTCCCACTCAAACTCCGTGTCTCCGGTTTCTGGTCGATGTGAAAGCAGGTAATAGCGCCAGACGTCCGAAGGAATACCGGTCTCCTTGGCGTTGTTGCCGAAGACACCAATATTTCTTGACTTGGAGAACTTACCCTTCTCGTAGTTCAAGTACTCTGTGGTTGAGATAGTGTTGAGCATAGTCCAGTTGTCCTTGGTACCAATCTGCGAGCAGGGGAAGACGACCGTGTGGAATGGCACGTTGTCCTTGCCCATGAATTGGTATAGCTTGACGTGCTCTGGGTTGTGCCACCATTGCTTCCAGTCCTCGGTATAGGTTGCTGTGATCGAAACGTAACCTATGCAGGCATCGAACCACACATACATGACCTTGTCCTCGTAGCCCTGTTGCTGGTCAGCTGAAGCTTGTTCAATCCTCATGAATCTATCGTACCTCAAGCGGCACCGCAGTTCCCCACTTTAGATCACGGGTGATACCACGCGGCCTTAGGCCTTCCTTGAGCCAAGATGAAGTAATCTGAACACCATTGGAACTCCAGTTACCCTCCTTGCTTGCCTTCTTGAACCACTCCTCTTCTAATGGCTGCAGCTTATCCAGACACAAGTAAACGTGCTTGGTTTCGCGCGGAACCGGTGTGGCGCCGTCAAGCTTACAGCGTGGGTTCTTAAGCTCCAGAGGGTCGAGAAGGTGTCCACACTTATCGCACTGATCTCCACGCGCGTCTTCGTATGCGCACAACGGACATGTGCCCTCGACGAATCGGTCTGCCAGAAAGCTCTTATGTGTTTCACAGTATGGCTGTATAGTTGTCTGCTCCTCAAGGAATCCATTCTTGTATAGCTTGGTGAAGATGTCTTGTGCGATATCGGTCTGTTGCTGGGTCGGGGTACGTCCGAAGTGGTCGAAGCTGATGTTGAACCACTTGTATACTTCGCTGTGCAAAGCATAGTATTTGTCGCAGAGCTCTTTTGGGCTGACCTTTTCCTCTATAGCCTTAGTTTCTGTCGCTGTGCCATACTCGTCTGTTCCGCAGACATATAATGTGTTGTAACCTCGGGCGCGGGAGAATCGAGCGAAGACATCGGCGGACAGAACGGAACCGACGATGTTGCCCAAATGTGGGACGTTGTTGACGTAGGGTAGCGCACTGGTGATGAGCACATTGCGCTCGCCCTCGACGGGGAGGATCTTCTTTGCTGTCTCAGTCATGGGAGGTCTAATGCTACCAATGGATTTTAGTTTGTCGTTGTGAACACAGGACGAACTATGTATGGCTTACTCGGGTGTATTCGGGATTACGTGATTGATTGTGAAGATAGTGTGAGAAATCAGAGCGCGCAATGGGGGTATATGCAGCTCTGTGTTTCCTTGGTCGAGTTTCTGAGTCAAACGCGAATGGCTGCACACACAGTGGATGTGTGGTGCAGCTGCCCCGCCAAAACTTACCCCGCCAGCCACACTGACGCCACAAGAATGGCTGGACCCTCCAGGACTGAGTCTGATCTCTGCAGCATCGAGACGACGAAATTGGTGCCTTGAAAGTGACACCACTTGAATAGTGATTCGATAGGTCTCCAGAACTCAACGTCCTCCGCTGTTCTACAGAGCACCCCAGGTTCGAAATCTTTTCAAGTAAGAATAGAATACGGCTCCCCCCCGTCACAAGTGACATATCATCTGGAAAGTCAAACGGTCAATTTACTACTCAATCTCGTATTACCCATTATATTTCCCGGGAGTCACCGAGTTCATAGATCGAGCACCATCACAATGCCATCCCCATCGGCAGACCCCACCGACCCCTTCGACGACCTCCTAACCCTAGAAGACACCCTCTACACAGCCGCGTACGACCTCGGTGTCTCAGATGGTGCCCACGCCGGGCGAATCGAAGGACGAATCTTCGGGTTGGAAAAGGGGTTCGAGAAGTTTGCTGAATTGGGTCAGCTTCATGGACGAAGTGTAATATGGGGTTCACGACTACCTGGTCTTGTTTCCCCTTCCGACCAAGTCAAGAAAGAAGGGTGAAGTAGCCATGACAAATACTGTTCAGGATGATCAGCTAACTCACTTACAGTACGTCTGATCTCTCTTACTATACTTCTGCGTAGGTGAAAGGATTAGTAACAGAGTATATCACACTTAAACCTATGTAGTAGGCAAGTGTATTGTCTTGAGGCGTTGTCCTTGGGCGAATGCTCTTGACAATCTACTATTTGTGCTAACCCTCCATTGGAAGAAGAAAGAACAGCACTGCCGTCACTCCCCAATTCCACCCGCCTCCACTCCAACACAACTCTGCTCCACTCCCTAACCGACCCCCTCACATTCGACACTGCAAACACTGAAGAAGCAGTCGCAGATTTCGACGACAGGTTCAAGCGTGCGGGGGCTAAGGCAAAAGTGATTGAACGTATTGTTGGCGAAACAGATGGTTTTGTGAAATCACCTGACGGGTCACCTGCGCCGTCTGGGAGAAGCAAGAGTGGGCCGGTACGTGTTAGTGGACAGAGTAAGACTGGAGGTGGTGGTGTGAAGAAGGGGGATGATAGTATGGAGGATTTTGCAGGGTCGAGGTTGCTGCGCTGAACCAATCCCTGAGTATCCATGGATTTTGCACAAGCGGTTCAGACGAGTTGGGAAAATATTGAGCCTCGACTCGACGGGGTAGTGATCGACGCAGCTGGATTCATGGTTGTGTCGTGGGGCCTGCCATTACCGGATCACGCGAGTTGACATCGTAACAACCACGGGGGTCATGGTTCAAGATTGGAGTGATAATGGAAGGAACGAGGTCGAACGGTTGAAAACCGATGTCAATCTGTCGAGAGTCACATCAAAGAGAGAGAAAGAGAAAAGGAAAAGCACTAGGCTTCAAATTACTTCGCTATCCTAGAAGGGACCCGGGCACTACCCAGAGTCTTAGCCCAACCACTACACCGTGCTATGACATACGAGATGAAGAAAGTAATAAGGTCCATCGTAACTAAAAGGATATTTGAGAAAGGTGTCAAATCTGAAGTGTCGCAAAGTCTCCTGCCCTCTCTCCCTGTCTTTTCGTGCTAGATGATGCACTGGTATCAAAACATGTTCGCAAATCCCCGTGCTGTAACGCACTTCTAAACCGCCCGCTCAGATAGCATCGATCATAGGGACAGGCCTCTCCATGCGTGGCTCCATACGCGGTGGTGGAGGGCCATTCAGCTTGCCCCCGTTACTATCGATGCGGTTATGATTCGGGAACTCCTAGTACCCGTTCATGGTCATGCGCTGGCTGCTCCTGCTGAGCTCGCGATCGGCAGCAGGTGAGATGGGACGCGAGGAGTGACCCTGGTGAGAGCTCTCCTTGAGGGCAAGCAACTGCTTGGCGCGGAACGACTCGTAGTGGATTTGTGCGGTCGTCTCGATCAGGTCTTGCAGATGGGTGCGAGTGAGGAAGTTGCGAAGGTAGACGAATTCGCAGTGGTTCTCGTCCTCGACTGGTGCGTGTTAGTGAGGTTTGTACAAGACAGAGACGTAGCTGGCTTACCGTTGATAATGCCCCACTTGTTCTGGCGACCACGGACGTTCCTGCCGTTGACAACAACAGTCCTCTCAGAGCCAACAACGGCAAAGGGAAGGAGCTCCTGTTGCGAGTCAGCTGTTGCCCAATCGTAGTCCAACAGTGCAGAATCTTACCTTGATGGCCTGCTTTGCCTGGACCTCCTCGTTGTCATCCTCCTCGTTGTCGTACGGGTACATGCGCAGGTTGTGGAACTGGAACTCCTCCTTTATTCGGTGCTTGAACTCGGCACGCTCCTCGAGGGTCAAGCTGTCGCTCTTTGCGATGACGGGCACGACGTTGACGAACTCACTCAGCTTCTTGAGCACGACAATGTCAATAGGCTTGAGAGCGTGGCCAGAGGGCTGGATGAAGAAGAGGCAGCAGTGGATGCGCGTGTCCTGGAGGTACCTCTCACGCTGGGCAGTGAGCTCCTTGCGGAGGTAGGCACTGTGCTGGTCCTTGATGTACTTGACGATGGGGTCCCAGCAGCGCTCGTTGTTGATCAGGTCACCGTAACCGGGCGTGTCGACGATGTTCAGGCGCAGACGGACGCCGTTTTCCTCGATGATGTGTGAGACGGGGTGGATGTTGGTGGTGCTGCGGACTTCCTCATCGGGCTGGAAGCGACCCTTGCTGTCCATGAGGTGCGAGGCGAAGAGGGTGTTGATGAGCGTCGACTTGCCGAGACCAGTTTGTCCTGTAGTACGCGTTAGATGCGTGCATGATGCGTGGCTAATTGGCCTTCTTACCAACGCAAATGACATTGAACTGGAAACCCCGCTTCACCGACTTCCTCTCAATCTGCTTGGTGATGCTGTCGAAACCGACATAGCTGTCCGGGAAGATGGGCTGCGACTGGTTCTGGTTGTATGTGGCAGCCATTGTGGATAATGTGAGCCTCGACTGCGGGATTGCAGATGATGGAGGGATTGGGGGTGGAGAATTAGAACTGAGGGGAGAAAAGGGTAGGAGGTGTCGTCGTAATAGAGTAAATAGTCAGGGTCGCTGCGCTGGCGACTTTCTCGTGGAGATGCAGGCGCGGGAAAGGGGGCAGCTAGGAAGCGAAAGCGCGCTAGTGTTCTGGCGGTAAGGCGGTGGGCGCGACCTGCGAGCTCGGGCCCCGTCGACTACCGGGGTGCAGAGACATTTTACAACACCATCACGAACATCGCCATATCGCGGCCTATTGTACTCCCGGCCGCCGTCAGTCCCACCTCTACCGCCATGGCACTCGCCCGCCCGCTCCCTCCGCTATGGCAAACGCTGCTGCCAGGCCTCAATGGCCCAATGCGGCCTGTTCTGAATTCGCCTTTCCTGCAACGCCTATCACAGCCTTTCGGAGCACTCAACACACCATTTGGCGCACTCGCGATACCCTCGCTATCGCTCCCTTCAATACCATCACTGGCCGATATTTGGGATGGCATACTCAATGCGGTGCCCAAGAAGAAGACGTCATATCGTAAGAAGCGACAACGGTTCATGGCGGGCAAGGGACTAAAGGACATTACGTCGCTGAACACATGTTCGGGGTGCGGAAGAGTCAAGCGGTTACATATCTTATGTCCCTATTGCGTGGATGGTTAGTGACTATGCATGTCTATTACGGGAAAGAATCCTGGCTAATACTTGTTATAGCCATCAAGACCAACATCTTCGGCCAGCTGAACTGGTCCATCCGCCGACCAACCGAGAAGCAAGCCAAGCAACTGGCTCGGGAGAAACGAGACGAGGCCCGAAGAATGCGCACTATGCAGCCTGACCCGCGGAAGGAGAAGGAGGAGCAAATATTGAAGCACACAGGCTGGAAGAGATGATGTGGTGGAGACAGTAAGGCTGTGAGCACATACTGGAGCACACAGGTTGGATCAGAGGATGTGACGCGATCGTAGAACCTGTGGGGAAGACTTGGCGGCATGTCAACAACATGCCCATCTCATCTGCGATGTATGCCAAGTGTGCTTTGGGCGTTGGGGATACTTGTACATGACAAATGTAACAACACGACAGATGGACAGAGGACCACGACACATACATAAACAGATGAAACCTCGATCAAGCAATTCGGGTGTCTTTAGCACCTTTGTTCTATCATATCCTAGTCGCGTTGGGCTTGCTCCTCTTATGATTACACCACTCGCAACCATTACTTCATCCCACTAAGACCCAACCCGCTCTCTGTCCTTGGCGGTGGACTGACGGTACTTCCCCCTCGTGATACAGTGCTTCCCCTCCTCTCGGCGCCACCCTTCCCCTCGTTCGCCTCTCTTTCTAAAAAGTCCTGCCACAGCTCCGCTAACGACTCCTTGTTACTAGAGCTACTAGCCATAAGCATAGGATCTGCCGCTGCGGCACTCAACGAGGGCGTCGATGGTGTTCGCCTGAACGGCGACAATGGGATGCGAAGGCCGGTGGAGCTGGATGCTGCGCCGGGTCGAGCAAGGCCTGCTTGCTCTTTTTGCTCTAAGACGTATTGTTAGAACAATCAAGCATAAGGACAAAGGCGGTGATTAGGAGGCATGTGTGTCTTACCATCTGTCCACCCTAGCAGTGCAGAAATGAGTTGCAGCGCTTCAAACTTCTTAGGATCACTCCGGTCTATGCTTAAGAAATGCAAAAAGTAGTTGGTGATGATTTGCCGATCGACATTGTCTTCCGGCCGTCCCTTCTTCAGTATTCGAAGCGCCTTTGTGAGATGTTCGTTTAGTGTTACGGCTTCGTGTCGTAGTTTACCAATCAGTAGGTTCTTCTCCTTGACCTCCTTTTCGAATGGCAGCGCTCGCTCAAGATCTTTCTGGGTTGATACAAGTGTTGCTTTTGCGGCGTTTGAGGCTGATTCCGCGGCTTGGACTTGTTTTCGGAGGTCGTTGATTTGCGATTCGTAGGTTTCGACAGACTTTTTGAGTTCGGCTTTTCGCACTGGGCATGGTCAGCGGGAATCTGCAGGATGCGTAGATGGTACTCACGGTTTTGTACTTCTTGTAGCGCTTTCTGCAAACCTTCTACGGCTTGGTTATTGGTGTCCCTGTCCCTGGCAGCTCTCTCGTATTCTTCTCTCATCGACTCAAGTTGGTCTCGTAACTCAGCATCCTTCTCGGCGAGATTCTCACGTAGTGATCGCTCGTTCATGGCTAGCACTTCCCAGTCTTGCATGGCTTGTTTAGCGTTCTCAAATTCCTCTCTTGCGTATGCTTCTCGCGAGATCAGCTCATCGCGCTCCTTGATCCAGTTTTGCTGTGAGAGGGTCGACCTGCTTCGTAGGGTCTCAATCTCGGATGCTTGAGCTTCCTTTTCCTGTCGTAGCTTTGCGAGCTCCTCTATGAGGCTGTTGTTATTCTCTTGCAGTTCGCGGGTCTGTTCTTCAAGGTCGGAAATTTGCGATTGAAACTCCTCAATCCTGGCCTACCCATTGTCAGTACTCGTCTTTTGCACGTCTCTGGAACACCTACCGCATCAGCCTTCAGCCGATCGCCCAGACTAGTCTTGATGGTATTGACCCTTCCCAGCAAGTTCTTGTATTGTGTCTCAAAGTGCTCCTTGCCTTCGTTGGCTTCGTCCAACTCCTCCCTCAAACTTCGTATCTCTTCCTCATGGTTTGAATCTGCTTCGTCCGAGGTTCCTGCATTCTGCTTATTTTGTACGTCCTCAAGACTCTTCCTCAACTCGGTGACTTCCTGCCGTAGCGCATCGCGCTCCTTCGCTATCGCGTCCAGGCGTGCGCTGGTGTCTGATGGAGGCGGCGGTGATGCGGAGATGCCTTGTTGCGAGCGTGAGCGTGCCAATCCAAGCGCAATTGCCGAGGAAATGCTGTGGTGTGGAGTACCATTTGTTTGTATAGTAGGGGACAGCGGCGGTTGTTCGTCGTCTACGTCGTCGGCGTCTGGATCTGTGGCTTGCGCGGTGGGGTTCTACGTTGGTAGCATTAGTAGTTGTGGAGATGCGCGAGCCTCCTATGCTTCTCATACATTCTGCTCAGCTTCATCCTCGACATCTTCGTCGTGTTCGTCCGCGTCGCTTTTGGAGTGGTCCCCATTCACTTTGTTGTCTGTTCCGTCCGCCTTGTTCGCAGTAGCGGCCTTCTTCTTGTTTTTCTTTTTTTGCGACTTGGACAAGGTACCTGCCATTGCCTGTTAGCCTCTAATTATCCGATGCTTCACCACCAAACGCGACGAGAAAGCGGAGTTTATGGACACCTCCGAAAGCTGCAAGCTCACCTACCACTTTGTTGTATGGGATCTGATGTCGTTGGCGCAGACATCTTGAAAGACGCGTAATTCAGTCGCTACCGCATCAAGAAGAGTCAGTCTAAGAAGGAAAGAGGAAAACGGGAATCCGAGAGCGCATTCGTGGATGTCTTGACTTGGCAATTCGTGTCCCGTTCTACGGTTTCGGCCCACGCGGTCCACGAGTGGCGTACGTCACTAGCCACATCTCGTCTCATCTACCCACGTCCCATCTTTAGATCAACGCATACCTGTCCACAATCACCAACACGAGTGCGAAGGGTTGAAAACCTGTTTTTCCACCAAGATACACGACTTGCTTGCGTTATCTGTCCTCCATACTCTGAGCAACCGGGGACAGCGCGTACGCGTTCGTTCGCGGGGTAGACGAGCCATCGAAACATCAACCACACTTCAGCTCAAACACGCCCAGAGTGACCACGTAATCTAGGGGCTCAATAGAAAAAATGCAGTTCTACAGGCCTCTATTTTACTCTGCGATCACGATCATCTATGTTTCGTTTACTTTTCGGGTCGTCAGACTGGGTCTTCTCCCCCGGATGATCAGCCAGAAGCGGGATCCGAAGACCTCGTAAGAGATGGTTTCGAACGACTTGAGCACTCCACGTGTCGACGTGTAGTCATGCTTCGCTCTTTATCTGCTTTCTACATGAGCTGCTGCTAGCAGTCCTCACCTCTTGATGTATTGTCCACCCATGGTGCGAGCACTTCGTTCATTCATACGAGAAACCACATTGCAAAACCAAAGCATCTCTTAAAGCGACCTCCATCAGGATTAATCATCGTCTATCGCTAATAGGGAGAATACCCAATACAAAAATCTATGGTTCATACATACACCATCTTCCGCTGGCTTGGTCGAACGATTTAGCCAGCGGGTATAAAAGAGATACTCATCCAAAAATATGGTCAGCATCAGCGGAATCATCCCACTACAGCAATGTCAGAATCCTGCACGGAACGGATCCTGTAAGGCCTCCAACATCATAACTCTGCCATGGCGTCTTCGTGGGCACGCTCTGCAATCTGTTCCGCTATACGGCAAGCGTTGGCATCGGACACTTTCATAAGCACCGCCTGCAAGACTCACGAAAAGCCCCCGATCTGACTACACAAGAGCATAGGTTCCTGGACCTTAGAGTATCGCAGACACATTTCCTGTTGACTTCCGAAGTTCAGACACCAGCATATTGCGACCACCATCCTTCATCCACATTAACTCGGCCGCCAAAATGGCCACAGACTTTAGGCCGGAGCAGGCTCTAGATTTCGATGGCGCGCTCCTCCAAGAACTCCAAGGCGATGTCAGCGACTCTATCGCTCGGCAGCTCCTCGAAGAGATCCCACCATTAACTGTACCGACAGTCGTCCATGACAACAACTGCGGTTACGACGCAGTAACTATGGCAATCATGGAAAGCAATCCACCAGCCGATCTGAAGATCCACGCCACCGACGTGAATCCCATGTTCTTCGTTTAAATGCATGCCAAGCTTACTGAAAACCCCTCGTGGCCGGTCAAGTTCGATACGATGGATGCGGGCAATCTCACTTTCCCGGACAACACATTTAATTTTTCCATCACCGACTTTGTGTTCGCAGGGCTTCCCGACGACGTTGCTGCCGCATCGCACATCCTACAAACTTTGCAACCAGGGAGTACTGGTGTTATTGCCGTTTGGAAGAAAAATGCCTTGACACGTCGCGCTCGAAAATGCACATCACAAAACACGCGGCACACAGGAACCATTGCCGCCTTTTTTTTTTTTTTTTTTTTGGCAAAAGCTGGTACAAAAGTGACAGAATCGAGCGTGTCACGAAGAATGCTGGATGGAAAAACGTCAAATTCTTAGGGAAGGAGGCTTATCTGAACCTTGGTACTGATCTTAGGCGATGGGTTCAAAATTGAAGATCGAGTACACAAGATCCGAATGGTCGCAGATACCGTGATTGCGCAAAGATAGGTATCAAGCTTGATGAATTGACTAGTGCCTCGCCTTCCAGCATGCGCTCGTACTCGTCGCGCCAGCTGTGACATCCGCTGCAGATGCTCAACGCGTTAGGTTGTATGCTTGCAGCCGAATCTTCTGACCAAACAAACCAGCACCGGCGCTTTGCGTCTGACCTTTTCGGACTGCGAATGATCACTTCACTTTGTTTCACATCTATGACTGAGCCTTTCTTGCCTCATCGATACAGCTACATGTCAATTCTGAAGTTTCATCTTAACGTGTAAAACATGCACGTCGCTTGTCTTCTGCTCGGCCTGTATGTCATAGGTACAAAAGCTTGTTACATTCCGTTTAACGACCATCTGTGCCCCATGTTCTAAACCACGTATCACCTACATGAATGTCTTATTACTGTTAGACTTTTCCTGTTTCCTCATATGAGATAGAAGCAATCAGCTATAGAAAGCAGGCTAAGGGTACTTTGGCAAAGCCCTATGTCTAGTCAGTTTATCTTCAGAACTAAGTTTTGGTTTTCCGTATTCCACTTACAAGTACCACGGATGCTTAAGAATCATGTCCTCTTACTGGTAAATGGTTTTCCCTAGAGCCTTTTCTCTTATACCCTCACTTACTGTCAGGCAACCACTACTTCACTTATGGATTGACCCGGCTAATGGCGAGTCCTCCCTTTGCCTTACCTATATAAAACCTCCCACTCCTCTTCTCTATCTCTCCACGCCTTCTCCACACTCAATTGTCTCAACTCCATCACATACAACATGCGTCTGTCACTCCTCCTTGCCACTGTATGTGCGACACTGACGTCGGCATGTGTATTCCCCTTCAACAATCCTCGTCTCACGAACAGCTCATTGGTCGCAGACTACGTCGCACATCAACAAGCGAAGTTTGGTAGTGGTGGTCCAGACGGTGGAGGCAATGGCTGGAGCACCGTAATCGGTCCGGGCACCGAAGACATCACTGCTTGGCCCAAAAACGGTGACTCGAGGAAGGTCACGTACATCTACTACTGCTTCGCCTCCCATGCGGAGTTCTCAGCACTGAAGGATGTTGGTAAGTGATATTGCCTGATACAACTTACGCTACGCGATCTGGAGTACTGACGCCGTAGATTGCAGTGAATGACGCAAACACCATGTGGCGTAACAAGTTGGGCCCCGGTTCGCAGAATGGACATCACTTCGATGGCTTTCGGCACTATTACCACCGAGACACCAACCACCACCCTCGTTGTTACACGACCTATCCAGATGAAGTGAAATGGAATCCACAGGTCCCAGAAGGTACACTTGTGATTCAGCATAACCAGGGGGGTTCTAGTCTATCAACCCTTGGCTACGGAGATAAGAGCATATAGGTCAGATATATAAGAAGGGTTGTCAAGTATCACTAGCTTGCTAACATCAATCCCCTAACTCTAGTTTTCCTGATCCTGATCGCCACAGCCTGCGAATCGGAACAGGTTCTTTTGCATATCAGGATTGGGTCGCTAACGTAGCTCATGAGATGGGTCATGTCCTCGGCCTCGTACATGAACATCAGCGACACGACCGTGAGTTACAATTTTTCGATCGTTTCCTCAGTCCGACTAACAGTTCTAGGGGACAAATATGTCAACTTCGACTGCTCTAAGCTCATAAGCTACGACCAAGTCAAGGCCAAGATCGTGGGGAACCCCGACTGGGGGATCTCGATTGAAGACGTTTGTGGGTCGAGCTCGCTAGGCAGGATGCACGATCTCAATTTTCCATACCCGTGTGATTACTCCAAGGACATGGGCGAGGACCGCACACAGTACTATCCAGCTGCTTTCGACTACCATTCCATCATGATATATGCTTCTGGCGACTTTGCTAGTAATCCCGCTGGCGGCGTCAAGGATCTGCCTCTCGTACGCTGGAAGAATGGTAGACCCAAGGATGGGAAGGTTGATGATTCGACCGCAGAGATCATCCCGTGGCCTAACGCGATCTCCGACGGAGACAAGGAGGGCATTGTGCGTCTCTACCCTTGGAACTAATCTTGGAAAGACTGAGTGTTAGAAGCCAGGCGAGCTCCATTGCCTCATTAGATGGTGCGAGATATACAGAGCTTTTAGAAATGGGGACACCCATGGTAGAGGCAACTGCTCATTGAGGATCATGCAAGGTCAGGCAGATGGCTAGACGTGTCGAGGGACCTACAGGTAGCTTCAATGAAAAATGGACTGGGATCCACTTTGCATATGCAAATCTACTTGTGATGTCGGTGTCTTGGTGGAGCTTCTAGGTAGCTTCGACGTTGGCTGGACCCTGAGGCTCAAGCCGCCGGTTCCCCACATCGGGGCCGCTGCGGCAGGTACCACAATGACAGCACCACATCGACGGGAACATCGTTGCATATCCGAACAAGAGCCGTAACGCATCATCAAGATGGATTTCTCACTGAAAGTCTGCAAGACCGGTATTTCCTACGCATATACAAGATCACCAACGACATTACCAGGCCACCTTCCATTCTCACTACTTACGAAGGTATCACGCTCTCCACATTGACACTTTGGAAACATCTACTTCAAATATGGCGGCCACGAATGTCGCGACAAGCGAACATACACTCAACACTTCCAGCGCCAACGTTATGAACGGTGCTAGCGACTTCTCCTACGGCTTCTCACATACGAACGGCACGAATGGTACCAATGCGAAACCTCTCCCGGTCGTAATTGCAGGAGGCGGTTGCGTCGGCCTCTTCCTAGCCTTCCTTCTCGCACAGTCGGATATCCCCAACAAAGTGATTGTCATCGAATCGCAGCAGCCCGACCCTACATCAACCCGGGCAATGGCACATCAACCGCCCACGTATCCCATCTTATCGAAAGTCCAAGGTTTATTACCTGAGCTGGTGAAGACGGGAAGTTTGAGCTCAGGTCTGTGCTTCCGAACGAGTATCCAAACTGGTAGCAAAGTAATTGCGGGCAAGACCTTCGACAACTCAGGTGAGGGAATGAAAGGAAAGGGCCAGCTCCTACTGCCGCAAGGAAAGTTCCAGCAAGTGCTGATGAAGCGCTTGGCTGCTTTGGATGGAAAAGCAGAAGTGAGGATCGGAACCAGTGTCTCGTCGTTCAAACCAACAGCAAGCAGTGTTAGCATCCAGATCACACCTGAAGCTTCTTCGATGCAATTAGGCGACGAATCCATTGACGCAGCCTACCTCATCGATGCATCAGGTGCCCACTCCATCATCCGCAAAGATCTCGATATCAGTCTAGAAGGCGAAACACTCGACGCTCAACTAGTAGCCACAGATCTTTACTTCGACTTCCACGCCCATGGCTTCTACGACGCAAACTTCATCATGGATCCCGAAAACTACGGACTAATTGGCCGTATCAACCATGCCACAGACAGTCACCCAGCATTGTGGCGCGTAAGTTATGGTGTACCGATTGGTGTATCTGAAGAAGAGATCATGAGGACGTTGCATGAGAAACTACGTGTCATGATGCCGAATGAAGGTCGGAGCGAGAACGGTGAAATAGGTTACGAAGTCGTCCGTGTAGCCCCATACAAAGCCCAACAACGTCTCGTACCGTCACTATACCATCACGACGCCCGTATCTGTCTCGTAGGCGATGCAGCGCATTTGACAAACCCATACGCAGGACTCGGTCTCGCATCCGGTATGGCAGACGCGTCTTCGCTTTCCGAAGTCCTAGTTCGTGTTCTCACCAGCCAAGCGACGGACGGCGAGAAGTTGTTAAACGCCTGGTCGGAAGCAAGAAGAAAGAAGTTTCTGGATGTTGTTGACAAGCCTTCGAGGATGGCGTATAAGCGAGTCAAAGCCGATGTTAGTACTGAAGAGAAGATACAGGAGTTGATGAGCAAAGATCCGCTTGTTGGTGCGTTGAAGAAGGGTATGCCTGTTCAGCCGCCGAGTTTGGAGACGAAGGGAGAGGATTTGGAGGGGTGGTGATGGTGCTTTTGATATTGGTGACGCTGTCTAGACAACTATGCAATAAAGGTACTTATAGACATATCTGGGTCGACCAATATCAGATCTCTTCCAGGGTGATATCAAAGGTGCTCCTTGACCTCAGGCACATGCCTTGCTAGCTCCTCCACAATCTCATCCCATACCCTTCGCGCAACCTTCTGGCTCTCCTCTCCCATGATATTTTGCCCATCAGTTTCAATTACATCGTTCGTCCAAAACCTCCCATGTAATTCTTGATTCTGCGCTGCGCCACTGATGTAAGTGTTGGCGCCCTGATCTGCGGTCCGAAACAACATAGTGTGCACGATAGCCTTGACGATGTTGACACCAAGAAATCTAACGTCGCGTGAAATGTCCGTTATAACCATACCAGGACAGGTACATGTGATTATAACTTCCTTTGACGGCGTTGTTGCTGCTAGCTGGATAGCGGTATATCTTTGGAGAAGTTTCGAATAAGAGTATTGTTCCAGGGCTCGCTTGCCCTTTTGTGGTTTGTTGAGTTCAGCCAGGATGCTGGAGTCATCTTGTGTTCGGACATTGGTAGGTATCTCCACCGTCTTGTGTGCGCGCGAATTTACAAACTGCAATATAGGTATCTTTCCTGTGTGCTTTTGCGAGTCTTTCAACTTTGGCAAGAGGAGGATACCGAGCAATATTGTGGAAAGTGTATTAACTTGTAGGTTTTCCTCCCAGCCGTATGTCGACGACCTATATGCAGCGTTGAAGATCCCGGCGTTAAGTATGGCGACGTCTAGACGATCGAGCTCGGTAACAACGCGCTGCGAAAACTTGACGATGCTGTCGTATGAATTCATGTCGAGCTGCCAGACTTCAAATTGACATGGTTGGTCGACATCTGCTTCGAGTTTGCTCTTGGTTGTCTCGCCTTTGACCTCATCTCGTGCTGTGATGATGATCTCTGATGCCCCTAGCTTCGCGAACTTGGCCGCTGCCGCATACCCTAGCCCAGAGGTGGCACCGGTGACTAGGACATTTCGCCCTGTGAAGGATTCAGTGGACTCTGCGCGCAGAGTACCCCACTTGTTCTTCACTATTTGTGTGATCATCGCCATGGTCTCGCGCTAGACGAACTGCTTTCCTTCCAACTAAAGTATGAGCAGGGTAAGGGGTGGGAAGAGATGTGTAAACGCTTCCCTGGTCGGTCGCCTGGTGTAGTATATGTCAAACAATACGGTCTGATGGAACAGTAGATGCACAACAATAGTCAGAGTACGAGTGTATTGCTTTGAGTAAATCACTGACGAACCGATATCGAGCCACGATAGGGGCTAACAAGGCTATGTACCTTGGAATGACTCAGCTAATGACTACCCCTGAGACCTGTTATTGCCCAGATCGTCACTACTGTGGGGCGCGCTACAGGAGTGCCGAGCGGGGTAAGGACGCTTGCTACGCAGGAGGAAAAGAAATAGAGGAGAACAAGTCAATTTGAAATATTCTACTGAGCCCCCATTGCGTTATCAGCATTTCGTTAGATATTATTATGAAACCTCTGCCTTCAGTTCCTGACCCTGAGCGTCGTTGACCATCCGATTGAGACAACCTATCCTGGGCAAGCATCCAACGCTTTGTGAGTTCGACCAAGCCTGAGTTTCTAAGAGAGAACTCTATACAGCGCGATGCGAGAAGCAAACTGTAGGAGCCGAGTCCGCAGACTGTTTAACAAGCCTACACCAGGTCCTCTACATTAGCCATGTAACTAAAGCCAAACAGCTAGCTATAGCTTTCACGCTACTAGATGTATTGTACACTTACATCGCAAGTATAGTTTGGAACACAAATTTTGCAACCAGTTGATCGGCAAACTGCATGATTGGTGTAGCGAAGGCCAGCTTCACAAGCTCGCTTCTCCAATCCAAATACGTCCTCCGCGGTTAACACACTTGGTCCGGCCATAGCCATACCGAAGAAAATGGCGACGAGGAGAGTGTATTTCATTGTAAAGATCAGGAAGTGTTTTGGCGGAAGTCGATAAGATATATTTCGAGAAGCCTGTGGAGTGAAGGACATGTAGCGGGCAGTATGAATATTTATAATGTTTGTTTCCGGAGCAGCGGAGTCTTCCGCGCTGCTCACTCTGTGTTTTGACCTTTTCTCCCAGTACAACCTTCGGGCCTACGAAGAAGCTTGTTCCTTTCGAGTGCTACTTCGTAGCATGTACATGCCAGACTCTATGGATGGCCTATCGCTTAGAAGAGAAAAGCTTATTCAGAAGACTAGACATTATGTCGAAAAGAAAGACGGTGTAGAGGAATCAGACCTCCTATTCTGCTTACCTCAATCCATGTAGAGCTGGAGATAAGAAACTATACGTTATAGCGCCTTCGACTACAGCACGTCGTCTAAGTCTTGTTTGCACTCTTCGTTGAGAGTGGCCATCAGTCCGAGTGTTTCATTGGGCTTCAGAGTTCATTGCACAAACATCGAACTTATTGATTACGCGGGAGATCCAATGAGAACTAGTGCTTATATTAGGATAAGTCTAATGTCACGGGCGTTCCGGAGTAATCCTCCGAAGCTGCAGTGCCGTGCCGGAAGGAGAAGAAGCGGTGCGGGGAGCTGATGTTTTTTGTATGCATAGATGCCGATGAAGGCCCGAACACGGTCATCTACCAAACTTTGAATATAGCGCCCGCGGGCCCTCCGGAGGCTAGTGATACGTAGTCGATCACCCGAATATATCAAGACCCTGTGGTCCTGCGACCAGATACCTACACCGGTATGAGTGAAATGGATGCGTTGACTATCCGAGCCTTGTATCCTTGGTAGGGATAAACTGGAGTATAGGTGAGTGTAGGTTGTGGGTCTGGGATGTCATCCAACTCTGTTTATATGATCTTCATGATGTGACATTGGAGTGGTAGTGCATCTGGGATATTTATTATACATTAAACTTCGCGAGATGCGAGTTGATTACAAGAGTTTTAAACTGCATACCACCCGTCTAGGCAACTGATACCCGTAGGGAGGATATCATCTTCAATTACCGAGTTGGTGATCTGCGCCCATGAATCCATTTCGGCGGTCCAATCTTGTAAGGAGGTATTGGAATAGTTCTTGGGTGGGACAGGCGGTGGGGCGGATGTTCGAGATGGTGTGTAAGGTTTAGCCATCTTGTTGTAGGCCAATTGTGCCAATGCTGCAGCGTCTTGATCCGGTGTGTAAAACTCAAGATAATCCTGAAGTTGAGGATTAGGATTGCTTTCTGGATAGCCCTCAACACGTCCGGTTGAGTGTTGGTTCCACGCGCAATTGGTAAGGCCTGGCCGTGTGCGAAGTAGTCGCATCCACTCGTGGTATATGGCTGGTCGTTGAAGTAGAGAGTAGATGACTTTACTGTGATACCAGTTCGCCTTTGTCAGTCCTTCTTTTTCCATATGCTGTGCGATATGATCGCATCTCTCAGCCCAGTCATTACTGAAATGACAGCAGAATCCACAGCCCCAGCCAGTCCGGGTCATCCGCCTCCGTCTTGTGGAGAGCGCGTGGGCCTTCTTACTACGTGTAGTGGTCTCGGCGCAAGATGTGCATCGATGGGATTGAGCATGATGCTTGGTGAAGTCTTTCTCTAAAAAGTAGATGGCTGGACAAAGATCGCACTCGAACATCTCCGCTCGTTCCTGATAGGTCTCCTCATGGCGCTTCCAGTCCGCTTTTTCAACGAAAGGTCGTTCGCAGCTAGTACAAAAGTACCTGTGCTTCTTGCTGCAAAGCCGGGATTGTTTGGTCGCTGATACGCAAGTCTTGAAGTAATCTCTCTCTGGCACAGCCGGTCTCTTACTTTCCTTGCCCCCAGCAGGTCGCGAGCAAGGCTGTTTGATTGGGCTTGCGACTTGCGAAGCCGCTTGGATGGGCCCGTGACACAACAGATGCTCGGCCATCAAGAAGTGTTTATCCCTTGACATGTCGGAGGTACGCGAATATCCTGAGACGGATGATGCAATCGAGTCCCTCAGTGGGACATAAGAGAACGTGCTGTTGTTTGACGACCGATAGCTTGTGGATGCCGATGAAAAGCTTAGAGCTGAGAGGTGTTGCGATGAACCGAATGGCTGGCTTATAGCATTCATGCTTGGCCATTGTCGAGGATACTGCTCCAAACTGTCTGTGATTCCAATTAGTCCAAGGTACTACGTCGAGAAAATAAAAATCATCTTTACGTACCGATGGGACTTTGTTCATGACTTATGGGGCTATTGAACTGATTCTGCGTGTAATCCCATGTAGGATATGGAGCTTCGAAGGCTTCGTAGTCTGAGGCTTCAACGGTATCGTATGTATACTGCGAACCAGCGCTGGAATATTCGTAACCGCTCATTATGCAGAGGATGAACGGACGTAGAAGGAAGGAACGTATCGAATGCGCACTGCGCTGATGGCTGGAAAGTTTTGTCGAGATCAACTCTTGATCAAATCCTATATCATATGCCGAATAATAAATGCAGCCATGTTCTCAGCCTCATGCGCGACTATCGATGAACAGGCTAGCGTGATCGAGGTGGCGCGGTTCACCAGCTGAAACGCGGCGAACGCTGATGACAGCCGTTTCATGGCCTGTCCGTGTTTCGAAACAACAGGCGCCGAGGATCGTGGATGGCATTGATTGGATCGAAAAGGCGAATCATGCCGCGACGTGCATATCTATGTCCCCGACGACGTTCACCGGTTACGCTAGAAATATGCGATGTGATGGCGAGTGGTTGTGATTAGGAAGGCTGAAACCGCGACAGGCGAATAGGCGATGATTTGCCGAGGACCAGGCCCAGAAGGCAGCCAAAATGTCCGACGGTATTAATAAGTCGCTGCCGCACACGACGCTGACGTGCAGGACTTCGCAATATTTTCAGAACTTATGCAGCATCCACGACGCATCTTACTTTCCTCTCCCAGCACTACCAACACCCCAGTAGTTTCCTCATCCATTCCCTAACCCTCCACAGTCTACTCGAATGCCTTTGTACACCTTCTCGCGTCGCTGTCGGATCAAGGTCGACACGCTGAGACCGCATGTCGTCATCGCAGATGCTATACGCTCCATCGAAGTCGGTAAAGGGGTCCGTGCTAGTGTACTCGTCAGACTCGAATATCGTCGTGCGTATCGAAACCATTGTGGTGAAGGAGGAGCTGCACGAGTACATCATATTGATTTTGACTTTGCGTAGTAGTGTGATGTGAGGGGCGTGGAGATTCGATCCCGGATATAGGTGTGGCTGAGGGTCGTTTTGAGTTGTAGTGTACTCAGTTTTGTTGGACAAAATTCGAGCTTAAAAGGCGCATTCGCAAGGGTTTATACGCTTGTGTAAATGTATAGTCCGAGCGCCTCCTGCGATCCATATTCGATTGCACTTGCCACAGGGACCAAAGCGAGACTGCAGAGGGGGTCTCTGCAGCCCGGAAGTCGTATTCTCGCTGCCTATGCAGCCTAGATGCCGTGCCCGGCTAGTCGCTCGTCGAGTTCGTCCTCATTCAGGTAGTACCTATCGACGAGTTCTATACCGGGGCTTACATGAACGAGGGTTGTACTCACGCTGTGGGAGCAATCCCAAGTTTCTTTCCAAAACTCCTTGACACGTTTTTTCGGAACCAATCACAGGTGGACTACAATCCAACCCCTGGTAAATCTTGGCCAGTCTTTCATAGCCATCTTGTGGCTAAAGTGATGTTGTGTTGTAGTGTAGAAGTTGTGATGTTTGGTGAGAGTTTGCCAGTTGAAGCTGAAATAGCTGAGATAGCTATAGCTCTCTTACCAACACAAAGTGACTGTAAATGCCAGGTGAGCCTCAACGAGCTCGGGCATGCAGTGATTTGCAAACGCATGCTCTGAGCTGCCTCATTGTCGTGCTGCTCCAAATATTTGGCGCTAGTGCGGCGAAGGGGCAACCATTAGATCCCCTAACACACTGTCACAACACCACCCTTACCTATCCTCGCATCGTTCTACAGAGACTGGTAGGAACCTCTCAATGTCATGTGGTCACCTAGGACTATGATACCGCTTTCATTCATCGCCGCAGAAGCCCGTGAAGACTGCCGCGGCAGCGTTATGCGGAGCTCTCTACGTCGATGCTAGCACTAACAACCTCCTGGAACACATGAGACTCATGGTTCTTGATGGCTGGAACTCTTTGTGTTCGACTCCTAGCGCTCCTGGCGAAGGGAGAGCAGCTTTGAGGAACGCTTCAAGGCCGCTTTCTCCGCCGTCAGAGGCGACAGCTATAACCAGCAGTGAGAGACTCGGCAGCCTATGAAGAAGCTTACCTTGCAGTCGTTAATCACCACCAGGTTCAAGGTCGCTGTCAAATAGTTCTCCGTTCTGGAGTTACCCCGCGGCAAAGAACTAATGCCTACGATTGTCGAGACTCCAGGTCGAGTCTCAGAATAGCGAATCCCGCAGTCCCGATCATGATAACAAAGCCTACCGGGCTGCGCGACAAGATCTTTCATACCTACCATGACGCTTGCAGAGCCTTCGAATCTGACCAAACCGCGCCGACGACGGGGTTGCGGAGCTGCCTCGAAAAGCAAACAACCCCCAGAACAGGAATAAAGGAAGGACATGGAAAAGGGGCGACACAACTGCGTTAACAAGGAAGAACAACCTACTGCAAAGGGTGGTGCGCTATCGCTCCACCTCTACGGCGCATGCAACCGCTCCATAAGCGGCCCGATCGTACCTGGCGGTAGTGGTACTACGAGCTGGATACCTTTACTAAGTCATCCGTACAAGCAACAGGGTTGCCTCAGGTAGTAACCGTCCAGGCAAGGCTTGCCCTCAGATGGACATGATGGCATACCGGCACAAGAGAACAACTCATCTATCGATGACGGCCCGCAATAGTCGGACAGCTCTCAGCAGTCGTTGTGTATCCTAGAACAGCCGGCGCTGCGCACAACAAGACAAAGCTTCACACAATGAAAAGACTCGGCCATGAACAACGTCCATGACACTGTGTACCTGTACAGAATCTAGTGCAAGGAGAGGGTCGCAGCAATGGACCGCCATGTCTACAAGCAATGGCTCGAGCATATACCAGGCACAAAATGCTGCCGCTCGTCCAAACATGCAGGCATGGGCGGCGATGTAGGGAATGCAGCATATCGAAAACTCCATGTAGATCAGTCCATAGTCGCCGGACGAGTATATGCTTGTCCAATACAAGCACGTCAGGAAACAGGGAGTGGAGTTCATATCTGCTCTTTCATACGGATGTATCTTCTCTCAGCTGCAGGGGGACACTCGGTAGAGTATTCATGGTTGTCGGTCTAACACCAGCGAGGTCTCATGACCTATGGCCATTCCAACTCTTTACAAGTCATGGATAAGCATACCTGTCATTCGAACCTGCAAACGTCAAGCTTCAACGCTCGAAAAGTTTGGGAACAGGCAGGAGCTCATGGAGTCGTCTCACTATAGTGGCGAGATGATCGTCCTGGGCTTGGTCGCTATCTTGCAGAAATGTCTCCGAGTTCCAGACATCCTGCACTTTCATACCAACTAGCGCGTTCCGAAGGGCTGTTTGAGCATTATCCGGGAGTTTGGAGTTCCCGAAATCCAAGCTCTTGATGAGACCGTGATGTACTTCCATATGGAGACCGATGTCGTCCTCAGGGTCGAGTGCGAGGCTAAAGCGTGGGGTTTGAGACCACATCCACTCGTCAGTCTTTAAAGGTTAGCAACGACAATGAGAAGCATGGGGGCTATCAAAGTACCTGTAGCTCGTCATATCCTTTTCGGATATCAGGGATGTCTAGATGCTCTACGCCGACGGTTTCTACGATGCCTGGGGTTCCCAAATCGGCATACATTGAGGCGAACTCCTCTTGCAGACGTTCCTGGAATGTTGCTACGTCAAGGCCAATGTTCGATACGGGCGAGCTGACGCTTTCGACACCCTGGGCTTGTATGAGGTCCTTCGCAGGAGATCGCAGGTAGTCTCCTATGATGTGCAGATTCGGAGAACTCAGCAACGTCGTCGCATGGTGCAAAGCGCGCTGGCGTGTGAGCTTGTAAGCCGAGCCAGAGACCTTCAAGGGTCTTGGTCCGCCTTCGTCGGTGGTGTAAGGCGTGCGGTGCGTGTCTTGAGGGTCAACTGCGTTTCTCTCATGTCCTTGATCGAGAACGATGTCGTGTCGCTCGTTGACCCTGGCGCGGTCGATGCCCAACCTCCGCAAAGTGCGCACAACCATCTCAGCGTGCTTGTCGCGTGTGAAGTCGACGCGGGGGCATGTTATGCTCCAATTGAGGTTGCCTTCGTCATGGAAGACGGTACCTCCACCTGAGCGGCGGCGCACAAGGTCCACCGTACCGATGCCTGGAGGCTCGCTGTCTTTGACGTCGTGTGTTCCGCGTGCGGCGTTGAGAATGCCCAGATTGACCTCCGTCCACGGGTTCTGATTACGCCCTATAACAACGCAAGGCCTGTTCACATACAGAAATAATATCGTGCTGTCGACGGGACTCTTGCGAAGGATGTGGTCTTCAATGGAGAGGTTGAGGTAGGGGTCGTCGCTGCGGGATACGTAGCTCTGCAGCTTGTTCGTAGGGTCGGCGAGCTTCTCCGTAAACGAAGAGTAATTCCTGGCAGCGCTGCATGTCGTATGTCGTATAGCAGAGCCTACCTGGAAGCTACTGAGAGCGCATCGTGGTTGAGGGAGGAGCGTACCCGTTGGAGAAACCGCTGCCCTGGCTGTCGAAAGCCGGCGGAAGCTGCAACGAACCGCAGGTGGACTGCGACTCGTGCATGCAAATCGTGAGAAGATGCACTGAGTTCCAGACATACTCAAACCTCTCGATGGCGCCATGACGGTGGTGACCTAGTTGGTGTTGTGGACATGGAGTTGGCGAGACATTGAAGCCGCCAAAGGGCCCCACGGCATCCCCGAACTAGCAAGCACCGGCGAATGGCCCCATTCTTCGGAACACCAAACCTACACGCTTCGACGACATTCTTTGTCATCACACCCCTCCTGGATGTCTACGAGGTCTACATGTCCTCTTTTCGTCGTCTGCATAATCTGAATCTAGAGTGTTAATGTTCTGCATCTTGCATGGCTCGTATTAGTAGCTCCTGTTTCCTTCGCATCAGGGGCTTGATGCGAATGCCACTGAACATATTCCATGGCTGCCTCTTCTTCTCTATTGGAGATGGTATATCCACCGCAGCTAGCCTGTACTGACGTTCGTACTTTGTGTATCATCTGCCATCGGGAGCATGCTCTGGGGCTTCGGGCCGCTCCCTTCTTTCCTATATCGTACATGAATGACTCTCCTCACCTTTTCCAGTACAGTCTGCGCTCATCTTATTTTATCAACCTCTCATTCTCGATGTTCATATCATGGCTTGTTTCCTTTCCTGAGTGTACGTGTGGATGGGCTGCACTCTGAGACAGTCGTGCTCGCCATCTGTCGCCTCCGCTCCCAATCTTACCTTCACCACCACGGTTCTCACCACCATCACAGCAGCCACACCAGGACGTTGCTCTGCATCAAAATATTGCGATCTATCCGGAAGACGACAGTCTCCGCGCAGAGCTTCAATTGTCCAGAGTTGGAAGTTATAAAGCCAAACAAATCTGGATTTTTTCATCAAGTCATCCAGATCTGCTGGTCCAGCGGTCAACCTCACACTCACCTCACTGAAAACACGTAACTAACGTTGGTTCGAATGGTAACACTATCAAGTTTCGTCCTTTGTTTCTTTGCGTAAGTTTTCCTTCCTCCATGGATTGGTGTGGGATTGACTAACGAGCCACAGTTCTCTTGCGGCTGCTATAGGCATATCTCTGGCTTCGGCCATCTCCTTGCATTATCGCTTATCTTGTAGGATTATGGTGATGTAAGAAGGACGAGATATCCATCATCTGGTACGTATAGCCCCCCTTCAGATTGACCGCTGTGGTCAGCAGATCTGGATGGCTTGATCTCTATTTTTTGCTGAAGGTATCGTGTAGTATGCATTTGGCATGATAGGCTTTGTATACCTCTGACATCCTTTCTGCTTCGGTCTCCCGCTCATCAATCATCTTGTCGTAGCTCAGGTGCGAAATGTCAGCTTACAGAGTAGGGATAGTGGGTGCTGTCGGCCTACACATCTTCGCAAGCCCACAGGCTACATCACTGCTGTTGCTCTGCCACAGCAAGGAGCAAACGCGTCATAAATGAGCCACAACAAATTCTCCGCTTCTGCTACCACACTCCGCAACCGCTCACAGTCACCCACAACCTCACCGACGTGTGCAGTCTCCATTCCATTGGAGAGAGGTCTTGAAGGTCCCTTCGCTATATCATGGTCGGATAGAAGCTATTCTTCCATCGAAGTTCATTACAATAGCGTGGTGGTGCCTCCCACCCTCCCACACCGTCCCCTCAGTGTGTTTGAATCACGCTAACAGCAACTCCAGGACTCCCGCCTGATCTAACCTCGCCAGCCCGGACACACACCTATGTGGGATACTAACAATTGCGAGGATTACAACAAGAACAAAAAAAAAGGAGGACGATGCAGCGATGTACTCAGTTGGTGGATACGCTCCCCAATGATCGATGCCCTGGTGGAGGCGTCTGGTTTCTCACGAGTTCAAGAATGCAAGGTGTTTGGTTAGCTGTGTCAGCAGGCCCAGAAGATGTCCATGGCACTATGCGTATGGATGTGATGCTCCATTACTTGTGTATATGTACTCAGGCTGTCTTATCCTGGCTCTACCTAGCATTGAAGGACGACTAGAGACGCTTGCCTGCATCACGGCTATCGCAAATTCGATTTAGAATCAAGAGACGCGAGATAGGGAAATGTTCTGGGGTGTTATTTCAATGCAAGCGGAAGAACTATAAGCGCAGTCGATAATGTGTTACGTAGACTCAAAGACATCGCTGAAAGAATCTGATTTTCTAGTTTGACACACCTACTCTAAACTATAGTGGATTTCACATGTCCTCGGTTGTTGCGCATGTGGCTGGCGGACAAGTCGAGCCAGATGCCTTGTAATCACGCTAAGTCTGAAAGAGATTTGGCGGCAACGCTAATCGTGAGGCGTTTTGCCAGGGGCGCTTCCCACTCTGCGCTTTTGACCTTTGTATACATCGCCATCACCCCTTCATCACCATCGACAACGCGATTCCCGGTGACTGTTCACTATGTCACGTCACTCTATAGTCAGAGTTCTTGATGCACATGCCTCCAAATAAAATCCTCGCGTCTCTGCGATCGCGTCCAACGCGTCTCACCCCAAAGGACGATTATCAAGACATCGGTTATTCGTATCGCACCAGGTTTGCCAGTCCAATCTCAAAGCTCCATTATCGCGTCAACCTTGTTATTTTGGGATGCACTGCCTGTTCGGTCGCATTCCTACCTGTTTAACAGACTCAACGACGGGCGTCACACACTCGTAGTCCCCGGACTTCGTTTGTGGGTTCAGCAGCCGGGACCCTCCCTCCATCTCCTGATGAATGGCTGCTGAGCAAAGGCAACGCCCGAGAATGATGCCTCTTTGTTCTGACGCGCCTGGGCTGCTCTGCAGTAAACGCCTGTTGGTGACTTTGAGGCAACGAGCCTATCTGGCGGCTTTACCCTGCTGCTGCACCCTCTTTGTTCCTGGTCCTCGGAGCAGTTGAGCGCGGATGGGCGCACGGCATAGGTGGGATTGACGTTTCGTTTCAGCTCGCACATCTCCTCGTTTTTCTTTTTTCTTTTTTCTTTCAATGACGTGTCGCGTTTCGCAATCTCGCGTGTCTTCATCTGGCAGCCTAAAGAGCAGTCGTCGCAGGCTACACTACAATTATACGTGATTTCAGGTTCATTCTAGACTTGCTAACTCTCAAACGTGATTGGTTCTCGCTGACCTGAACGTCATCTGCCGATCTATCCCCGCTTCGCCTGGCTAGGCAGCCGTTCTGAACAAGAACGCCTGGATTAACTCTAACTGCCTCTATCTAAAGATCATCTTCAATATGCCTTGTTTTTCGCACGAAGACTTCATGAGAGAGTTCGTCTTCCCTGACGAACCGGCACAAGACTTCGAACGTGCTGGCATTCCTGCTCAGTATGCCTCTGGTCACCCAAAAGATTGGTCGCAAGCGTGCGATGTCCTCAACTTCAGTGCCGATCTGAACCAGCATTCTCAAAGCAAACACAGAAGCTACTATACTGCTATTAGTTCTGATAAGAAGTTGTTGGCCATCAGCACCGATGCAGAGCGTATCTTGGTATACAACGTCGCGTCCCGAGAGCTGTGCGAAGTCCTTGAAGGGGCGGGATCTGTGGCCTTTCGGCCTTCTAATACTGATGAAGAAAGCCTTATAGATAACGATCAAGCCATGGATGGAGGGACTCCAAGACCAGGCTACACCCTTATCAGCTCCGTCTCTGACGATGCTTATCGCGGCGGCCGTCGCGCCAACCAGCTCATCCTTTGGGATCTGGACCAGAATGGCCGCATAATCGACAAAGAAGAGCCCATCGATTCCGCCCTCTTGGCTACCAAAGCCATAGATGCGATCGCACCAGATCTTGCAGCGAGCCACGAGTGGACAAGGGATTTCATCAATACTTCCAAACTTCATACTGAGTTTATGAAATCGCTCAGTAAGGTAGCCGCCGATCATCGCAGGCGTCATAACACTATCATCGACAATGCGGAGCTCGCGAGTTTCGGGTCGGTCAACTTCAGCAATGATGGCAAACTGCTGTTGTATCATTCAAAGAATCGATCTACCCAACAGGGTATGCGCACATCACAGAATCTGCCCGCGGCTGTCATATATGACTTGGAAGCAGGCGTCGAGATCCACCGCCTCACTGGACATACGGATGCCATTATGTGGTCGGCTATCAGTCCGAATAAGGAGTGTGTTGCTACGGTGTCCTGGGATGGAACGCTGCGTATGTATTCGGTCTCTACTGGAGCACTCATGTGGGTCACAGAGAATTCCGGTGGGCAGAGCTGGGCTGGCGCATTCTCGTGAGTAGTATTCCTTTGCGAACAGCTCATGAGATACATACTGACCTCGTACACCAACTTTTAGACCAGACTCGAAGCTCATCGTTTGGAGTTCCAAAGGTGGCCGAGCGGTACAAGTCCATGATGTTTCTGACGGGCGGAAGACGGCTGCTATGCAAGATGCTTTTTCCGATTGGTGCCGATGCCTCGACTGGCATCCGACAAGACCGGAGATTGCACTTTGCGTAGGGAAATCTGCGTACGTATGGGATCCTTCGGATGGTCCCCATGGCAAAGTTCTCCAGCATTTCAAACTTGAAAATGAGAAGGGACTTTTTCGCATGTCGGAGATTCAGGATGTTCAGTGGATGGACGAGGGTCGATTACTAGGTGTCGAATCCAACGAAGGTTCGATTCTGATTTACAATACCGAGAACAACGCGAAAGAGTTGTTCCGGCGGTCTGCTGGTACGATGGCTGGTTATGTCAAAGGCGGTCTCTACGGCATCGTTCAAGACAAAGAAGAGCACGATGTTTACCTCAGTGTCGACGGCGATGGGAAGGTACGGTTCTGGCGGACAAGTGTCCCAGCCTTTCCGTCATGGTGGGAGAAAGAACCATCATCGACGGCGGTGGAAAAGAAAGCATTTCCCGAGACGGGAAAGTATGTCAAAATCACGAAGAGTTCGAACAAAGCACCACCACAAAACGAATCCGAAAGAAAGAGTTGGGCTGGAAGAGGTGCAGCACTGTGGACTGCCGAGTAAAGCACTCTATTGCTGGCAAGGAAGCTATGGCATTCTGGAATTCTGGCAATGAGACTGATCTAGGGAAACGGCATCTTGTCAGCCGCGGTAGCAGTCTAGTGCAATACCCCACTTCTTCGGCCTTTGTTTTTTCATATCCCGTCCAACGAACATTACCAATATTTCTCACTAGCCAATAACAACGAGGAACTTTTTAAGACTACACGATACACAAGACTTGCTACAAAGCTGCAGCACTGTGCATACCCAGGATGGGGGTCGCCGGTAGCGAGTCTTGGTCACATTTAATATCTATGGCTGTGATTTCCGCGGATATCGGCGCCGGCACAGTACAGTTTTGCTTGTCATCCGTCACTTGCCACCACACAATGTCCTGAGCAGCTGACACATTACTTTCCGCACATCGGCGCATGCGCCATCAATTACTTTCGGTTACCTTCGTCGCTGTCCTACACACGCCGGATGATCGGATTGCGCAACTCGGATCTCGTGCACATATTGAAGATCTGAGGATCGTTTTGTTTTGGACATGTTGGGACATGAGTATTGCCTCACGGCTGGCTAAAGGCGTTGCGGTCCGGACAACCGTCTCCGCGCTTACATCGTGCCCTTTCAGGCTGAACCCCACACCGCCATTCGCTTAGCCCCACGCAGTGCGGCTTATTGTGCTCTGTACCTTATATGAACCATTAAGGAACAGATGACTGACTTGGGAAAATCCCTCGTCATCATTTTTACGATTTGCACGCTGGTCGGACTTTCGTTTTCAAGGTCATCTTAAGCTTGCGTTCTTGCTGCTGCTGTTGCTTCTTCTCCTGAGGAGTATCGACGACCTTCGTTTGCCTTGCTAGCAGCCTCGTCAACGAGCATCAAGTTTGATCCTCGCGCCGTAGACTAAATCGGCAGAAACGCTAAGACTTTGTGCCTGTCACGCGTTTTGATTCTGCATCCGGTCCCGCGCTCCAATTGACTTCTGCAGTGTCACTAAACACAGTAAGCTACGCCTCCTAAGCCATGTCGGCCGTTACGTCTCTGTATAACCAACCATCCCATCGCGGTATAAAAGTTCCCCGCGGAGTTCACAGGTACAATCCTTGTTCACATACCAACCATGATACAACCTACCCAAAATGGCGAGCGATATGAGCTCACAAGCCCAACGGAGATGCCCAAAGCTGGTGCATTCTTATGGAATCAACGTATGATGATTCAGGTCACATGTCGTGGCTTTGCAACTGCACAATATATGCAACCCGAGCCCGCCAAATACGCCTACGCACCCAACCTTGAAGCTAAGACCTTCATGCAACCGGAGCAAAATTACTATGCTCATCACCCCGGCCGATTTGTATACATCAAGGATGAAGAGAACGGTGACATCTTCTCGGCGCCGTATGAGCCGGTAAGGGCAAAGTTGGACCGGTTCACTTTCGATGTAGGCAAAAGCGACATCAAATGGATTGTGGAGAAGCTCGGCATCCGCGTGGAGATGACCTTTCTGCTACCAACAGACGACGTGGCTGAACTCTGGAGCATCAAAGTCACCAACATATCCGGCCGCAAGCGAAACTTGAGTGTCTACCCTTATTTCCCTTTGGGTTACATGTCATGGATGAACCAAGAGGCGGATTGGAATCCAAATGTTGGAGGCGTGGTTGGGAGCTGTAAGACCCCATACCAAAAAGCTGAAGACTACCCGAAGACAAAGTACCTGAAAGACAAAACTTACTTCCTCTGCGAAACGACACCAGTCTCATGGGAAGCAAAGCAAGAGGCTTTCGAGGGTGAAGGAGGACTACAATCGCCATCGGCATTGGAAGAGTCGCAACTCTCAAACAGCGACGCCCGTTATGAAACCCCAACTGCAGTCGTGCAATATAGGGCTGAGCTTGGCGACAACGATAGCAAAGAGTACAGGTTTCTTTTTGGTCCTGCATACGATGAAGCAGAGATTCTGGATATGCGCAAGAAATATCTCAACAAAATGGCGTTCGCGAGAGCCGCCCGAGAGTATGAAGACTACATCATGAGGGGCAACGGTTGCGTACGTCTCGAGACCCCGGACAAAGACCTCGATAATCTGGTCAACAATTGGCTACCACGACAACTGTACTACCACGGCGACGTAAATAGACTGACGACCGATCCCCAAACGCGAAATTACCTACAAGATAACATGGGCATGAGCTTTATCAAACCGGAGGTCGCGAGGAAGGCTATCAAGACTGCCGTAGGTCAACAGGAGAGGAACGGTTCGATGCCGGATGGTATCCTATTAGCAAAGGGCGCGGTTCTCAAGTACATCAACCAGATCCCTCACACTGATCACTGCGTTTGGCTACCCATCGCCCTCGAGATCTACCTCAGCGAGACTGGTGACTACGAACTACTGGACGAGAAGGTCACGAGCATGTATGGTGATACATTCACCGTCTTCGAGCGCTTCAGCCGCGCAATGGACTGGCTTCTCTCATCGAATGCACGCGACGATCGCGGTCTTTCTTACATTGCGCAGGGTGATTGGTGCGACCCAATGAACATGGTCGGTCCCAAAGGCGTCGGTGTATCTGGCTGGCTCACAGTTGCAACCGCCTATGCCGTAAACCTGTGGGCGCAAATCTGCGAAGACGCTAACAAACCTGATGTCGCGAAGAAATACCGGGCCGGCGCTGACCAGGTCAACGAATCAGCAAACGAGCATCTCTGGGACGGCGATTGGTACGCTCGCGGTATTACGGACGATAACGTTACTTTCGGCATCAAAGACGACAAGGAAGGTCGTATCTGGCTAAATCCGCAAGCGTGGTCTATCCTCGGTGGCGCAGCTTCTTCGGAGCAGATTTCGAAAATGCTTCCCCAGGTTGACGAGCAACTCACGACGCCTTATGGTGTAGTCATGTTTGGTCCGCCATTTACAGCTATGCGTGAGGACGTCGGCCGCGTCACACAAAAGTACCCCGGTCAAGGTGAAAACGGGTCCGTGTATAACCACGCAGCGGCTTTCTACGCATGGGCCCTCTATGGCATTGACGAGGTCGATCGCGCATACTCTACTCTCCGCGCCATGATCCCTGGCCCTGATGAGGAGGATCTAATTCGCCGCGGTCAACTTCCCATCTTCATTCCTAATTACTACCGTGGTGGGTATGGTATCGAGCACCTGAATCGTACGGCGGGGCGCTCAAGTCAATTGTTCAACACCGGAACTGTAAGTTGGGTGTACAGATGTTTCATCGAAGGCCTATGTGGATTGAGAGGCGTGAGGGAGGGTCTGAAAATCGCGCCGAAGATGCCGAGTGCGTGGGATGAGATGAAAGTAAGGAGGGAGTTTAGAGGGGCGGTGTTTGATGTTCAGATCAAGAGGGGAGATGTGAAAGATGTGAAGGTTGTGGTTGATGGACAAGGAATGGAGAGCAACGTTATCAAGAATGTTGTTGCTGGAAAGACGTACAAAGTGCTCGTAGAGGTACCGATGGCGAAGAAGACAGGTACGAACGGCACGGTGTCGAATGGTAGCAGAATGAAGGCAGATCTGACCAATGGGTCAGCGAAGAATGGGAACGGAAAGGCGAACGGCACTGATGGGACGAAATAGACGAGACATGGATGATGTGGAATATCAAACTCTCGTTCTTTTGCCATACTCCCATTAGATATGACGGAATCTCACGGAAGGCGAGGGAGACCGTCTTTCCATGCACGCACGATGTTTTAAGTTAGGTGAACCACATAACCCCACTAACTAGGAAAGAACATATTCACGCTATTCCTCCACGCGCTCTCCGCAACATCCTCAGCGCCAACGCCCTTGATTCCAGCCACGACCAAAGCCACCTTCTCCATATTGCAACTCTCATTCCTCTCCTTCACCATATCACCCATAGTGAACTTATCCTTCTTTTTGTTCCCCCAAGACAACTTCGTCGCATTCTTCAAATACGCTTTAGCTACTTCACTCGAAGCTTGTATATCGCCCCACGGCGCATCTGTCTCAATCTGCAGTTTGTCCAAAGGTACATGTCTGATCATGTCCAAGCTATCGCGGTCTCGGAAAGCGAAATTGTTGACGCTGACGTGTAGACCCATGGCGATTAAAGTCTGCATCTGCTGTGTAGTACCAACGTAAGAGTGAACTAAACCCGATCGTAAAGGCAGACGGTCCATGTAAGGCTCCAGTATCGCGATGAAATCTTCGAACGCTGCGCGACAGTGCAGGAAGAGGGGTAACTCCCAGCCTTCGCTCACGATCATGTCGAGTTGTCGCTTGAAGACGCGTATCTGGACGTCTTTGGGAGCTTCAGCCAGCTTGTCGTAGTCTAGACCGAGCTCTCCGAAAGCGCCTAGAAGATGTGGTTCTTCTTTCATAGTTGTTGTGATGCTTTGGGACAGGCTCCGATAGTACTCCTCTCCGCCTTCATCTGCTTCGACGGCATGGTACGGATGCACACCAATAGTGGTTTTGCATTGCTCTGGTCTTTTGCGCGCAATATCCAGATTGAATGATGCGTCGGAAGCGTACATGCCCGTGAGCATGACTTTCTCTACTCCGGCTGCCAACGCGCGATCTAAGACGGCGTCGAAGTCTGGCTCATGGTATTGCTTGCCTCGGTAGATACCAGCGAACTCTTTGGCAGTTGCAGTTACGGCGACCTGTATATCTCGACATGTTGTTTCAGCGCAGTCGTATCAGCGCGGGAACGGGTGGGCGCGTACGTCTGCGTATTTGAGTTTTATGGGTGGTGCAGAGGGTGCCTTAGCAGAGAGCCCTTCTAGTAGCGCAGGGGTTGACATCGTGAGTTGGAATATAGGACTATCACACGTTAGAAACCGGGATGATGTATCTCTCTAGGTGTATCACCATCGCAAAGGAGACTTCCGACCTCGGGATCTAAAAGTGGGTCGCTTGCCTTGGCTTTAGTTCGCGGCTCTACTAGGACCAAAAGCGTCATACACAAACTGTTTTCCATCATTATAGTAGTATGAAGTGTGTTGCGACTACATATTCTCACACGTTCTGTCTGAATTCCAATGCTATTAGAAATGGGTGTATTGACCTTGTGCCTTCCGACCCTTGCAATTCGCCTTAAAGGTCAGACTCGACTTCTACTTATCTGGGTGTACATACAATAGCATCCAAGTGGCGAAAACCTTACTCTGGACCAGATTTTATGATCAGGCTATGACTCATACCGTATGAACCTTTGTGTGTAAAAGAGATCCTGGTAGACTCAGGTAGTGTTAAGGCTCAGGACAGTAAGTCCTTACAATATCAGCTTCATAGACTCTGGTCACAATGAGCGCTAGAAAGGCTCATTGATCCTCAGCATGGGCTCAGATATTTTACGTGGCAACCTATAACTCGGGTGCAAGGTATCATCAACTCGCGTTTGCTGCTGTACCGTGCCGCATATGCGCGCTTTTCCTCGCATACTTGACCGAGCACTGACTTTCACTTTCCTGTAGTCCCACACTCGATAGCTTTACGCCCACGTGGGTCATCATCGATCCAGAAGCTTTAAGGGAAAACAGAACCTAACCTCATTCACCATCATAGTGTCGGAAGATCATCACGGGTGACACGGTCGAGCGTGAATCACAACAGATGTCCAGGATCACCGCTAGCGAGACGCAGGCCGATGTACAGATAGAGATGCCCACTGATTCTCTCTCCCTACTGCAGCTTGACGGACCCTACAAGGTAGGTGGGCGTGTCATCGGACGTATTACGGTGTGCCCGGGCTTTGTTCAACGCTCATCCTGCGCTAGCATTTCCCGTTTCCAGAATCGAGGTCATCGCCGCGTTCAATTACGGTAGATCATTATAGCGTGAGACCTCCAAGGTCATTGTCCGCCTGCCTTCAGGCGAGACTGACCGTTACTTTCTGAAGGTCTGGCTCCCTGCCAAGAGACGTTAAGGAAGTAGATGCTGAAACTTGAAAAATTGTATCTCTAGGAAAGATAGGAAAGCATGTGTGCGAAGGCGAATACGAACCACTCAAAGCGGTCTATGCAATCTTTCCTTCATTTGTTCCAAGACCATACGCCTGGGGAGAGATGGGAAAAAACATGTGCATTCGAGGTTTACTTCCTACTTACGGCTTTTCGAGAAATTGGTGAGCAGGACAGGGTAATATGGTACTCTCAATGGAGTACGGGTGCTGATGATAAAAGCCCGCGAACCCAATCAAGCTAGCTGCAGGACTGGCTGAGATGCATCAACGATCCATGTCTTCAACCAGTAAATTTGGTTTCCACTCTCAAAGTGTAATACTCGAATCACTCAGGCCGTCGACATCTAGGGAGACTCGTGGTGTAATCTGTATGGCCAGCACCTAGGCTATGTTATGGAGCTTGCTAAGCCAATTCTTTAATGGCCAGAGTTCGATGTGGTACGTGATGTCGCGCTTCAGAAAGTGGTACCACGTCTTTTGTTGCCTCTGCAAGCAGGAGGCCGCATCCTGAAACCACGCCTTATCCATGGTGACTGTTGGGATGGAAATACCCCGACGGACGCCAAGACTGGCGAGACTTTCGTATTCGATGTTTGTTCCTTTTACGGGCGAAACGAATACGACATCGGTAATTGGAGGGCACCGCATCTTCGCCTTAGCAGGAAAGCATATATCGAGAACTACAAGGCCAATTTCCCAGTGTCGAAACCTGCTCTATCCATTAACGTTCAACCTCGGCAACACAATCTATATTCCTGGATCACAGCAGCGCCAGGTCATGTTCGACGATATGAGTACGCTGTGCCAACGCTTCTGCCCAGACGATCTGGAAGCGGCGATGGCCAGGCTCGAGAAAGGCCTGTACAGGGCTCGTTTGATGATTGATGAGAATGGTGATGATACGCAGGCTGGAACGCAGGAAAAGGAAGAAGAGTTGCGACTCTAGCGAAGGTTTTGCCGCACCCCAGCGAGCCAATCCGTAAGCGCCTTTTCCTTCGGCTACGTTAGTACTGAACATGGTATTGAGATCGAGAGATGAATGATAACTGTATGATAAAGGCGTCGTGCATTTGATGAGATTTGATGCCGGCAGATGGTGGCTACCATGAAGCATCGGAGACTCGCGTAACCGCGTCTCCCAATGACGCTACCAGGTGTTAGCGCTGATTAAGGAGGTCCCGCCGTTTTCGGGGCCTTGCCATCCCCTTGTTCAAACGGGCCTCATCTCATTACGATGCAGCTGGTCCTGTTCTTCATTACTAGACGTTCTTGTTTTTCATTCGCGCAATCGAAGTACGAAAATGCGCACTACGCGCACTCCAATACCCCGACAATGGCAATATTGCGAGCAACTACTAGGTGGTTCCCAATGTGCCCTGCGCGGCGCTTGATCCGACATGCTGACGCCATACGCTGGGAGACTTAATCTGAGCTATGCTAGCTGTCTGGGGAAACGCCCCAGCAGGAAGTTATAACACGATTTGTAGATGATGGTTCCATCATGATTTGACAACGCAGCGAAGCAGTACCTAAGTACATGGTTTACTTCGGGTTGAGTTGGCTTGCAAGAGTCCTTTCTGCTTATTGAATGAGATAGCTGGATTCCTGACGTCTTCACCACATCCCACGGTAGACTCATTCGGCATTCGGCACTTCCCCAACACGGCACAGTCGGCAGCCAAGTTAAAAATCATCTCAGCTAAACGTCTTTCACACCCATCATGGAACGCTGTGTTGCCGAAATTCACTTGTGCCATACTATTACTTCGTATCAGCCACGCGTTCCGTTGAAGTGGAGTCAGCCTGAATGTAGTAAGCAGCTAAGCATTTCACTAGCGAGCTTGTTATGAACATCTCAGTTACACTGAGTGCTTCAGACGTAGTGAAGCATTCCTCAACGACGCTCTTGCGACGTTACCGAACCGTTTTGTATCTGCAGCGGTAGATCTCTACTGCAAAGAGATCAGAAGAATAGACCACGTTTGAGGTCAAAAGCTGATACGAAGGTCCTTTACAGTATGCCGAACATCCGTGGCTCGATGCCACGAGTGGGGCGTACCATCAGATGTGGCTAAGGTATGGCCGAGCCACACGCCGAGACCGCTCAGTATACCAAAGTACTTATCAGATAGTGTTCATCTTATCTGATCAAAATCCACTCCCTCTCAACTGATTCTTGTCATACCTTTCGAAATGGCTTCTGCGGAGAAAGAGTGGCACGCCAAGTTCGGACTGGACCCTGTCATGGAAACGCATCCAGATACCTCGTCTGAATCCATACTAGAAGCTCCCCAGGAGATCAGAAGGCGCCAATCAGGTTTGCAATGCGTTCAATGGTTCTTTGCTTGGCGCTGACCGGTGTTGCAGATGAGTCCAGTGCACCTAGTCAAGATGTCCTCGCTGCAGCGGGAGTCGGCCTCCAAGAGGATGATCCGGACCTTCCTTGCCTCACAATTCGGATGTGGACTATAGGCATCATCTTTTGCTTGCTTGGAAGCGGCCTGAACACCCTTTATACATTTCGCTTTCCTTCGGTATCTCTTTCGCAATCGGCGGTCCAGTTCTTGGCCTTCCCGGTGGGCAGAGCCTGGCAGTATACGATACCAGATTGGGGCTTCACGGCGTTTGGATCTCGAATATCTCTTAACCCTGGTCCTTTCAATTATAAGGTCAGCCGAAAGCTATCGATACCAGTACCTGAGCCCCTATTGAGCATGTGTCTAGGAAAACATCCTCATCTATATCCTTGCCAACCTCAGCTTCATGACCCGGCTCAGCGCAGATGTCTTGACAGAACAAAGGTTCTTCTACGGCTTCAATGCTGGCTGGGGATTCGAGCTCGCCATGACCCTAGCTACCATCATCTTTGGCTTCGCCCTATCTGGCATCTTCCGTGCCGTTGTCGTTGAGCCCCCTGGCTTTGTATGGCCCGGAGTCCTAGGCAATACCGCGCTGAACAACGCACTGTTCTCTCGAAAACAGGATAGCGATAGCAGAAGGAAAAGAAAGTGGAAGATGTCTCGCTACAGGTTCTTCATGATCGCCTTCTGCGTATCGTTCTGCTAGTACTGGCTACCAGACCTACTCTTTCCAGCATTGGGCTACTTTACGTTCATCTGTTGGGCCGCACCTGACAACGCTGTCGTCAATCAGGTGTTTGGCATGAAGAGCGGAATGGGTGTCTTACCCCTAACTTTCGACTGGAGTCAGATTGCTTACATTGGATCTCCTCTTGTCGTATCCACATGGACCATACTCAACGTTCTAGCCGCGCTCGTTTTCTGGATCTACGTCGTTGCTCCGGCTATCTACTACTCCAACACGTGGTATTCGGGTCATCTTCCCTTCCAAAGCAACGCCGTGTACGACAACACCGGCATGGAGTATAATGTTACTAGAGTCATCGATAGATCCAACGGCTTCGCCTTCAACGTTACCAAGTACCAAGAATACTCCAAAGTAGGTAGGGCAATGCCAAATATATGAGACTAGAACTGACTCGCATTGTTAGATCTATATGCCAGTGACATATGCACTCAACACCTTTGGGCTGTGTTTCGCCTCGGTCGCCGCCTTATTCGTGTGGCTGTTTCTCGAGAAACGCCATCAGATAATGAACATCGCTCGAGCTTCATCTCTTGGCAAAGTGTTCGGTGCAAGCAAGACGCACCGCAAGAACGTTCAGCCCCAGTACGAAGGTGTACCAACTTGGTGGTATGCCATCGCGGCACTGGCTGGTATCGCATTGGGTATGTTCGCCTGCGAGTACTATGATGTCCAGTTGCGGTGGTACGGCGCTCTTTTCGCATTCGCAATTTCCACTGTATTCTTCGTACCAGTAAGTGTCAAGCCGCCTTCTTCAATGTTTTATGGCATGAGACTCATTCGGTTCATCAACAGCTGGCATGGGTATATGCGACGTCGAATGTGAAGATTCAAATCGATATCATGTGCCGCATCATCGCCGGCTACGTTTACGAAGGTCAAGTCCTGGCCAACATCTGGTTCTTCAATCTCGGATACATTTCTGGCATCAAAGGCCTCGCGTTCGCGCAAGATCTGAAGTTGGGAATTTATTGCAACGTATGTCTCAGCATGCTCGGTACTCTCAAATATCTCTCCTGACGTGTTCTAGATCCCACCGAAGAAGCTTTTCGCAGCACAGTTCGTCGGTCTGGTAGTCGGTGCCGTTTCCCAAGTTGCAGTGGTCAACTGGGTACTCCACCACATCCCAGATGTGTGCACCAAGGACGCAACAAACGGCTTTACTTGCCCCTTCTCACGCACTCACTTCAACACGTCCCTTATCTGGGGCGCCGTAGGACCCCGCCGCTTCTTCGCAACCGATGCTCTCTACCACCCGCTGCTATATTTTTTCATTCTCGGTGCGCTGTTACCCATCGCAATCTACCTACTGCGCAAGTTCGTATTCACACAATCAAAATGGTTTGCTCGAGCCCACGCGCCACTCCTTCTTGGCGGCTTGAACTATATTCCACCCGCTTCAGGAACCAACTACGGAAGCTGGGCGATTGTTGGCCTCATCTTCGGGTTGTGGCTCAAAAGGCGAGAGCACGCCTGGTGGCGGCGATATAACTTCGTACTAAGTTCTGCGCTCGATTGCTCAGTAGCGATCGCTGGGATACTTATCTTCTTCACCATCTTCTACACGGGTGCGGCGGACAACTTCTCCTGGTGGGGAACGGATGTGTACAAGAAGACGTGTGATTGGAAGGGATGCGCGTACAGGACTATTGAGAAGGGGCAAACTTTTGGCCCTTAGGTACTCCAGTGCAGGCATCTGACGATGTCCGATCAGCCAATGTTGCCGTGACTTATTGCGCATGACCGTATGCCTACATATCACAGTCCTATATCTACTTCACGACGTTGATACCGTACGCTGAATATGGGAAGTCCTCAAGACTGTGTCTCATCTCTGCCATCCTATCATCCGACAAGAGCCGACCATCTTCAGCAAGAAAAGGACTGTTAGTGTCCCTTTCAAGGGGCCCCCCATAATCCGGCACGTTACCATCCTCCTCCGTTGTACCCATAAGGACATCCATCTCCCGTCCTTTACAGACTTCCGCTAGCCCAGGATGTGGCACCCACACGACGCGCATGCCTGCTTTTCTCGCTGCCTCGACGCCTGCAATCGAATCTTCGAAAACTAAGCATTCACGAGGCTCCAAACTACGCTCCCCGCGAGCTGCTTCAGTATCGTTCAGTCTCTTTAGAGCGAGTAGGAAGATATCGGGTTCTGGCTTCTTTTTGCTATCGGACATCTCCGGGTCATCGCCGAAGACATGAAAGGCAGGATCATCGAATGCTTTGTTGATGGCTGGTATGTGCGACGTCTTTAGGGCGAACTTTTGATGACCGGCGGAGCTAGCTAGTGAGAGCAGGACGGGAGGCGAAGTCCTTGTTTTGAGGGTATCAAGAAGAGTCTCAACACCGGGGAGTACTTTACTATTCTTAAAGAGATGTATGCCTTCCTTCTCTTTGGCTGACCATTCCGTGGGTGTGAGGGGTACTTGTGCCCAATCAAGCAGGCGCTTGGTACCCTTTACAAATAATGAGCAGGTCAAGCGATATCCCGAGGCTGAGCAATACGAACCTTTGTGCCTCTACTTTGCTGTGTAACTTTGATTCTCCAAGGATAGTCTGGTCTTCCATACTCGCGAAGGATGTTGTTGTAAATATCAGTGTAAATGTCTTCTGAGTTGATGAGTGTACCGTCTACGTCGAAGATGCATGCGCGTACGGGCGGCAGGGAAGCCATGTGAAACAACTCCGACGAAGTACCGAATACCGACAGAGCTTGATTCCGGCCTTGTGTTCTGGTTCACAGCTGCAGATTAGGTTGTGTTCTACTTCACATCTGGATTTCGGAGTTATCTCCGTCTACCCCGCGGAGACTAACCGAATAGGGATTGATCTGCTCTGCCCAGCATGTGAAGCATCTTGGAATCAGTCACAACGACCAACACTCACTCTTACTATAGAGCAAGCGAAATTTCGGCTATGGGCAATGGTTACAGGCTACTGGTCTCTTCACTTGCGTTAGTCAAATCCTTTTTTCACTTTCTACTAGCAGATTTAGTGTATGGACTCAATACTTCATGTTCTCTCAATACACTATCTTACAAGTCTTTAGCGAAGATGCTGTGCTCAGATACCGCCAAATCGGCGTCCGGGAGATAAGCCATCGCGGAGTTGCTTCCTCGAAAGCTTGCAGAGAGATACCCGCCTTTTTCCTATTGCAGATCTACACAGTCTGGTGAATGCTGAGTGCATGGTAGCGCATATACCGATTCCTCTGCATTCAACTGCCGCTCAATCCTACTTACACTAGACATCGCTGATACGAGTGCCAATACATTCGAGTGGGTGTCTGACATGCATACCAACTCCCCTTGCGAGCCTAGTCGCCATACTGCTGAGACTCACCTTGTGTGAAAGGACATCGTAGGCGCTGTGCGCATGACTCAGCTTGTTGTCACATGTGACTGCATGGCTACAACTTGACTTTAGGTACATGGTGGCTGCAGGGCGACTGTATGTAAGGAGTCAAGTTTCCCTTCGGAAAATCTCCACTTACCTTGGGCTAGACTTTGGCCGACCTACACGTGTATGCAATCCAGCTAGTGTCGCACGGCAGCGTATCTTGTTCGCAGAATTTCCCCACACGGGTCGATCAGCCACTGGCGGTTGATGTGCGCCACCTTATTTTGTTTTCGTCCTACGAATTCAGGGGCCGACCTGGGAAGATGATGTTTGGTCATGTCGTGACGTGACGCAGGCCGGACGAGAAGGTCGTTCAGCTTTGCTGTCGCGTTGGCGAACACGCCTGGGGTGGCGATATGTACAACCATTTGAACGATGTAACAACGCGATTGCGCTCAGCTAATACAGCTAAGAAGAATGAATACTGATAGGATATCGTAGAGCTACGGCACAAGAGCGGCATAGCAACCTGGCGTCCTGTACGTAGCTATTCTTAGCGCTAGTCGTTCCCAGTTCGTATCGCACATCGTGAAATCTAGGATCTGTCGTAGGGCTACGGAGATGAGTCCGAACCGTCCCGCATGTTAGGCGCGCCATCGCGCAGCGACACTGTTGTCCAATGTCGGCAATGTGTAACGAGCAACGTGCTGTTAGACCCCGAGATCACCAGACATGTCCGTGAGAGCGCCAGGCCATAGCGCTTGACTGCACAAAATCAATAGGAGAGCTTGTAGAAGCTAACAGAAATCGAGGAAAATAGATTGAAGCTGCTTGTGTAGTGCATGCGCTGATTGGCTGTGATAAGACCCTTTACTTATCCGGTAATACCAAGCAGCGGGACACCTGCCTAAGCGAGTACTAACAAGATAGCGGTCCGTATGTCGTCCCTGTTTCTTGCTTGTCAGCCGCAATATAAAAAAGTCAACTATTGAAAAGATGCAGCTCGCGTGCTGATACGTGCAGACGACGTCGCAGTCATGCAGTCGGCTGTCACCAACGTACCCACCGAAGTTGGAAGACTGTGCGGCCGTGATGTGGCATCGGTCTGATCAGGCGCGGCAGAGCATGAGCTGAGCGGTGGTCAAGGTGTACAGATACTAGACGCTTATATACCTCTTCTGCCTGGGATACTGTAGGATATCCTGGGTGATGTAAACAGCCGGTGCGCCCTCTTGCACTCGGAACTTTGTCAATTACATACACTTTTGTCGTTCGTTTGGCTTTCCCATTGCGCCACAGATGGCGCAACTTCATGCCTCGCGGCACCCATTTAGCCTACTGCTCCTTGTACTGTCCCTGGTATGGTACACTAGCGGACAAAGTACCGCGACACCCGACTTGCCTAGCAACACCACGACCCCTGAACCGAAGAAAGGATGGAATGCCGAAGGGTGTTACACGGACAGCGTTGGCGGCCGAACTCTGTCCGTGGGAATGGGAGTAGCAGGTGGCATGACGAATGCGAAGTGCAGAGATGCATGCCGGGCAGGAGGCTTTGTGCTGGCTGGTACTGAATATGCTGGCGAGTGCTTCTGTGACAACCAGATCAGAAACAATGGCGGTCCTGCACCTGATGGCGAAGCGAAGTGCAACATGCCGTGCAACGGAGACCAGACGGAGATGTGCGGCGGTCCTGATCGCTTGACATTCTTCAGATTCTATACAGGTGGTGAATCAACCGTCTCCGCAACCACTTCACCAACTGCTTCACCCACTGCTTCACAGGCGACGTCTGCGACCAAGACAACTAGTGCGGTGCCTGTCGCTACTGGGCTCCCAGAAGGGTTCGAGTACAAGGGCTGTTATGTTGATGGACCTGGATTCCGCATAGTCAACTACCAACAACCCGATGATCAAAGTATGACCATCGCGTCATGCGCCAGCAAGTGCGCGAAAGCTGGTTATGAGATCGCAGCGATGGAATATAGTTACCAGTGCTTCTGCGACAACACCGTAAGTATAATCGAGGCTGTCCATTTGCAAACCACTAACTCCCGCAGGTGAGAATGGGTGGTAAACCTGCTTCTTCCGAATCGGAGTGCAACACCAAGTGCGCGGGTAATCAAGACGAAACGTGTGGAGGTCCCAACCGGATGAGCATTTACTCAAGCCAAGATCCGTTGAAGGTCATCCAGGTTCCAGTTCCTGTCCAGAATGTGAGCGATTGGAGATACCAAGGATGTATTACCGACGCTGGCAATCAAGTTTTCCCATGGAAGCTAGTGAACCAAACTGGCAATTCTCCAGAGTGGTGTCTAAGTCAATGTCAAGCCTTTGGCTACATGGCAGCTGGAATGGAGTACGGTGAAGAATGCTATTGCGGAGACCTCGACGGTATCGAGAAGATCGGTTCGAAGACCGTCGCAGAGTCTGAATGCAACATTGCTTGCCCAGGAAATCCCGAAGCCCTCTGCGGCCAAGGCAACCGGCTCAGCTGGTACAAGTGGGAAGGCGAACCATTGTATGTATGGGAGTATCCTAAAGGCATCGCGGCTGGACGCTACGAGTTCTTGGTTGGTGGTCCCATCATCCCCTTGATTGCGCAGCCTGGTGTCAACGGTAAGGTATCCCTCCTCGAAAAGCACGGAACAGGAGAGCCAAACACGACTGGTGCATATGAGTTTGATCCTTCAATCGGTGGCGACATCTTCCATGCATTCCGTGAGCTAAGCGGCATCAAGACGGACATCTTCTGCGCTGCAGGCCTAACCTTGCCGGATCGTGCGGGTCGGCAGATCAACATCGGCGGATGGTCGACAGACTCATTGTTTGGCGTCCGCATTTACTGGCCAGACGGTTCTGCTGGTGTCAATGGCACGAACGACTGGCAGGAAGATGTTAACACAGTCAAGCTCCAGAGAGGTCGATGGTATCCGACAGGGATGGTTATGGCTAACGGATCGATGCTGATTGTCGGCGGGCAAGATGGCTCAAATGGTCCGCCAGTGCCAAATATGGAGATATTGCCCACCGTCGGGCCTGTATATGAGGCGCAGTATCTCAGGGATACCGACCCGTACAACCTTTATCCCTTCCTAGTCGTGCTGCCATCCGGTGGTATCTTCATCCAGTACTACAACGAGGCACGCATCTTGGACGAAGTCAGTTTGGACACAGTCAAGATCTTGCCAAAGGCACCAGCTGCCGTCAACGATCCTACAGGGGGGCGAACTTACCCGTATGAGGGTACTCAAGTTCTTCTTCCTCAGTACTATCCTTATGATGCACCGTTGGAGGTCCTCATCTGTGGTGGCGCAGCAAGACAACCTAAGTGGGGACTCGACAACTGCGTTAGCATCGAACCAGATGTTGCCAACCCCGAATGGACTCTCGAACGTATGCCCTCTCGACGTGTCATCTCGTGCATGGCAACGCTACCAGATGGCACCTATCTGATTCTGAACGGAGCTGAGGTTGGCGAAGCAGGTTTCGGTCTTGCGGATCAATCCAATCTGAACGCTGTTCTGTACGATTCGCGGAAGCCACGTCACCAGCGTATGAGCATCATGGCCAACACGACCATCGCGCGCATGTACCATTCCGAAGCCGTGGTCATGGACGATGGGAGAATACTTGTATCGGGCTCTGATCCCCAAGATCAGGGCAAGCATCCTCAGGAGCACCGGATAGAGGTCTTTCTCCCACCTTATCTGCTCTCTGGTGCATCGCAGCCTACCTTCGACCTACCCCAGAACGACTGGATTTGGGAGGCAGACTACTCTTTTACGGTAACTTCGTCTTCCGGTGGTCCGATCAAAGTTTCGCTGCTCGGATCTGAGTCTAGCACTCATGGAAGCTCGATGGGTGCGCGCATTCTATTCCCGAGCGTGTCTTGCTCAGGCAGAGCGTGTACAGTCAAGGCGCCAAAGGGACCATACGTTGCTCCAGTGGGCTGGTATAGGATGTTTGTTCTAGATGGACCTACACCCTCGCATGCGAAGTGGGTTCGTCTTGGTGGTGACCCGGCTGCGCTTGGGAACTGGCCTGACGCCGCCGCATTTCAGCCACTCCCAGGTCTGGGACCCGTCGGACCTGTGGGAAGATCAAGCGCGAATGCGACCGTACCAAGGTCAATCTCGACCGTTGCTCTGAGCTTCAAGGGCTGATCCGATTCCTGGAAGACGTGTTGAGCGATCTAATGTCTATTTGTTAATTTGGTAGAGATAGTGGAAGTACTCACGTAGAGCGAGTCCTGGAATACTGCAATTCAGGATGTATGGCATGAACATCCGATAAATTTTGATGTGTCTAATGTACATGTGTGGACAGGTCTGTGTCTGATGACCGCTGATGGTTAGCGCTGATATTGGACCCAATGTAGTGCGCATACATGCAACATACTGTTTAAGCTGACCAGTTATGGATCAATGTCGTTCGAGGTCCTTCCCACATTTGCGCCTAGCGATTGAGTACTGAATGGCCTCCTACCGGCTGCAATTTTGCGTACTTGAGCCATAGACTCCTCAAGTCATCTCATCATCTTCGTCTTCGCTGCTCGGGAAGCTCCATTCACTTGACTGCGCATAGTCGTACTCTTCATCAGATTCTGCCGTACTCAGCGCCCTTGTGTCGTACGTTCGCGCGCTGAAGGCAGAGTAAGCAGACCTCTTGGGCGAGTTTGACCTTGACCGACGGCGCTTGATGGTCTGGACGTAGCTTACAGTACTGAGGTCGGTGTGTAACATGTCTCGAGCCGGAGATGGTGAGTGAGGACGTTTCTTGCTCGGTGCGGGGGTCAGGGCTTTTGATTGCACATCTTCGCCTGTAAGATCAATTACCATGTGCTCGTCTACGGGTTCAAGGTCGTTTTGCGAAGTCGCTGGTCGGTGATGCTTCGGACCTTGGTATCTTCGTTGAATGCGCTCCTGGATTTCTTCTTCGATCGCGCGCGATTTGGCACGCTTGGTGGGGTGTTGTGGCATGTCCGCTGTCATCAGAGCCCACAGTTCGAGATGGTTGGTGGATCCGGAAACGCCATCCGGGGCGATCTGATCATCTTCCTTCTGGTGCTGATCTTGCCACTTGCTCCCTTTGGGCGCTCTGTATTTACTATTACGAGGCCGTGGACGCCAAATGTTCTGATTATGTTGAGCCATGGCGGATGGTGGAGACGCGAAGGCAGGCGTCGCCCCAGGTCTGAGGTAGTCAATTCGTGGTTTGATTAGATAGCGGGAGTCGACTGCGAGTTAACGGTCTGGTAGAGAGAAATGTTAAGCAGCAGCGGTAGATAGCGTATGATGCTGCAAGAAGGCGGGAGTAGACGCGCTGGAGAAAGTCGCGTTAAGCCCAGAATCTGCCACGACGCGTAGATTTTGCAAAAGCTGAGAGTCGGGAAGATGTGTGACAAATTCGATGGTGATTCCTTTTCTCACGAGAGGGAGTCCCGATGCATTACCGAATACGCGATAGTCCTCTGGCGACGGCAAACGCCCAACGCTCTTGCATGGAGTCTAGATGTTCGCCTTGATCGGCACTCCTTGTGGGTGGGGTCGACGACGCGCCTCTTGGCGCTGTCGACGACAATCAACTTTCTTCCCACTACAACTCTCCATGCTCCTCCATCGAGTCTCTTGTATTCCGCTTCTTTTTATTGCAAACGGAATTATCACATGCTAGTTTCGGCTCATCAGCCTTTTGCAGCAGCCACTGACGACTTCGGCTAATCCTAGCCGGAGACAGACGCGGCGATTACGCCCGGCAGGCCGCCCTGCACCACACCCAACGCTCATGTCCGAGCTACTCTAATATCTGATTGCAGCAAAATCTAGTCACCTGTCTTGCGCATGCACGCAACTACCACACTTCATCTTTACTGGACGTCTTGGCGAGTGTTGGTTCTCGGAGGCATAGCAACGACGCCTCAAGCGCGACCATTGTAGGCGCGCTCGACACCGTAGACCGCTTACGACGACTTCGCCAACTCCGACGGAGCGAGGTATGCACGCAATCACCACGTGCCATTCCTGCAAGATACTCCATGAATAAGACGCGGCATATGAAAATGCATGGGAAACTCCGCTCGTCGACATATACCCTGATATGATTGGCCGGGCGCCTGAAAAATGCGAACCTAACAACGCAGCACTGATCGTCTGCGCTTGGGTTACCAGTGAGCTGGATACCGCACAATCCATCTAAAGCGCGCCGGTAGGAAGCCCAAGGCCGCCATTTGACCGCTCCGTCTTGCCTCTCTTCGTTGAAAAAAAAAACAACAACAACGGAAAAAACAAAATGTCAGCGTCGAACAATTCCCCAGACACTAACGGGAGCGCCCATGATTACTCCACCGCTGAAGAGGCTAGCAGCTCCGGTCCGTCGCTCGAAATCGACGTGCGTTCCCTGTCCCCTTGCTTAGCCATATTGGCTCGCCCGACTGACAGCTGTCACAACAGAGCGAGGACACTGAGGGACAAAGCGACGAACGCGACTCCGATTTTGGTGATTCTGCTTACGGTGACAACCAATCTTCCTACACCATGTCCGCAACCTCTTCAGTGTTCCACTTTCGCTATGAGAATGGCAGACGGTACCACGCCTATGCCGAGGGAAAGTACCCGGTACCCAATGATGAGGTGTGCAACTTACTGGTGTGTGTAGCAGTGCGGCCGCTGACACTAGCGCTAGGTGGAAGCAGATCGACTAGACCTACAACACCACGCATTTAGACTTACACTAGATGGCAAGTTATATCGTGCGCCTATCCCCAAGGATGTACAAAACGTGCTCGATGTAGGATGCGGCACTGGTATCTGGTCTATTGAGTTCGCTGATGAGCATCCGTCCGCTCGTGTTCTCGGTACCGATCTAAGTCCCATCCAACCCGCGCAAGTGCCTCCCAACTGTGAATTTCTCATCGATGACTGCGAACAAGACTGGATTTTTCGTGATCAGTTCGATTACATCCATACGAGAGCCATGGTGGCAGCCATCAAGAACTGGGATCGCTTCTTCGAACAGGCCTACGCCAACCTCAAGCCAGGAGGCTACCTGGAGTGTCAAGACATCGCCTTTCCCATAAGATGCATGGATTCTGGTGTTACAGTAGAAGACTCTCCCCTGATCCGCTGGTCGGAGTACTTTCTTGAAGCCGCTAAGAAGATTGGCCTTGATGGTACTTCACCAAGGCACTTCACGCCACAGCTTCGTAATGCTGGCTTCAAAAATATCAACCTCAAGTCGTACAAATGGCCTGTTGGCAAGTGGGCAAAAGGCGCGAGGTTCAAGTTACTCGGTCGCTTTGTTCACGAAGATCTGATGGACTGGCTCCCAAGTAGTTCACTCGGGTTATTCACACGCGTGTTGAAGTGGTCGCGGGAAGAAGTGGAAGTTTTTCTATCTGAGTGTAGAGCGGAGGCAAAGAGGAAAGACCGACATTACTATGCTGATGTGTAAGTGAACATCATCATGACCAGGTGGCGTTGCTAATCCTGTAGTTTCTTCTATCACGCCCGCAAGCCGGAAGGCGCAAACTATTCAAATCTGGAACAAGATTTTGTGTCATGGGAGGAATCAATAGATCGTGATGAAGAAGACGACGGACACCATGCGAGGCCATCAACCACAAACTCTACTTCTTCGGCACACACTACGGCTGGCCCACCTGCTGCTTCCGCTACCAAAGAAAATAACACATCGGAGAAAGGCGCCAAAAGCTCCACTACCGAAGACTCGACAACACCAACATTGCATACTCGAACTGAGAAGCCGGTCGTCACTGACAGCGATAGTGGGAAATGAACATATGGTAGTCAAGAGATCTATATAATGATAAACGAACAAAGAACACACTCCACTGCCATACCAGAGATATCACGTACAGACAACACCCGATCGTCAGGTCAAAAGAAAGTCTTCCCACTCACAGCCCATCAATTTCCAAGCTACAAGATTACCCACTTCCCACAAACATCAACTGCGCGACCCTCTTCCTCTCCGCCTTCTCAACACACTCATTCCACCTTGCTATCCTCTCCCGCCCGTCAAAGTTCCACATAAATCTCAACACCTTCTTAACATACAGCTCATCTTCCCTTCTCGCCCTCCATCCTCTCCCAGGCTCAGCCTGCTGCCAAAGCATCTTATCATGCCATGCGTCCGGTACACCCTTGTAATCGCGCATCTCGCCTTCACCGGGGAAGAGGCGTCGCCATGCGGCTCTAGGACCTTCATAGTCCAAGGGAGAAATCGAGAGGGTGGGAATAGATAAGGGGAGCGGGAGCTGGAGTGCAGATTTGGGTTCTGGTCTTGGGAGCGGTTTGGCTTTTATGTGGATGGGGGAACGCGGAAGGGGGGCTGAGCGTCGGGTGTTGGAGTACTGTTTCTTATACGGATTACTGCTCGAAGCAACAGCAGTAGCAGGGGGATGGTCTGGTTGACGAGCGGGTCGTTTTAGTGGAGGTTCATCCCGAGAACTTGATGCAGTCCCAACACGGGAAATTTGTCCAGATTCGCTGTTGTACTTCAAGGCCCTTTGCCGTTTTGTTCCATTCCTTTTCTTTCGCTGTTTCTCTTGGTCGGAGTCGCTATCGGTACGATCACGCTTTGAAGTTTTGCTCTCAAACTCTCTTCCATCATGAACACGCTCGGCAACAACTTCATTCCAGATCCGTGCTGGAATGCGGAGTTTGGGTGATCTTTTGGCTTTTGCTTTGGCAGGAGGAAGAGTAGTATACAGCCCTCGCTGTGGTAAAGCATTCTCCGTTCCATTCCCTTTCCAGGGCTTCGGGTTTAGTGCTACACCCTCTTGCACCCGCACTTCTGCTTCGCTTGCCCTCATCTTTCCCTTTCCTTTGTAAGGTTTTGGTGCAACCTGCACCTCCGCTCTCGATTCCGCTTCCGTCTCTACTTCTTGTTCTTCTTCTGTCTCTTCTCCTTGTTCCTGCTCCACAACAGTAGCCGCAGACATCGTGCTCCCAAACATACGCATAACATTTCTCGCGAAGTTATCATTCATAGCCTGAATCGCAGGCGTTGTGATCAAACGCTGGTAGGCGCTTGAAGCCATTGAAGGAGGATGGGAGACAGTTTTCGACTCACCGGTGCTGGATTTAGAAGTGGACGACATATTTGCTGGTGCTTTTGCGTAAAACCTAGAAATGTGATGCTTAAACGAGTGTCTGAAGTTTGTTGCTGGAAAATCAATACGGGAGCGGGAAGGGGCTTGATGTTATATAGAAAGAGTGTGAATACAGTCAGAATGCGTTCTTGGGTGCGACCAAAATGATCTCAGGTGCTAGAGTTGGAACCATGGATAGCATGAGTATCAGTTGCATGGTATGGTCGATGCTGGTTGGAGGCCTCTGCAAGCGCTTGCCGCTGTAGGCGCAAAATCATAATATGGCCAGAGGGCTTCGCAGCACCTTTCACAGTGCGGTCGGCCAGATGACAATATCCTGAGGATAGTCAGCCATATCGAGTGGCTCCCGATATTCGGCACGAGGACGACTCATAATGCACGTGACTTCTGTCTGGCAGACCCTTGGGTGAGCAAACTTACAACCAATGAGGAATTCAGTGTTGCACGCCTAGATGGCGCGCCCGAAAGGTGATAACAGCAAAAGAGGTGAGAGATCCAAGTACGATGGGTAAATTCTATGTACTGCTACAATGCTGATACTAATAATGCATTAATCACTCTAGCGGACTCGCATCGCAAATATTAAACATTACGACATGACGCGAAACACGGGTATCTCATATAGCCGCCACACTCTCTCTTGCTCTTCCGCTATCCATCTTACTGAAGGCCATGATCCTCTCATGTTCAGTAGCTTCCTGCTCTTTGAATTTGGAAATAAGGTCCATCGTGCTTCGCCTCACACTGACCAAGCTTCGTTCCTCGCAAGCGCTGTCAACTTGATCCTTGAAGACGGAAGATTTCGCGCAGCTTCCATCGCTCAACTGACTCATCTGACTGACTCTGCGTGAGTGTTTCGGCAAGGTAGTAGGCATAGCTCGTGATTGCATAGATGCGCGCTTGCTGTCGAATGCAAGCCGGTTAGGATGACTAATGCCCTCGAGGACTCGGTTGGTATCTATACTTAGACGAGAACAAGTATCGAGGCAGTTCTCGTAGTAGACCGACCAAACGTGTGCACGATCACGTGCGTGCTCCGAATCAGCAGCGCCATCGCCAAATGCCATCTCGTTGAGGTTCGGCGCGGAGGAGTTACGACGCGGACGGAGTGTCGCCATGGAGTCGTCTGCTCGCAATCTGCCTTTAGATCTGGTGACCTTTATCAAAGGGTCTTTTTCCAGCGCCGATTTCTCATCCCCTGAATCCTGCGTGTCTTTATCTCTTATGTGCGGGCCACTCGTCCATACATGGGGCAAAAGCTCGAGTTCAGGGTGTTCTAGAATACCACCAGATGCGATAGAGCTGCGATGTCCTCGACCATGCCTTTGGAACTCTGTGCTCTGACTTCTGAACATCTTGGCATAGTTCTTCATGAGGGTTTTGCCAAACGTCATGGAGTTGCTCTTCGCAATGCGACCACTCCCAATCTTCCTCTTTTTCCTCTTCTCACCCGGCTGCAGTGGGGTAGATAGTCTTCGCTCTGTTGGGTCGACTAAATCCTCATCGTCTGTCGCCGAGGCAAATTTTATCGCCGCCTCAAGAGCAAAGTCGCGAGGCTGAACGTTATCTGCCTTACCTGCAGACGCGGTGCGGTCATGGCGCGTATGCGAAGGATAACTGCCCCAAGCCCCAATGATTTCTGTACCGTCGCCTTGTCGCTCGAATGCAGCCGCTACTTCTTGCCCAGCACTAGCATCATCGCGCCCCGTCCAAGCGCTACGTCGGGATACCAAGGTGAAAAGCCCATCAGATCGCTCGTCATCGGGTGTTTGAAGGGTCGGGCACAGTGTCGACACCCGCGTGCTCGACCCATCGTCAGCTCGGCTGGTTGGATCTAGTCCTTCAACGCTGACTCGTCTAACAGAAACGCTTGCGCTACGTTCGCGGAAGGGGCTCGCATGAATGGCAAGATCTCTGTTCTTGGGGAAGAAAAGAGATGCTTTCTCTTCTTGGTGAGCTTGCAACGCGCGATCCCATACATGATTGGCACCCTTATTCTTCCCGAGCGCGTCCTGTTGGACCTGCAAGCTTACCAATGATCGAGACGTACGACGTTCGTGATCAACAGACATCGCCAGCGTATCTGATGGACCATCCATAGCGGCTACTGAAGCTTCAGGATAAAGATTCGATTCACTCTGGCTGCGCAAATTCAGGCGCTTCGGATTCAGAAACTTGATGATGGATGCTGATTGCGTCATCTTTTTCTTTGGTGGAGATGGACCGAACTCTTCCCGAAATTTGGAGGTTTTGGTATCGGCAATGCTGTTGTTGCGTGCTAGTGGCACCGGCACGGCGAGGAATGAGGGTTCGATCGCGTTGCCGGTCACAGCTCCAAGGCCATTCACGCCATGTCGTTTGGCTGGTCTCGGTGTATCTTCGTTGTCTGTAGGAAAAGAAGCGGAATGTCGAGGCCGTCGTAGGTCAGAGGATGAGATACTGAAGGCTTGGTTTTCAGTGCTGGTACGCGACAAGTTCACCACGGATCCTCCATAGCTATCAGGTGGGCTCCGTGGTCGACTCGAATAGATAGAGGAAGTAACATCTGGCCGCATATCGAGGTCATAGGATAAGACATTGCCCCACTTGCTCGGTACTTTTGTGCTTGCAAAGCCAGAGCTCGATGTTTGCCGTTCATGGCGGGCAAGTTGTTGGTTTCGTGGCGGATTTCGGCTCTGGTCTGAAACAGTACGTTCCCGGAATATACGAGGTGACGTTGGGAGGTCTGGTGCGTCGGCAAGCTGATCCCAAGAAAGAAGAGAACCTGAGCGTAGATGGTGCGAGATGCGCATGCTGTAAAGATGAACAGAGCGACGTGGGTTGTCATCATCTCCATCTTCCTTTCCTTCTTCCGCTTTTCCGCCTTCTTTGGACGACGAGTTCTCACGGGGAGCGCCTCTAATAGATGTAGATGGCCTGGGGCTTGCAATGGAAGTAGGCTGCTGAACCCGGATCTCAACCATACGAGCAGAAAGAGTATCAAAGGGCTCAGATGCTCGTTGTGGCGATGCTGAGGCGGTGCTATCCTGCTTTTGGTGTCGACCATGGCTGTCTTTGAGATGTCCGTCTTTGCTCAAAGTGGTTGTAGATGCGTTGGGACTGAGATAACGTGGAGGCACGGGAAATTGTGAAAGACGAAGACTCGCATGCATAACCTCAGACCGTGGCATACCAGTAAGGTCGTGGCTGGTAAGGCTTGGTAGCCGTAACGGTGAGATTGGCGAAGGTTTCGGCAGACCCATGGATGTAGCCGAATGCGAGCGTCGCACTCTGCGATCTCGTTCACCAGATGTACTCGATCTTAGGTTCGGCGTGCTGAACACTTGACTAAAGCGGCTTGACAAAGGAACGGCCTGTGGCTTGTTGATACAGTAGGGGTAGAGATCGCGCTTGAGCTCGGCACTGGTGCAGCCTTTGGTAGAGGACTCAGGCGTGCATTTACTGTGGTCTATTAGCATGACGCGAAAAGTATACTCAAGTCTGCTAACCTTCCGGTGGTCGTCGTCCAGTCGACGCTGTGGATGCTCGGCCTCTTGCTTGGCGATTTCTTGCCCATGTTCTTTGCAATGTCGTCAAGGACTTCAGCGTCTGGATCATATCCTCCTTCGTCCGGCTTCTTGTCACTAAGTAGATCTTTGCGTAGCATGTCTTTAGTGATTTGAAGCTGCTGGTTCGGGCCGCCTTTCAGCTGCTTGACTACAGTGTCGGGGGTAGATGTGATGCATCTCTGCTTTGGCTGGTCGTGTACCGAGGGAGCACCGAAGACCTTCTTGGGAAGCTCTTTCGAAAATTTTCGTCTCATAAGGGAACGCATACTCGTCATATTGTGTAGACTGCGGATGCTATGCATTGAGGGGCGACTGAAGCGTGCACGCAGCGCCCGCATCGGCATAGCTCGATCTTCGTCGGAATCTTGTGCATTGTGGAAGATTTCATGGAGCTCATGGAGGTCTTCAGAACGGGCACTTGTGAATCGTGAGCTTGGTGAACTAGTGCCTTTGCGTAACAGTGGCCGGTTCACTGGTGTGGGCTGGCTGACGCGGGCGTTGGGCAGCTCAGGCGAACCTGAACGATCGTCCTGCTCCGCTGTACAGCACAGGTTGGTCGCCATGATGATGCGTTAGTGGAGGAAGGTTAGCTAGGCGGCTGTGTATGGACGTGTGCAGGTTTGTTGATGGCTGCGTCAGCCCACGTGGAGTGCTTGCCCAGCGTCTGAAGTTTAGAAAGAGGAGTCGTAATAGCACAGCTTTTGGGAGACAACATGAGCTAGGGATGAGGCTAATAATTGGAACAAATCTCAAATCATATGAGAATATCTTGTGCGTGACGAAGGGCGGACGTGATTGCGTGAGATGCAGAGTGTCTTTGGTAGTCGCGACTGCACCTGAAATCGTAGCCTCGTATGCTCGGGGAGGAGCGCTTCATTTCCTCGACCTAGCAGTTTCCTCATAGGAGTTTGACCCCGGGATGCTTCACGAGTATGATGCGGCCGAACTGATGTTTGAGCTCGATGTATCACCAGTTATATCGCACTGAGAAACTTGATAGATGTATCACGAATGCAGGTTCCACGCATGCACTTGGAACTCAGCCCATCATCTTTTTACCGCTGGCATCTTCGCTGTATAGGGCCTGGTCCTTTATCCAAGCAGCCACGCCTTCAGTACACAGTTCCCCTACTGTATCCCATTTGCCTGCGTTTGCTGCCTTTCTCACTCTTGTAGAGCTTACACCAACGCCCTTCTCAGCTTGCACCATGTTGATGTTGTTGCCCCAAGCAGGCTCAAAGCCAGCCTTCTCCTGATTGCCGTCTTTCAGGTCCTGCAGGTATTTCGCCTGTTCCTCTGTTGTACCAAATTCGTTGGACGATTCGTCGCTGGGGTCCGTCGGTCGCTGGGTTACGCGCAGTTTGTGCCCAGCGTCGAAGAAAGGCTTCAGCGCCGAGAGAGGCGGGTCATACTTGGGGTAGTATTTTGGGTTGCAGAAGCGGATTAAGGTGTCGTAGCCTACGAGATGGATGTGAATAGGTTTCGACGCGTAAAACGCGGGTGTAGTCTCGGCTATCGCAGCCGACTTGTCACTGTAATACGGCTCTTTGGTCAAGCCAATGTCTATTGACACGTTGGACACGTCATGTTCCACGGAAGGCGACGCGCTCTTTAAACTTCGCGACAGGTCCTCGGCAAATACCGTCATGAGAGCGATGCGCTGCACAAAGCTTGCAGGACTCGGTGCCTTGTCTGCATTGTGCGTGCTAAATAGTAGTAGTAGCCGACATGGGCTCTTTTCTAAAGGCGCGGATTGCTTCAGGGCCGACGTCGCTAGTGTGAGGTGGGCAATTGATGGCGGGTTGAAGGAAGAGTCGAGGATATAGAGCGTCTTCGGCTGTGTCGGCGTGTCGTTCACAGTCCGTACGACACGGAATTTGGCGGGGGATGATGTAAAAGAATGCAGCGCAGATTCCAGATCAGGTAATATCCCTCTCAAAGAGGCTATTCGTGATGCCATGTCAGTCATTGTCGTCGTTAATTGCGAAGCTTCAACCGCGACTCAGGAGCTCAAAGCGCGGGGGAGCTCTTGTCGCGTTCGGCACGTCATTCTTCTCATCCCTGTCTCTCACACCAACACCGACATCCCAGCACTCATGCAATCCTGACAGCATCAGATGTGCGACACACTTCATCACCTTAGTAGAAGCGCATAATTTTTATAGTATGGACATTGAGTTGCGGCATTGTAAACGTAACTACTGGAGCGATCAGAAGAGTATCTCAGCCGGCTTTGGCTCTCCCGCAACGGCTATGTACTGAGTAAAACAACAACGAACATAGAGGTACACCAAATTATCATCGTAGTCCCCGACGGTTCTCGCATCAACTTTGTGTTCTTTGCTGTCTCTTTGTCGACTTTTTCTTTCCACCTAGCAAACCACCACGGATGCTCACTTTGCACACCCCTCGCAACATAAAGTTCGCTGGAGACATCGCCGGGTCCCTCTTCATCCGCAGCATCATCAGCACTATCGCTACTACTGTCGTAGACCCAATCTTGACTACCTCGATCGCTGAAGCACAATACGTCTATCGCACGTCCTGGTCTGACCTTAGCATCCCAATCACCACCATCGATCCGCATATCTTCGTTGACGTCCCACAACTGGTCAACAAACAATACCTTCTTCAATCAGCACTTCCAACAGCGCACTAACGTTCTTCCATCTTGTAAAAGACCTGTAGACGAGATTTCTTTTGGAGGTGAAATGAGAATGTAGATGAGACATATATTTCGTGAGCCGCGGCAACTGAGTTCATGGGGGATGAGGTCATTTTGATATTCATCTACATCTACTAGTCTCACAAAGCGACCGTTGAGCACATAACCAGCATGAACGCAAACATCAAGGTATCTGGCATGCATCGCATCGCATCGCGAACTAAAAACGCCATGTCCCAAACACCAATCGCTGAACCTAGATCATCAAAGGATAAAAAAAATCTTGTAGCACCGAGAATGTTCGTCCTCATAACCATCGTCGTTACGACCGTCTACTCACCTACTCTCTCCTTACCCTTGACCAATGGACTGGGGCTCGCTCCACTTCCCATTCTCGCACTCCTGATACTAGTCTGTCTCGCCAAACTCGCAGAACTAGCCTTCGATCTAACCTTCATACTCTTGATCGAATTCGACGGGCTAGGTCTGGGACTTGTCCTAGGACTACTCCTGCTACTGTTCATCTGTTCGAACCTCCCTGCAAGATCTTTGACGCGACTAGCCTGCAAAGTATCATCCGCATCTCTGGTGGGAACAGACATGATACTAGCACCATCAGCAACATCTGCATTCACAACCCGCAATTTTGATTTGGGAACCGTGAACATGACTTGCACGACGCGGCGCTCGACGGCGGCTTCGACGTCCCAGTCTGCTTCGCTGGCGGGTGTGCACGGCCTCTCGTCTCCAAAAGATGGCCTGGGAACGCCGAGCTGGCCAGGCTTGATAGGCGTGTGAGGTGGTGGTAGGTCATCGTCACTGTTGATGTTGACGAGTAGGTTCCCTCGCTCTCTCCATTCTTGGCGTGCGCGTTCGCGTTCCGCCATGGCGATGTCTTCTGGTGCGCCCCAGTCGTCACCGGCTGTGCGTCGCCATGCTGGATCTTGCTCCTCTTCCAACCAGTCTTGTTTTCCTCTTCGGTTGCGCCAGAAGCTTGCATCAGAAGCTGCACGTTGGGGTGTTGACGATGTCGCGGGTAAGGAATATCTGTTACTGGATGGGGATGCGTTGACGGGTGAGATGGGATCATCTCTGTAGGGTTCGTGGAAGGCCATCGCTGTGGTCAGTGACCTCGTACGTTCAGCACTTGATACCGATCTTGTCAACACCTTGCGAACGCTTCCAAGCCAGCTCATCCTACGTTCCTTGGTCGCTGGGCGGGGAACAGTTGCCAAGTCTAATGCAAACGATGTTGCTGGTGTAGCTGTAGCAGCTCGACTATTGCTACGTTCCGTGTCGCGATGCGTAGTCGACTCAGATGAGCCGGTGTCGGGTCTAGGTCGTTCTGGGTTACCGCCCAGCAGTGCTTCGCCCTGTGCTTGCAGATGCGCGAAGGTTGATTGTGGGGTATGGAAGGAGTCGACTTCCTGCTGCCCGTTGTTTCTTAGGCTACTAAAGGATTGCGTTCGAGGATCATCTGGAGAATGTCGACCGGTCTCACTATTTCTGCTAGGCTTGTTATGAGTCGGACTTGCATCTGGTGTTCTGAATGGGTTGCCGCGTGTGGCAGTGTTCAACATGGGACCTGAACGCATGGAATTACTGCGCACGTCACCACCATTAGAAGACGTCCAAGACAGTGTACTCCTGTCGCTCAGGTTAGAGCTTGTGCGTTCTGAGCTCGATTTGTCAGGCGATAGCCTTCCTGCCATCATTGGCGGGTTCGCGTTCAGTTCATAGTTCTGGTGATTAGGCGAAGTGGGATTCGAATGGAGAGCATTCCTGTGTCCACTGCTACGACCAGGAGATTCTGTGAAGGGGTCAAGAACTGGAGCATTGTCAAATATAGCTGCCACAGTTCGTGGTCGAGTCTCGGTCATCTCCGGTTGCCTAGCTGGTGTGTTGTTGTTGTTGTTGTCGTGCGTCGATTCCTCATCAGGCTCTTCCTCCAATTCATCGATGGGATGTATTCTTCCTGGGCCCTGAGGTCTGCCCATAGCGTATTGAGGTCTGCCACTTAGGTTGCGTCGCAGCCCGCGCGTCGGACTTGGGATCTCTACGAGCAAGCCAGTCCTCTCTACATCTCCTCGGTTGGTCGCTTTCCAGCCTTGACCGCCCTGTGTGCCGGATGGAAAGTAGTACGGACCGTTTTGATCGACAAGGTAGTCCAGAGCGTCAGAGCGTCCGCCGCGGCCATCGAAGCATGCCGAGGTGTCCTCGGCGTTGTATCTGTGCGCAGTATAGGAGATTTCTTGCAGTTGCTTTTCACGAAGCTCCTTTCGCTTCTTTGAACGTCTTGTGTACCACATCCAGAGTGCGAACAAACCACATACAGCAGCCAGACCGATACCGATACCAACGCCCAAGCCTGCCTTTTGTCCGGTTGTAGACAACAGGCCGCTGTTCGCAGATTCGGACGGAGCTTGGGTGGCTGGAGGGGTGTAATCGGACATCCAGGAATTAGAAGTAACGTTGAGGAAGTAAGTTTGCGTGTTCGCCACTGACATGGTATCTCTTCGTCGCGCACTAGAGGAGGGAATGGAATAACCCCCGGTGATCATGAGTATACCGCCTGGCAGCATGGCCGCGCCATGGCCATAAAGACCAGCGTCATTCGGCAACCCAGCGCCAGTGGTAGATGGCACTGTCCACTGCCAGTTACCAATACCACCATAACCGTCTGCGACATTCAGTACAGCAAACTGAGGGTCTGCTGGTGTGTTGATGTCGCCCACCCAACCACCGACTACGATGATCTGTTGGCCATCTGGACTAAGCACAGCTGTATGACCGGAACGAGGATCGATGGAAGTAACGTCTGCTCGGATAGCCAAGTCTGTACGGGAAGTGTCGGGTTGCTCGACGCCAATGAAGGTCCAGCCCTGTTCTGGAAGGGAGAAGAGCGCTATCTGGGACATGTTGATGAAGGCGGCACTGGTGTGGCCTCCGATGAGGACAAAGTTTTGCTGTTGTATTTGCGTGCCATCACTTCGGTCGGAAAAGGTGGGCGGAAGACCAGTGATGGTGAACCCGGCTTCTGGTACAGGCGGTCCGCGGCTGGACGATACGTCAATGTCGTAGTTAAGAGGCACGCTCGCATCTACAGAAGGTTGTAAGGTGACCATGTAGTTGGAGTAATTGGCCGCCGATTGCCAGTCGCTCGCAGTGTCGTTTTGGTCAGGACACATGCCTCCGAAGAAGTATGCACCGGTGTTCGCAGCCTTTCCTCGTACGAGAGACGAGAACGTCATACCACCGCTGAGGAAGTTCGGGCCTATGATGGAAGTATGTGAACTCCCGATGACTGATACATCCTGCTTGCTCCAACTGCCCTTGACAACGTTCTCCGATGTATCTGGTACAAAGCTCCATAACTCTCCACCACTTGCACCCAAAGTGCAGTCGCCAGTGTATACAGTAAGGTTGCCGTCATGGTCGAGAACTGGGGTGAAAGCGCGCGGGGCATTGTCGTCGAGGAAGGGCAGCGTGGCGTACAACGTATTGTAGGGTAAACTCGACGCTTTGACCTGGGACGATAGATCGATGGTGCTCAGGGCGAATTGTGTGGGAGATTGGGACGACGGACGGAAAACATATAGGGTGTCGTTACTTTGGAGAAGGCGTGTAGGGTTGTAGGGCATCTGGGCTACGGCGACGGAGAGGAGCAGCGAGGCTGGAAGCAATGAGAGCCACTGCATTCGCCTTTCGAAAGACATGCTCAAGGCGGGCTCGGTGGTGGTTCTTCTAGACGCGCGAGGAGAACCTTCACCTCGAATGCCGGAATAGACGTCCCATGAACAGCGGGTGTTGGGATTTGCGGGAACGGGTAGTACAGAACAAACGACAATACAGCTGCAGTCAGTTGGAGATGTGCACAGAAGTCGAGAGGTGGGCTCAGATCTGCGGTTCATGCACGGGACCGTCGAGATGGCTGGCTATCGGGGTCTGTCAACAGAGGCCCAGCCCGCGAGCCCTCGGACCAAGTTGCGCAATGCGCTACCATGGCGCTTGTTTCTCCGTGAAAACGTGCTGGTGGCGTGCACCGGTCCAATCAGTGGTTGATGCCATCATCGAGGACTGCGCATGGGACGCGTCTGGCCCTGATTTCCCACGCCAAGCTAGTTAGTAAACAGGGTCGCTCGGGGCAACGGCTTTTATGGCTTGCCCATGATGATAGCATGTGAAGATATAGTTGTCGCCAAAGTCCGATTTGGACAATGCGTCCGTTCTTGAAGGATTCTATCCACAGCCAAATGCAAGCTGTCGTGACATGGCACGTTGGGTGTGCTGCATGATTCTGGAGTTGGAATGATGGGGAGGTTGGTAGAAGGTCGGTATGACAGCATGAGCGAAGCTCCCCCCACCTTACCGTTGGGGTCCCAGCTTCCGCACGCAAAATCGATGCCACTACCTGCCACCCGCTTGTGTTTCAGATAAACGACCCGATCAGCTGAGAATGACTGCTAGGTACATGATCTCTCGGGCCTTTGGGAGGACGAAGTTCTAGAAATCAAGGTGATGTCGGGCCTTTCGTCTGATTATGTAGATCCGCACATGCCATTCGACGCGTCCAGACCACCACCACCACGTTATCTCACCTCTCGGCCTGTCTCAACACACTTGCACATGCGCAAACTTATGAACACTTGTCTTGGAGCGACACTGACATGGTTTGCATTCAGCTCATTCAAGATGAGGTCGTCTACTCTAAAGCACAGAGCTCTTGCTCTGTCAAATCCACCACGCGACAATCGTCACAGATGATTCCCCAAATAAAATAAAACGCCAAAGTCAGCCCTTTTGCTGCTTGTGATGAACGCCGATGTTGAGATCGTTCATGCACCGATCCTCAATCCTTTTTGCACCGCCAAACGACCCATGATGCAGGTTGAACTTTTGGGTATCATAACTAGTCATTACACACATTACAAAGCAGCATGTTGATATGCTGCTTGAAGTGACTGCGTTGATGAAACGCAGTCAAAAGGATATGCCAAATGGCAAAGAGCCTAAGAAGAGTACTTCTCGCGGTAGAACTTGGCGGCGTTGACCATGTTGACAAGCGCGGCCTTGGTCTCCTTCCACTGGCGGGTCTTGAGACCACAGTCGGGGTTGACCCAGAGCTGCTCGGGCTTGAGGTAGGTCAGCATCTCAGAGATGCGGTCCTTGATCTCCTGCTCCGAAGGAACACGAGGGGAGTGGATGTCGTAGACACCAGGACCAATGTGGCGGGGGTAGGCCTTGTCCTCGAAGACCTTGAGGAGCTTGGCGTCGCTCTTGCTGTTCTCGATGGAGAGAACATCAGCGTCGAGAGCGGCGATGGCGTGGAAGAAGTCCTGGAACTCGGAGTAGCAGAAGTGGGAGTGGATCTGGGTAGAGTCCTGGACACCAGCGCACGCAAGCTTGAAAGAGTCGACAGCCCATGAGAGGTACTTCTCACGCTCAGTGCCAGCACGGAGAGGGAGACCCTCACGGAGAGCGGGCTCGTCGACCTGGATGACGTAGATGCCAGCAGCCTCAAGGTCAACAACCTCGTCACGGAGGGCGAGAGCAAGCTGTTGGGCCTGGACCGACTGGTGGACATCGTCACGGGGGAAAGACCATCGGAGGCAGGTGATGGGTCCAGTAAGCATACCCTTCATGGGCTTCTTGGCAACCGAGGCGGCGTACTTGGACTCCTTGACGGTCATAGGAGCAGGGCGGGAGATGTCACCGACGATAATCGGGGGACGGACGCAGCGAGATCCGTAAGACTGGACCCAACCCTTGGTGGTGAAGACATAACCGTCAAGGCGCTCACCAAAGTACTGCACCATGTCGTTACGCTCGGGCTCACCGTGGACGTAGACGTCAAGGCCAAGCTCATCTTGGATCTTGACAACCTCCTCAATCTCCTTCTCAATAAACTTCTCGTACTCCTCAGCAGTGATCTCACCCTTAGTAAACTTGTTACGCGAGATACGGATCTCCTTGGTCTGGGGGAAAGATCCGATGGTGGTGGTAGGGAAGGTAGGAAGGCTGAGGTGCTTCTTCTGCTGAGCGTAACGCTCGGGGAAGGCAGACTTGCGCTCATGTTGCTCGGGAGTGACGCTAGCCTGGCGGTCCTTGACAGCCTTGTTGTTGGTGCGCTCAGATGAGGCGCGAGCCTGCATCGACTTGGCGTTGGCCTCAAGAACCTCGCGGACAGCAGCTGGGCCGTCGTTGACAGCCTTGGCAATGACAACAACCTCAGAGACCTTCTGGACAGCGAAGGAGAACCAGTCTTTGACCTCCTCAGGCAGCTTCTTCTCGCTGTCGAGAGAGTGGGGAGTGTGGAGAAGGGAGCTGGAGGTGGCAACGAGGACACGGTCCTTGCCGAGCTTCTGGACAGCAGTCTCAACAAGCTCGATGGCGTTCTTGAAGTTGGTCTTCCAGATGTTACGGCCATCGACGACACCGACGGAGAGAACCTGGTTGGAGCCAAGCTTGCCAATGACGCCCTCGAGCTGCTCGGGGTTCCTGACAAGGTCGATGTGGATACCAGCAACACCCTGGAGGCTGGGGAAGACCTCGAAGTTGTGAACAACGTCACCGAAGTAGGTGGCGAGGACAAGCTTGGGCAGGTTGCTGCCGACGAGCTTCTCGTATGCGGGCTTGAAAGCGTCCTTGACCTTCTGGGGCAGGTCGTAGACGAGGACAGGCTCGTCAATCTGGACGTATTCGGCACCAGCCTCCTTCAGCTTCTGGAGGAGCTCAACGTATACCGGCAGCAGCTTCTCGAGGAGAGAAATGGGGTCGACGGACTGGCCACGGTCGGCCTTACCGAGAGCGAGGAAGGAGACAGGTCCAATGAGGACGGGGCGGGTGGTGATGCCAGCCTCCTTAGCCTCGAGGAACTCAGCGACGGGCTTGGGGTTCTCGGCGAGCTTGAAGGTCTGGTTGTCTTGGAGGGTAGGCTTGACGTAGTGGTAGTTTGAGTCGAACCACTTGACCATCTCCTGTAGTGGGGTTAGATCATGTTGATAACCACAAGACTGCTGGAGCTTACCAGAGAGGGAACGTCGACACCATCCTTCTGGTGGCCACGGCCCATGGCAAAGTACTCATCGAGCTTGTGCAGCGAGTGCTTGGAGTAGCGCTCTGGGATAGCCTGGTATTGTTAGCTGACTGCTGTCAATATTGGGAATGATGTGTGCTTACGTTGAAGAGCTGGATGTGGTCGAGAAGGTGGTCGTAGAAAGCGAAGTCGTTGCTGGGAATGACATCGACACCAGCATCCTTCTGGATCTTCCAGTGCTCCAATCGCAGACGCTTGCCCTCCTTGATCAGGTCATCGCGGGAGAGCTTGTCAGCCCAGTAGGCCTCGTTGGCCTTCTTGAGCTCACGGTCCGCACCCATGCGGGGGAAACCGAGTACTGATGAGTGTACCATTGTGATGTGGTAGTCCAATGCGGACAACTGTGATGAATTGGGGGAAGAAAGGTAGATTGTGGAAGAGGGGAGGAGGAGAGTAGAGGGGGAGGGGAAGGTGGGATGTAGGAGGAGGAAGAATGATAGCGGATGGTGTGCTTTATGTTTTTTGCTGGCGTATGCAGCAGCGTCGCGGGGTTGGCGCCAGGCTCGCTCCGATTCGACGACAGCTTCACCGCCTTCAACCTTATTCTGCAACGGCGAGAACAATCCGCCCGTTCGTGAGGGCTTCCCTCTACCAACGTCGTGTGGAGCGACTGATTTCTTTCTACTTTAGCGCTCCCATGCCCACAGCTATCTGGCACTAGCGTTACTAACGCTAACTTTTGCCCAAACCGACATCGGCGGAGGGGCTCTCGGAGTCTTGGCGGTGATAAGATTGCGCAACATCATCCACGTCTGGTGGGTTTTCGGATGATGCCGTGGCACAGAGACCCGGCCATGGCTACACGGCTGTACGATCCTTTCCAGGCCGGGCTCCAGGTATTGGCAGTCTCTGCTTTGGTGGGCTCGACTCTTTCGCGTCGCCGATGACAGCATGAATCAGCTTGCGCGCCAAAGCTCCTAGCGGAATCTGCATCCCAACAGGCATCTTCTGGGTTAGCTCAGACCCTGCAGATCATCGACATCTGGACAATGCCATCAACTCTGTGTCGAGCGACTCCAGGGCAGTCTGCTGAGTCAGGTGCCATCGGCGTTTGACAGCGCTTCTCACGATAGTCGGTAAATGTCCGAGAGAAGGCTTCACGATGATGCGGCGGAACCACCGAGTACTTGCCCTATTTAGCTGTCTCCACAACCCCGCATCATGTATAAAACCCCGCCATCAACAAAGCAAGTACGAGACAGCAAGCCCAGAATCTCTCCGAGCCAGTTAAAAACACACGGATAATCTTCCTCACACAACTCAACATGGCTTCAAGACCTGCTCACACCCGAACCGCCTCGACAAACCTGGCTGGTGGCTCTGGCCAGCGCGTGTTGGAGGGAAGGACTGCCATTGTGACGGGAGCGTCTAGGGGTATGCAAGGCATTTTATAGCTATAGCTTATACTAACAACCTCAGGAATCGGTGTCGAAATCGCCCGCAACCTCGCTAGCAAAGGCTGCAACGTCGTCATCAACTACACCTCCGACTCGTCCACCCAAACCGCCAAAGACCTCGCCTCCGAACTCCAAGCCGAATATGGCGTCAAGGCTATCAGCGTACAAGCGAGCATGGGCTCTGAGAATGGGCCCAAGCATCTTGTCGAGGTTACCAAGAACAACTTCCAGCACCCCAAGACTGGCAAGTTCCAATTAGACATCATCATCAACAACGCCGGAGTTGCGGGCAACAACTACGTCGAGAACGTCGACTGCGAAGACTTCGCAAGACAGTACAACATAAACGTACGAGGACCGCTGCTCCTCCTGCAAGCCGCCATCCCATACTTACCCAACGACCGATCCGGCCGCATTGTCAACCTCTCTTCCGTCAGCTCGTCGCTGGGATATAAGGGCCAGTCCATCTACGGCGGAACAAAGGCGGCTCTGGAGAGTATGACAAGGACATGGGCTCGGGAGCTGGCAGAGCGATGCACGGTCAACGCCATCAACCCAGGTCCTGTCGCGACCGACATGTACTGGAGCAACGACGACGCCTTCATTGCGCAAAACAAGCCATTCATCGAGAACACTCCCCTTGCTGCACCAAGAAAGGGTATCGACCCAGAGAAGATTTACGAGGCATCTCAGAACGCTGGTGGACGACCGGGCTACAGCGAGGAGATTGGTGGTATCGTCGGCATGCTTTGCTTGCCTGAAGCGGGTTGGACAACTGGTAGTGTCGTCTGCGCGAACGGTGGTATGAAGTTCAGCTACTAGACAGCAGCGGAAACGACAACAAAAATATACCCCATGTGAACATAACAACGTCTTTAGCTTTATTTATTTCAACGCACGCACTTGACACTCGGCCGTAAATCCCCTATACTCCCTTCCAAAAGCTCACTTTCAATCACGACACTCGACGTTCTTGTAATTCCCCCAGCGTTTCCCGAGACAAAGATACCCCTTTCAGAGTCCCTATCGCCCCTCCAGCCCGCCATCGTCCTCTCCTCACTCCCCACGCTAGCCGTATCGTCTTCCACGCACCCATACTTTTTATTCGCAGCCCTTGAGCCAATGGTCTTGAGCTCGGATTGATGATGTGAACCACCCGCATATCCTGCACTACTTTGCTTCCGACTCCGACTGCGAAGCGAAGATTCGCCGATCAAATGTGGTGCGACGTGCCGGAAGAAGAGTCGCATTGTGGGGAGACAGCCTGTGATGATGACAAGGTTGGCTTCGATGAGGCTGGGGAAGGGCATGTTAGTACATGTGACGATGATGATATCTCTGATTCGAGCAAAACTTACATCCAGATACCTGGCATGACGATCGCCCATGTTTGATCAATGGTTTGAAGCATGGGGAAGAGGAGGGCCAGGCGCACTGCACTTGTTATACACGTCCTGTTTTCATATCAGCCTGTGCTTCTTACCAACAAAATATCGTCTCGCTCGAATATGTTACTTACAGCGATCCTACGCCGAAGATACATATCAGTCCCGCTTTTTGAGCCCTTGGCATCTGTAGCTTAACCACCATCGGTATAGGCAAAACAAGCAGCAGGATATCCGTAGCCATGTTCAATACCGCTGTTGCCATGTAAAGAGGTGTCCTGTCAATACAGCTTCCTTCCGTAATGGTTACATCCCAGTTCCTCTTGAAAGGTGTACAGGCGAAGATGAGCGGAAAGACAAGTGCAATGTTATACCCAACGACGAGGAACATGCTTGCGTAGACACACAATCTGAACCATTGTATATGCGATAGTCGGAGGTAGAAGAAGAGGAGGGAGAGCTTGGCGCTGGCGAGGAAAGGACAGTAGAGTATGCTTGCTACGCTGATCAACTGTGGCATGGGTGAGCTGAGGCTATTCCTTTGGGGCTGATGGATGGAGCTTACGTTCATTGTAGAGTTGACTCGATGGCCTGTCAGTTCCCAGATGTGGACGCCGAGAGTGCCTCGGCCATATTGAACTATTGTGTGATTAGAGTAAACACGGGAGTGATGAAGACCTCGGAACATACATAGAATGGGGACTTGTATTGCGATGGAGAAACACTGCAGGATTGATCATTAGCACGATTTGTCCGTCTCCCTGCCGTGTCCAAGTCGTGATGCGACGCACCCAAGCTATGAGCAACGCTACTGTTGATCTAGTCAGATACGGGAAGTCATAGTAGCGGCCTTGAAGCATTCTGAGAGGGGCTTGACTGAGCTTACCATCGTCTGGTGTAAAGTTCTTCGCAAGCTTTGTCTTTGTATAGACTCGTGTAGCCATGAAGATGGCGGCAACAATCATGCCCGAGGTTCCAACCCAGAAGTTGGCAGCCTCACCCGTTCTCTGGGGGTTATCCAAATTGACAACATATCCAGGCGGAGCCGGAAAAATGGGCTGGTTCATGTCCATGACGAAGTGTCGATTTCGTGCAAGTTGGCACCATTGTCAACAGGCGCCGCCTTTATTCGTCTATATTTCAGGTTCACATTATCCTCTCCGTCCATTTGATTGTCACATTTCGCCATCTCATGGGTCTTATCGACTAATAGATCCCTCCCACCATCGGACCTTATTCCGTATGGCATCGAATCCATCTGGTAATTGTGATGTTCCGTAGTGGCGCACGGAACATTCTCGTGTATGCCGCATCGCTTAAGCAGAGAAGTTCAGACAGGCAGCAGAAGATTGGTCTGAAGTCCGGGCACAGTCTACTACAAACTCGTTGGTTTTGCCTGTGCTACTCCACAGCATGGGCACCACAGCTTGGCATTGCAACAACGGCTCGGACGTGTTCCCGTCTGGTGGCTAGATAGTATGAGAGCGCGCATGCCAAGCATGTGCCGTTCACAGAGATGGCCATGCCCGTGGAATTGCACCCGCCAGTCTGGTCAGCCGAAGGTCCCCGGATAGTGTTGCAAACCTGTGCACCTCATTTCCAGCCCTCTGCGGACCGCTCCTTCAGGGACGCGGATAATCCTCCAATCAATCCCTTAGATCGAGCCGCATGTGAAGTACTCTTGAGCCTATCACAGAATATGTGTTCTTCGACCCTTGCAAGCCACATTTTAGCGAACAAATCAAAGAATCTGCCGATATGCCACCCGCGGCTCTCTACCCTTCGAGGCACAAGTTCAACGCCACATAGAGTCCAGTCCTTCAATCAGTGTTGACATCCTTCGAGGATCCAGCTTCATCTAAAATGTTGACTTAGTGCAAAGCAGTAATCGCGCCTTCCGGTTGAGGTTATGCTCTCTGCCTGTTGGAAGGAGTGGACGAGTAGAAAAACGTGTCGTACCCTGCGTTGAGATCCCGATCATCCATCACTCCTTGTATTATCTCTTTGATTATTGGGCTGGCTGTTGTAATGGCTCGCTTGATTGTTACTCTGCTTGCGGCAGCGGCTGTTGTTCCATTCGCGCAGGCTGATTATTGCGTAAGGCTGCTCGCTAAGCTCATTCTACTCGAAACGTGTGTTAACAATCACAGTGTTCCGCTCTTGCACTCACTTCCCTGAGGAGTCGCCTGTTCTTCCCGGGTCAAGACGCATACGAGACGCGGGAGGACTCTTATTTCGATGTGAAGCAGCAAGTCATCACACCCAACTGCATCGTCCAGCCCAAGACTGCCAAGGAAGTCGCACTCGCTGTGAAGACCCTCACAGCCGCGAGTCTGCTCAAGTCGTGCAAGTTTGCCATTCGTAGCGCTGGACATACTCCCTACGCTGGGGCCTCCAATATTGAGGATGGCGTGACACTCGACTTGCGTTACCTCAGCGCCGTTGAGTATGACGCTAAAAAGGCTCTCGTCAGAGTGGGTCCTGCGGCATCATGGAACGACGTATACAATGTCCTCGAGCCACTTAATGTAATGACGAGTGGCGGGCGTTCATCCACGGTCGGTGTTGGTGGTCTTACGCTCGGTGGTGGTATCTCATACTTCTCACCAGGACGAGGATTGGTCTGCGATAATGTGATCGAGTTCGAAGTCGTTCTTGCCGACGGCCGTATCGTGGCCGCCTCCAAGACCTCATATCCCGACCTCTTTGCTGTCCTCAAAGGCGGTAACAACAACTTCGGCATCGTCACCAGCTTCAAATTTGGTACCTTTGACTACAACGGTCTGTGGGGTGGCCTCGTCATTTACCCAGAATCGACTATCCAGGATCACTTCAAGGCTCTCATCAACTTCTCGAACAACATTGACAAGGAGCCCAAGGGATCAGCTATCGTCATGCCGGTGTACCAGAGTTCTGCTGGTGCCGATTTGATCTTGAATGCGTACGATTATGCCGAGCCAGTACCGAGACCTGCAGCCTACGACGAGTTCCTGGCGATTCCTGGCAATATCTCGGATTCAACAGGTATCAGGAACATGTCGTCGCTGGCAGCGGAGCTTGCAGGCGCCACAACCCACAGGTAAGCTAGCCACTGTGTTTCTGCTTGGCAGATATTAACCAACCTTTTAGTGTATACTTTGGTACACTCACCTTTGCCAATGATCTCCGGGTCATGACCAAAGCCCATGAGATATATATGGATGTGCTGTCCAACCTCAAAGCCAAGGCCACAGGCGACTGGCAAATCTACGTGCTTTACCAGCCCCTTCCCCCCTCGTACTGGAGGCAGAGCGCTTCGAAAGGTGGCAACATGTTAGGCTTGGAACGCTTTGGTGAGCAGGTATTGTGTCGTAAGTTTACTCTTCCATTTCGCAACGGCCGCATGCTAACGCAGATCAGTATACCAACCTTACATCTCCTGGCAAGGAGCTGAGCAAGATGCTCTCTTCCAAGGCGCAGGTGCAGATCTCATCAACAGGATTCGCGAGTATGCTGAGAGCATCGGTGCTGATAACCCATATCTCTACCTGAACTACGCAGACAACACGCAGGATCCGCTTGCAAGCTATGGCTCAGAGTCTGTGAAGAAGATGAAGGCGGCGGCTAAGAAGTATGATCCTTTTGGTGTTTTCCAGAAGCTTGTGCCTGGTGGCTTTAAGATCTCGAATGTACACTAGATGATTAGGACTCAGTAGTTGGCGCAATGTTAGCTTTCGCATTTGGTTGGATGTTGCTCCTGTTGTGCGCAACACACGTGCTGTTGGAAGGGCGGGATGCAGTTGCGAAGGCAGGAAATGACATACTGGATGACGTAGCGACATTTCGACGTTACAACGCTACATATTGATTGATGTATATCTCCGAGATACCTAAACTCGGTGAAAATTCGGTGTGATGGAAGGACGGATTTAGTCAGATGCGTTGGGCGTGTGCTTGTGAAGCGGAGGCTGGCAGCGTGTTGGAACGCCGAAGCGTGCGAGCCCCACTTGATTGAACATGCCGCGTCGCGTCGTCGCGACGCACGCGTCTTGAGCCAACACGAACCTATACTGCATCGAATGTGTGGCTCCGTTGCAACGCATCTGGAACATTGATAAGCTTCACAGAATTGTGTTAAGTAGAAACATATGCCGATCACTGCGACGCCACTGACAGATACCTAAGTGTGAAGGCTTTCTTCTTTAGCCAGCAGCACGAATGCGATTGTATCATTTGGAGCTCTACATCATGATACATGCCTGCATCTGCTGACGGTACTTCTCTTTGAAGTGTTTATGCAGCAAGACCCTTTGCTTCTCGAGCTCTGCCGTGTGATCTTCGTGAGCACGTTGCATGCTTTTCTTCGCCAATACCTCGCTCTCTTCGAAGCGCTTTTGGCTCTCTTCAAAGCCCTTCTTGGTCTCTTCTATAAGCTGCAACGCGCTGACTTGTAGGTTTTCCATCTCTTGTCGCTGCTTTGCGAGGATATCTCGATGCTCTCTTCGTGCAGCTTCCAAGATCTCTCGGTCTTCTCTATTGTTCCGGTTGCGGGCCTCTATAAGGTCTTGTTCTACCTTCTCCAGCTTCCCTTCGTAGTGTTGGATGAGCTTATCTACTGTTGATGCTAGCGCACTTCCAGCGCCCGTGTCGACTAGGTCGAGGTTCTGATCGACCATTTCACGTTGTATATCGAGCGTCACGGGCTTCCACCTCTTTATTAGGTAGTTGATGATCTCCAGCGCAGACGCTTCTCCTTTGTCGTGACGATATACGCAACTGCCGTGATCTATCATCCGTTTCCACAGCTGTGGCTGTTGTTTGAGCTCTTTCTCTCGTTCAATTGCTGCATTTTCTAACGCCATGTCCCACATTGTAGTGGCCAATACCACACTTTCGAGCGGGCCGTCACCGCACAGCCTCTGGAACATTTTGATATTCTGGATACCGCTGCCACCCACTCGCACGTCTGATATCCGTTGGAGAAAGATGATCCCAGCAAGTTGCAATTGCTCTGTGTGCGCCTTGTTCAGCCACTGTGCGACTTCCCGCAGGATCTCAGAGTCGGAACGGTATGTATCATCGAAGCCTGGGGTATCGACCAGATAAACCTTGACACCATTTGCGAATGTACACGGTACAACTTGAACTGATGATGTGCCTAGCAGATCTTAGTTCACAATACACATGGAGCAAACGCTGGCTCTTACATGAGTCCAGTCCGTGTCCAACCTCGAGCTTTCGATCGGAGAAGAGATTAACGAAAGTTGTCTTCCCGCAACCAGTTATGCCCATCACTGCGATGATGATATCACCGGGCCTTCACAAAACAGTTAGTTCGCAGTCGTTACAACGTTAGTAAGCTCATACGTCAACTCTGGAAGCGGAAGCACCTCACGATGAGGACTATCCACCCGATTCCCCATCTCTCTAGCACTGTTGACGCGATTGACAAACAATAAAAGTCTGCTGAGTTGCTGCAATTTGGTTCGAGCGACGAAGGCTTCTCATGGGTGAAGTGGAGGATGCAACACCGCCTAGGCTGGAAGGCAACCACTTTCTAAAATGCATTCATGGGCTGGGAACTATAGGTTTACGCATACACTCACATGGCGCTTGAACCAGCCCTGCGTCTTGAGAGAACCACGTCAGTGCCGCTTATAATCATATGCAAGCCGCTACGTTGGTCATCAAGTGGCAACGCAAAGTGGCGGCCGATAGGCTAAAGGGTGGCGAACCAACGTCCTATCTACCCCTCCATCGTACAGTACCCACATGACAACTATCATGTAGTGGTCCTTCGAAGTTAACCGGATAGTTCTTGACTATGTTTTGGCCCCTGCATCTGGCTGGCTCATGCGTGTTCTGCTGCTGGGGTGGCATATGAAATCCAGAACTTATAGTACAGCTGATCTCTTAGAAGCTCAACAAGGCTACAGGCAAAGTACATGTAGACTGTGCCGTAATACGTAGTGCCTTACGAATTAAAACGCGTAATGGTCTGTCTGCGAAGATCCTACAGCAGTAGAGACCCAGCGACAGCTATAATGCCATCAGAATTGCTATGGAGATTGACGCTATTTGTTATGCATCGGTAGTTGCACCTCAGGTTCAAATAAAAACAGATCCAATCTTTCTGCGCTATCTACGGTAATTGGGCTCACCAGGAGGGGTGCTGCTGTAGGAAGCAGATCTGAGAGAGTGTTGGTGGTATGGTGAGCCGACAGGATGCAGGATTCTTCGCAAGGGATTTTGCGGCAGCGGCGGCGGAACGCGCATCGTTCCAGTGGGATCAAAAGATACATCATGATGCGGGACGTGAAAGTGACTGTTAAGTGTAGACGGGGTCGCAGGTGTATATGAATGGGTATGATGTGGTGCATGCACCGGAGCCGCAGAGTCCTCATTCTCGCTTTCGTAATCACTTTCTGATACATAAAGAAATCCAGGCTCGTGGTTCAGGTGCTCCTGACGGTACTGAGAAGAAGCCAAAGCATGTCTCACCTGCTCATCCGAAGATGTGCGCTTGGTGTTGGGCTTGCTACCCTGGCGACCCTTAGACCTGCTTCGCGTTTTCCGGGACTTTGTACTGGCCTTTTTGGCTGCCTTTGTCTCCATGGGCATAGATTCAGCTCGACGCAATGGCTGTCCAGAGTCTCTGAGATCTCTTCCAATAGAGAAGTTTCGCATCCACGACGCAACTTCACCTTGAGACGTTCGCTTCTCCTTTATTCTGTCCTCCCGTGTAGTTTGTTCGCGATCTCTAGTTTCCTCCTGTTCTTTTCTGGTTGCTTCAAGCTTCTTGTTGCGATCTTGCACGTCCCTAAGTTGTGCCTGGCCTTTCATGATCATCTTCTCCTGCCGCTGAACCGTATCCTCGAGCTCGAATAGGCGCGTAGATTTGACTTTGAGCAGAACATCTTCAGTCAGGTCATGGCGACCCATACTAAATCGTGCCTCCTGCTCATTCCGTATGTCTTCAAGCGTGACTGAAAGACTTTCTTGTTCAACTTTGATATTGTCAACAAGGCGAGCGCGGTCTTGGACTTGCTCGGTGAACTCGTTCTTCAAGTCCTCATCGTCACAAACCTCTTCTACACACTCTTCCAAGTCTCGTTTTTGCGTTTCGTACCTGTCGCGCGTGTTCGCAAGCTCGCCCTCCACGTACTTGCCCGCTGTCGTTCCTTCCAATTTCATTGTTGCGCCGCCTCTCATCTCATGCTGTAACTGCAAAACCACCGTCCTCTGTCTATCTACTATTAGTTCGACAATACTGAGCCCGCTCTGGTTGTCGTCTCGGTGTGCCTCTATTGAAGCTCCACCTCTTATCAAATTTCCAAAGAACTCAAGCCTTTCCCCCATCGTCTTCTGGCGCATCATCGCGGCATCTCGTGCTTCATTCGTTTTGAGAGAACTCCACATCGTCGTCACAACTACAACATCCTTGTATTGTCGCTCGCCGCAGATCTTTTCAAATATCCGGAGGCTTTTGAGCGAAGACCCGGACATCCGCATGTCGGTTATCCGCTGGACATAGATCATTCCGCCTATAGGAAGGCCACGCCCATAACCATCACAGCAGGTACAGACGAATGAAGCGATTTTTCGGAAGACGGCTGCATACTCCATGTGAGTATCGTCGAAACCTGGTGTGTCGATGAGATAGATTTTCTGGCCATTCTTTCGTTGAAATGACTGGAAGGTAACATCCGTTGTACCTTGATGTGATCAGACCAAAGTCCCTGTTAGTGAAGATGAACTTACATGACTCTAGCGAATGCCCAATCTTTGCACTTTTTTGGGTAACTTGTGAAATGAATGTGCTTTTGCCAGCGCCCGTGAGGCCCATAACGAGGATGCCAATCGCTCTATCAACAAATTAGATGAATACGTCGAATCGGATTCTCAAGCGTACTGGGAAGACGGTGCGTTCTGATTCGAGCCCGTGACTGTCGGTACGGAAGAAGTAAGTCTGATCGAAGAATTCCCAGGCGAACACGTCGGCTCAAGCACATCGCAACTTCCCCTCCTAGTCGAAGAACTGCTGAGAGCACTCATATTGTGTACATTATGAGAATGAGATTTACGTGATGGAGTATTGCGTTGGAATATGGCAAGTTGCTGGCAACAAGCGCAATCACGTACAAAGCTGCTAACACGGGTAGGCTGCAATGCTCTGCAGACTTCAGGGAGACCGGTTACCTCAGCTTGAGCTATCATGCAGGCGCCATCATGCACGGACTACACCCAGGCGCAGAGGGACAGTCTTACATGCATCGATATTCCTGCAGCACCGTCCGTCGCACTAAATTTGACGTGTGCGTCGCTGATTGGTGACTGTCAAGCAATAGGATCGGAGCCTGATTTTCAACGCTGCAGCGAAAATGTGCAAGGTTTATGTTGCCTTTAGCCGCAAAAGAAGCTGCTACGGTGCAGCATAGCTATAGCAAAGTGATCATGAGAAGCCAGGCCGACACAGCCGTACATGCTGATTTACGACCTGACACAATCACCTACTGTTCTCTGATGGAGGCTTTAGATGTTGCAAGCTCGCAAACCGTTGAGTTAGTATACCCTGTTTCCCGCATATACAGGGCTGACTCGGTCCGGCAGTCCCGATGATGTTTTCATCGCAGTTATGGGAACGACTGGCGCGGGTAAATCCACCTTCATTGAGCATTGTACGAAGCCCTCAGAGCGCCTATCGGGCAATGGGCTCTCATCATGTAGGCTTCTCTGTCGATTCGAAGCCTGACCGATCGTTGATTGCAAGATATAGGTACGAGTCAGGTGTCGATACACACCACTAGCATTCTTGGACGGACTGTTCATCTTATAGATACGCCTGGCTTTAACGATAGTCGACGATCCGATGGCGAAACATTGCAAGAACTAGCATACTGGTTAACGGCAGCTTACGAGAGGGACATCAAACTCAGTGGAATTATTTACCTTCATTGCATAACGAATAATCGCTTTCAAGGTTCCGCTGTGCGGGCTTTGAGTGCCTTCAAGAAGATGTGCGGAGAAGAGGCGTTCTGTGGGATAGTTATAGCAACGACCATGTGGGACAAAGTCACCACAGATGAACTCACAAAAGCTGAACTACGACACGAAGACCTCCATACCAAGATCCGCCAGGATGTTATGTGCCGAGGCGGTAAACTAGTCAGATTATCAGCTGTAGATATAGACGCAGCGAAGATACTTCAACATGTTGTGGGAAAAGACAGAAAGCTAACGCTGGCGTTCCAACGAGAATTGGTGGATGAGAATCGGCTCCTTCATGAAACCGGTGCTGGCCAAGTGTTATTTGAACATTTGACTGGATCATTCGCGACACTACAAGCTAGGACAGATGATGTCCATGAGAGAATAGCTGATATGGCTCACTGTTCCCGAAGAGACGAGTTGCGTGAGCTTGAGGATGCGGTTACTGAGATGGCTGGAAGCATGCAGTCAGTTGATGAAGATATTGAGCGCACGAGAATGACTCTTAGCGATATCCGCGAGGCGTGGGATGGTTATATCATTCGTGACAATGAAGCTATTTCGGCGGCAGCGCAACGTATCGAGCGACAACTAGAAACCGAGCGCAGCCAACAGGTCAGAGGCACCGCCCAGATTGCTTCAGTTGAGCACGCCTATGGAGGCTCCAGTGTATCACTTTCTTCAGCAAGTGGATCGCAGCCTTCTCAAACCTACACAGCGCTCAGGTTAGAAGAGCTCGAAAAAGAACGAGACGCCCTTACGTATCAAATGCGCCAAAGGCTGAACAGGCGATACACGACACATTCACGAGCCGCAACAAGAATAGGAGTCATAGGCACTGGCCTAGCTGTCGGTCAGCTCATCGCAGCAATGGCGTGCGTGGTGATGTGATCCATCTCGGACGGGTGAAAAGAAGAAAGGAGCACTCGAGATGCACGTACAGTCGCGAATCCACGGATCGGAGTTTCTCGCTAATACAGATCTGGATGTGGCCCACTGAGCTGTACGAAGGAGCTCGTTTTTAGTGTGTCCCCACCCAAACACCGAGATGCCGGCTTCCATTCCAAACCTGTAGAATAATCTCAATATACCCACCACAATACTCTAGAAACATGGGTTTAAACCGCAGAAAGCCTTTCTAATACAAGCCTACGCGTACTCCTCGAGTTGCTAAAACTTCTCGTACTAAAATCCCTCTAGAAACGCGTGCATTCATAGCTGGTGCAGCATTACTCGGGAATGTCAGCCACCACGCTATCGCCGCAGCCCTCTACCGCGACCGCTCGGGTATATTGAAGCTTGTGAAGAGGATACAGGACAAATCAGAGAGCGGGGGCTTCGATTTATAGGATCCAGTCCTCTTTCAGGATGACATTGGGCGTGGGAGACCTGAGGTTCTGAGCCAGGAACAGAAGGATGAGATCGTCCGCATCACAACGCAAGATCGCAACCACCGCGAGGAGGAGCCATGGCAGGCAATAAAGCATCGCCAGCTTCATGCTATCGCGCCTAATCTGAGCATTTCTACATTTGAAAATGTTATGTATAGAGCTGGTTACAAGCGCAGAAAGCCAGGCTGGAAACCACCACTTTCATCTACCCAACGCCAAGAACGATTAAGATGGGCCCTCGAGCACAACCCCGATCGATACGAGGTTGGTGATGGACTTGGCTTTAACTTCCACTGCGTAGTATTTACTGACGAAACACCAGCTCGAGTGGGAGAAGAGAGAGGCATAATCCGTACATGGGCGCGCGATGATGAAATTTACAACGATGACGTACGCCACGACCGCAACCGTCGAGACTGCTGCATACAATTCTTTGGGGCTTTTAGATACGACTTTAAAGGACCTTATTATTTATACTTTCATGAGACTCAAGAGGAGAAAGAGGTAGCGGAGGAGCTTCTAGGGTTGGAGAATGCAGCCACTCGAACATCCTCCAACCATGCCCAACGCAGGGCCCGCGCAGCCCTCCAGGAGCTTGGTGAGGTAGATATAAACCTTCGTACATCTACCAGAAGGCTTCAGCATATTAAGAAACATGATTATCACCGCGGTATTAGGTCAAGAGGAGGGGTGGATGGGTATCGCCACCGCGAAGGAGCTCTTAAGAAGGTCGCTCCATAGATTAACTCCCTCAAAAGTCAAGGAGTTGCATGTTACTTACTTAAAGATGGAGCTCCTCCTCACAAGTCTCGTATTGCAAATGACTACCTACAAGTTTAGAAGATTGAGAAGATGGCTTGGCTAGGTCACAGTCCAGATGTGAACGCATCTGAACATGCCTGGCCATGGCTGCGGCGTCATGTGACAAGGCAATTCACACCCTCATGTACTCTACAACAGTGTCAACAACAATGGGAGGCTGAGTGGGAGGCTCTGCCTCAAGAAATGATCAATAGGTGGGTGATGGGGATTCCTAAGGTGGTGCGTAGGATCATTCAAATTAAGGGCAACAACAACTTCCATGGGTGAGGCGCAACTCTAGAAAATCGCTATATCAATAGCTCTATATACAATCGAATAACCTTATCCTTTTTAGCTCTAAAAATGAGCGCGTTGTGTTGTTGCTTCATTGTTTTGTATGGCTGTGCAGCCAAAAAAGTGTTGTTCCTACATGGGTGGGGACACACTAAAAACGAGCTCCTTCGTACCGCGCTTTATGCCGACAGAACACCCTGCTTCCGAAACCTGCATCATCGATTCGAACATGACATTTATTCCTATCTTATTTTGCATTTCTGAAATGAATACTGCAATCTCGCGTGAAATGCCCTTTATAGCAGAATTAAGCGCTCCTTATCGCATTTATGTAGCCGTAAAGTTTCCAATGTTACCCTGGGCTACGCTCTGCCATCTTTTCTTATGCGGCCTGAATGATAGTTGAAGCTCGTGTTTCTTCAATCTCGTGAACGCGTGTATTGGTTCTGGATTCATCGTAATCATGTTAAGAGCACTCACGACGCTGCCCAGGTGGTGAAGCCGGCAATGCGCGCTAAAGGTGCGATGAAGTGCATCCTATCTACGACAGCTGTAGGAACGCCTCAAGTTTGACAAACCTATTGCAGAGCTTCACAACATCCAGCATATTTAACACGACGTCGACACTACTGATCATGAGTTACCAGGTCAAATGAATGTAGGACATACCGTCCACATTGCGGGGAACTCTGCTGGTTCCAATTTCTACGGTAGGCGGAGGTATATCTCCAACATCGCTCCATCTAGTATTCACTTGGTACCAAACATCTCAATTACCAGTGTCATTGTCTTTCACCAATGGATAGAGAAACCAGACCTCGAGGGGACCGTTCGGTGGCTGAACACGTTACAACGGTCTACATAAGACCACGCTCTCGACCTGTTGAACACACTATTTAGGTTCTTTCTCCCCAATACTGAACCACAACTACTCAACCTGGTTTGTCAATTACACTCGACCACCATGGCTTCGGCTATACATACGATCGACCCGCGAGCGGACACCGTCATCATTTTACGATCACCAGCGGACGAGGAATACTTCGCCATGTGGGATGATCCCGAACTCGACAACCTTAAGGCACTTGCTGAACTTCCTCTATATTTGGAAGATGAGTGCGGAGTGGAGTCGGATATGGGTGACATTGAAGTTCACCAGTCTCCTGCCGACACATCAACTGCTCCAATACCTGCTAATGCTGTCCCCCTCATTCCTGAAGGGTCTGTCCTATATTATGTCTCTTCGCACCATCTTATACTGGCTTCTCATGTCTTCTGTGCAGCGCTGGTACCACAAAGATGGAACGAGGGACATAAGAAGGCAGACGGACGTTACTACATCACCGCAGACGATTGGGATGAGCAAGCATTCTTCCTTTTAATGAACATGTTACACGCGCGCACCAATCAGGTCCCGGAGTCCGTGAGCCTCGAAATGTTGACCAAAATCGGAGTTCTCATAGATTACTATAATTGCGGGAACGCTCTCGAATTCTTCACTACCGCCTGGCTAAGAAACCTTCGAAAGAATGGCCTACGTTATGAGTACTCCCGCAAGCTCATACTCTGGCTTTGGATCAGCTACATCTTCCGGGAAGAAGATGTATTCCAGAGAGCTACGAGGATAGCAATCGCGTATTGCAACGAGAGCAGTCTACGCACTTTAGGGCTTCCTATACCAGATTCAGTATCAGGTAAGCTGGCAGCGCGGATTGTAAGTTCTTTGTAACATTTCTGACATGTGGTAGAAGCAATCGAAGCTCGACGACTGGAGTTACTTCAAGCGCGAATTTCGCTGCTGTATGATCAATTGGAAGCGTATGAGAACGGCTCCAGGTTATGCTGGAAAGAAAACCGGGACAATTCGTTTGAGTGCAACTCGTTGTTAGCTGGATCTCTATCGATAGACATGCGTGCTAAGGGTCTGCTGAGATGTCCACCCGAATATCCTTACCATGGGTTTTCTGTGAGAAAACTGAACGAGAGCCCAGAGTTGCACAACCCTCAAGAGATCGCTCGGTGGAATATGAGACAGGAATTCAATACTCATCATTGCGACTCGTTGCAACAATTTCCCGACCAATATCTCGATGGCCTCAAGCTGGCAGACTTTTGGAGAGGTACTCGAGGGTAGTGAGAGGCAACGATTGGAACTTGGTGTAAGTCGGCACCAGTTCGGCCCTTATATGGGCTCATTCACGAGAACAGCCTGTTATTTATCCATCAAATACTGAACGCGATTCAAACTCCATGAATAGCAGCCCCTCGCAGAGGGTGTGAACACTGTATGTAAAACTCAAGTACATTCGTATTTACTAAACAATCCAGGGGGATCTCGCATGCTAATGACAAGTTCTACACACTAATACTATGTTGTTAGCGGAAGGTGCTCGTATGTGCCTTGCATGATCTGTGGCCGAGGCAACGGTCCGGCTATAACGCCATCCTAGTAGGCGGCTCAAAATCGGTACTAGCGAACCCGCACCGGTTGACATCCACCTGTCACAACGATGAAAGTGGGGTCATCGGTCATGTTATCGCAACGCCGATGCCAAAACAAGAAGGAGCTTATCCGGCACACAAGCCTTGTCAAGAGCACCAGTCCGAGGCTTGTCTTTCTTAGTCGCTTGCTTGGGTATGGTTAGTCGATGTCAACGCATCGCATACTTGCATCGCGAGATGAGCGAGTTAAGCAATCTAAACTACATGAGGTAGGTCGATATCGATATGCAGGGTTTGAGGTCGACCGCAAACGCGGTATAAAAGTACTATACTGTCCGCTTTTCATGACCTCTTCATCCGCTTTCGCTTCGGACTACCTTCGCTCAAGGCAATACCGGTTGTGGCAAAGATGGCTCCCGTGCTCTCATTCATCGTTGGCTCGCTGTTGGCTGTGAGGGCCTTCGCAGAGCCATTCGAGAAGCTTTTTGACGTTCCGGAGGGTAAGCCATATGTCTGATCAAGTTTCGATTTATGCTAACGATCAGCAGGATGGAAGCTTCAAGGTCCGGCATCGGATGCACACACGCTCAAGCTCCAGATCGCGCTCCAGCAAGGCGATACTGCGGGCTTTGAGCAGACCGTCATGGACATCTCCACCCCCTCAAACGCAAAGTACGGACAGCACTTTGAGTCCCACGAGGAGATGAAGCGCATGCTTATGCCCAGTGAGGAGACCGTTTCCTCCGTCTCCTCCTGGCTCAAGGCTGCCGGTATCGAGAACTTCCAGACCGACGCCGACTGGGTGACCTTCAAGACGACCGTCGGCGTTGCCAATGAGCTCCTCGGAACTAAGTTCTCCTGGTTCGTCAGCGAGGAGAGCACCCCTCGCAAAGTTCTCCGCACGCTCGAGTACTCTGTCCCTGACGAGGTTGCTGACCACATCAACCTCGTTCAACCGACTACTCGGTTCGCGGCCATCCGTGCAAACCACGAGACAGAGCGCGAGATCTTCGGCATCGCGCTCGCTTCTTCCCCCAACGTGACTGTCAACTGTGATGCTTCCATCACTCCCCAGTGCTTGAAGCAGCTCTACAAGATCGACTACACTCCCGACCCCAAGAGTGGTAGCAAGGCCGCTTTTGCTTCTTACCTTGAGGAGTACGCGCGCTACAGCGACCTTGCCCTTTTCGAGAAGAACATCCTTCCCGAGGCTGTGGGCCAGAACTTTTCCGTCGTTCAGTTCAACGGTGGTCTGAACGACCAGGCCTCTAGCGATGACAGTGGCGAGGCCAACTTGGATTTGCAGTACATGCTCGGTCTTGCCCAGCCCCTGCCTGTCACTGAGTACAGCACTGGTGGACGTGGCCCATGGATCGCTGATCTCGACCAGCCTGATGAGGCTGACAGCGCCAACGAGCCTTACCTCGAGTTCCTTCAGTCGGTGCTCAAGCTCAAGCAGAAGGACCTTCCCCAGGTCATCTCCACCTCTTACGGCGAGAACGAGCAGAGCGTGCCCAAGTCTTACGCTCTTAGCGTTTGCAACCTCTTTGCTCAGCTTGGTAGCCGTGGTGTCTCTGTCATCTTCTCGTCTGGTGACTCTGGTACCGGATCCGCCTGCCTTTCCAACGATGGCAAGAACACTACCAAGTTCCAGCCTCAGTACCCCGCCGCCTGCCCATTCGTCACCTCCGTCGGCTCAACTCGCTACCTCAACGAGACTGCTACTTTCTTCTCCTCTGGTGGTTTCTCCGACTACTGGAAGCGTCCCAGCTACCAGGATGATGCCGTAAAGGCATACTTCCACCAACTCGGCGAGAAGAACAAGCCCTACTTCAACCGCCACGGACGCGGGTTCCCCGACGTCTCGGCGCAAGGCTTTGGATACAGGGTCTATGACAAAGGTTCTCTCAAGGGATACCAGGGTACTTCTTGCTCCGCTCCCGCGTTCGGCGGTATCGTCGCTCTTCTCAACGACGCACGTCTAAGGGCCAAGAAACCAGCTCTTGGTTTCTTGAACCCCCTACTGTACTCCAACCCTCATGCGCTCAACGATATCGTTCTTGGTGGCAGCACCGGCTGTGATGGTCATGCGCGCTTCAACGGCAAGCCAAATGGTAGCCCTGTCATCCCGTACGCAAGCTGGAACGCTACTGCGGGATGGGACCCGGTTTCCGGATTGGGTACACCCAACTTCCCCAAGTTGCTCAAGGCTGCTCTGCCCGCTAGGTACAAGGCTTAGAACGGGAGTGGATAGGTTGGAGGGAACTTGTAATAGACGTAGATGAAACGTAGATGGAACGTAGATGAAATCATGAAAAACAACAATAACTACGAATATGCAATATTGGATACGCTTGCCTTGACTTTGTGTAGGGTGGTAAATGGGTTGAGGTTGGGTTGGGGTTGGGTCGGGGTTGGGTTGGGTTGACCTAAACAGGTAGTACCTAGGCTAAGTTGGAGTTAAGCTAGCGGCTACCGAAGCTGGCCACCCACTGAAGCTGGCCACCCGTCCAGAACTTGGCCACCCACTCTACGCTCGTGATTTCTCTATAACTACGCAACCAAAATGGATCCCCGTGAAGCAGCAATTCAAGCAGCTATTAGCGACGTTGTTTCTGGTGTTTTTACTAGTCAACGAGCTGCTGCAAAGGCGTACAAGATCCCTCGAAGCACGCTTGCGGCCCGACTACGTGGTACACAGACACGTCAATCTAGCCACGAATACCAGCAGCGATTAACTCCACAACAAGAGGAATTTCTTGTACAATAGATCCTTGAAGAGGACGCACGCGCGTTTCCTCTATCCCACGCGCGCGCGCGAGAAATGGCGAATCGAATCCTGAGGATGAATGGTGACAACAATCCTGTGGGCAAGCGTTGGATATCCTTCTTTCTTAAGCGTAACCTACGCGTCGCATCTATTGTTGGTAGAAAGATAGAGGGCTCGCGGGCTGAGGGCGCAACGCAGGAACAGATACGCGCGTTTCTTGAGCTCTTTGAGAGGACTCGCGTACGACTAGGTATACGCACTGAGGATATGTGGAATATGGACGAGACTGGCAAGGCTATGGGGGTATGTGCAAACACTAGAGTCCTCGCAGATAGTCGTAAGAGCAAGGCTTACAAGCAGTCGCCAGAGAATCGCGAGTGGGCATCAATAATCGAATGCGTGTCGGCTACAGGCAAGAAACTGCGCTGCGGGGTGATATTCAAGGGCAAGAACCTACAGAGTACTTGGTTTCCTGCGATAATACCCGACTGGCTTTACACAACCTCTGAGAACGGCTGGACATCAAATGCGATAGGCCTCGAATGGCTGCAACGGATATTTCTGCCTAAGACGGCTCCATCAGACGATCGTTGGAGGATGCTAATTCTAGACGGCCACGGCAGCTACATTGATCTGGAATTCCTGTGGACCTGCAAGCAGAATAAAGTTCAGCTTCTGTTTCTACCTGCTCACTTATCTCATGTATTGCAGCCACTAGATCTCTCAGTTTTCTTAGTAGTGAAGAGAATCTACCAAAACCAGATCTAGGAACTATCGCATCTAGATAACGCAGCGCCTGTTAAAAAAGAACGCTTTATTACAGCCTACTATAACGCTAGAGAGGCTGCGATTACTGAGAGAGTAGTACGAGCTAGATGGGCTACTGCAGGCATCTGTCCATTGAACATTGAGCGGGTAGTTAACTCCTCACAGGTAGCTCAAAGGCCTGTTACGCCACCACATCAGAATCAAGCTCAACCTGCTGAGAGCTATCTATCTACCCCCCGTAGACCTCGTGATCTTTTTATAGCTCAGCGAGAGCTGCACAGGAACAGGCGTTAGCCGCAAGACTCACCAGCTTATTCAAAAAGCAGGCAAAGCTATTGCAGTAGCAAATACTCGCGCAGCACAGCTAGAAGCAGAGAACAAAAGACTATATAGTCAACTTGAGGCTCTTAAGCCTTAGCAGCCACGAAAGAAAGTTCATGTAAATTCAAATCAACGCTTTGCAGATATAGAAACAATTATGGTAGTAGTGCAGGCGTCTGCTCTTTTAGAGTTACAAAACAATAGTAACGCTGCAGAAAAAGCAGCAGAGAGAGCAGCAGCTGAATCAGCAACTCAAACTCTTCAGTCTATGTGTACAGAGTGGCAATTGTAACTAGGTTGAATTAATTACGTTGATTTTTGATGGGTGGCCGAGTTCTAGGCGGGTGGCCAGCTTCAGTGGGTGGCCAGCTTCGGTGACCGCTAGCTTAGTCATTACCTGTTCAGGTCAACCCAACCCATTTACCACCCTAGCTTTGTGATATTGGCGAACGTGATCTAAGCGCTTCTACCGAGCTCAACCGGCGGCTCACGACCTCAGAACTTGTCAGTCAAGGACACCGATTTTGAAAAGGTAATGTTTGTTCACCTTTCTTGCTCGATGTGGTAGCACCACGAAGGGTTGGTGATGGTGGCCAGGGCGTTACATAAGCGGGCACGAGCCACTTCAGCCGCCCGATGACGTAGAAACTTCGAGAAACATCGCGAATCCTCAGGCGCGTTCCTGACAAACCTCGAAGCATCACCAATCGTCGCGCATCGTCTACACAATTCCAGCATCATCTTGTTCTTACGAGATCAGCATTTCTCATCCACGCGCACGCAAGCGACTGCTGCCTTGAACGCCTCCACAATGTCTATAAAGACATGTCCTGTGGCTCTCCATGGGCCCATCATCAAATCCAAAGAACATCACATTTACAGATCTACGATCTACAACTACAACTACTCTTGAGCCTCATCAGCCTACACTATTCTCCAAACCAATCAAAAAGCCTCTTTTCTCAAACCAATCACCCCAGCAATGGCGTTCGTCCTTACTCCACGCTTCGCACCCGCCTACCAGGCACCACAGTGCAACCCCTTCGGCTACTGTGCCCCAGTATCACGACCATCGCACGGCTACCGCGTCTCTCGCCCTCAACCTCGCCGCCCACAGTACTCGCCGTACAACAACTTCTTCAGTCAGGTCGATGAGCTCCTGAGCGAGATCGACCGTGAATCACAGCGCCAGGCACAGATTGAGGCGCATCGCGAGGCACTGCGCGAAGCCTACCGCCAGCGACAGCTTCAACGAAAGCGCGCACTTCGTGCCGAGTTCCAGGTCAACCAGGTTGAGCAGGGGTGGCAGGTAGATGGCGACTTTCAGGGTTTCAACCAAGACAACATCAACATCGAGGTCATCGATGAACAGACGCTGAAGATTGCTGGCAACACTCACTGGCAGTCGGAGAAGTCGCAGCTTCAGTCACAACAGCCTCAGATCGAAGCTGAGCCTACACCCACCCCCAACGATGAGCAGTCTACTGCCACGCCCTCGGAGCCAGAAGTCGAGTCTACCACTGAGGCTGACACTACCACAACCGGCGCCGCTACACCAGACAACGACAGCGACACCTCGTCGCACAAGTCATACCAACCTACTGTTGAGGACGACTTCGAAGACCTTGCCGCTGACTTCCCATCGTCTCGGCCATCATCTCCTACTGAGCCTCGCGAGCCCAAGGGCAAGGAGAAGGCAGTTGAAGAGCCAGCCTCCACTGAGACCGCTGTAGTAACCCAGCCACAGCCTGAGGTACCAGTCCAGCAGCCACAAGAGCAGCCTCAGCAACAAGAACGTGTTCACGGATCATTCGAGCGCACCTTCAAGTTCCCTGAACGCATCGACGCTTCCAATGTAAGCGCCAGCTTCAAGGACGGTGTCCTCAAGGTTACTGTTCCCAGGGCACAAGCTCCACAAGTCAGGAGGATCGCTATCCTATAGATGGATGACATGGTATAGAGGAATCAATGGTTGACAAGGGCATGAATTGCATGGAAGGGAGTAATAGGTAGCATATGCATGGAATGGGAACGGTTCTGTAAGATATTTGCATACGATGCTTAGCCATCGGTAATGAATCAACGATGATTTAATTCAAACGTCCTTCTCATTTTCTCGTCTTATCGCTGTTGTACATTCGTCCTGCTCTCTTCTCGTACACTATTCTCACTTCCAACTTTCTTTCTCTTGAAACCATTGATGATGCAGTCGGACTGAATTACAATATCCAAGCAATAGCTCCCAGTGCGGCCACTACGACACCACCGGTCTCACCGGCCTTGATAGTAACAGCCGCGCCCGTTGATGCAGTGGAGCTTGAATGAGTTTCCTTGGAAGTGGTAGTAGCGGCTAGTGTGGTTGTCGACGTGCTCTCCTCGGTCTTGGATGGAATAGAGGCCGAGATAGAAGATATAACCGATTCTGCAGCGGATGTTGTGGAGGTAGCAGGGTTGCTGGAGGGTCTGTGTTAGTAATGATTCAATTTACAGTCTATGAAAGGGAGCCTTACGTTGATAAGTCCACGGCAAATGTAAAGCCGGCAAGGGCTGGGAGGATGATGGATGAGAAACGCATATTGTCAATGAAGTCTGTGGATTGCTTGTTCGATCTTTTTCGAGTGCAATTGAACGAAAAAGAACGAGGTGTGTTCACTGCTTAGTGCTTGCTTTATGTATCTATTACCTTTGATCACCATAGTACAACCCCCTGAGCTTGCGTGATACAACTCATTTCAAACATCGAATAGAGCTACCGTATGTGTACACAATTACTAATGTTCGGTGTGTTTACCCATTGGTGTATGACATCTTTATGGGCCATAGGTACATGTGGAGGTACTGGGCCCCATAATCGTCTTGACTGGATCTACTTGGGTCTACAAGAAGCATCTTGGTGGTGATACATGTATATAAAGCTTTGTGACGGGTAGTCCCGTGGAAGCGGAGTGAAGTAGATTTGTCATACAGCGTGCGGATAGCATACGCGCTTTGGATGTAGGTGTAAGGCTGTGGTTGTTAAGTTGGTTGGGGTATATTTTCCGGGATATAGATTTATGCATTCGAACGCTTCTCGACCCGTGCCCACGTTTGGTGATTATTGTACAGCTGTTTTTGACCAGTTGATTAGACGACCGGGCGGGAGACTGGGAGACATGGCCTAAGACTTACGTACTCGAGTTGGGCGCAAGAGCGAATAGAGGTTAGCGCCAGTAACGCCGGTACTTGACCAGGTGCTCAAAGGCCCGCCCGTCTTGCTGCCCCACCTCCTCTTCTAGGGCAGCGAATGCAGCTTCCCACTGCACATCTCAAAGTCGTATCGATGCGACACCAGGCGTGCGCCTGCAGCTCCAGCTGCGCTGTAAATCGCTAGTCGTTTCGTCTATTGAGCTGTTTTGTCGCATTAGGCACCAGGCAGAGCAGGGCTGAGCGAGGGTGGCGCAGATAGTCATGTCACCCAGTCTCGGCCCGTCAACATCTCATGCCTGTACCACTAACGACTGAAAATTGACCATTGCTGGGAAACCTACACCCACACTTAGCTATGGTCAATTCACCCATCTACTCCCATGAACTCACAGGACGCACTATCCGTTTGCTTACCGTCGAACCAGGCGATCCAGAAGCTCTACTACAATGCAAACTTTCGGAAACATGTTTGGATACGGCTCCTGTTACTTACCACGCTCTGTCGTACTGCTGGGGTGCGAATCACTCACCCGTTCAAATAACATGCAACTCGCATCCCCTCCTGGTCACACCTAACCTGCATTCCTTCTTGCTCGAATATCGCCGCAGAAATACCAGCATGCCTCTATGGGTCGACGCCATCTGTATCGACCAATCCAATATCTCAGAACGTACGTCTCAGGTCCGTATAATGGATGAAATCTACTCCAAGGCGGATTGTGTGGTCGTGTGGCTGGGCGAAGCAGAAGCAACCGATAAGCTGGCGCTGGAGTTGTTGAAAGAGGTTCATGGGCTTTTTGCTGGCTCTACAGCGATCCCAATATTGGAGACTGGTCAGGACGCTCAGGCATGGGATGCGTACCTGTCGCCGCGGGTGCCACAAGAGTACTTCACCGCGCTGGCTGCGTTTCTCTCACGACCCTGGTTCAGCCGTATTTGGATGTATGTTTCATACCCTCTAGTTGTAGCTTACATGTAGCTTGAAGTCTATACTAACATAGCGCAGTATTCAGGAGTTGTTGCTCGCACGTCGGGTGAAAATGTGGTCTGGGGCGAGCACGGTTGATGAAGAGTTTCCGGTCCTTGAAGCAACCGCACCACTTTCGCAAATGATAACCTGCGTCTGCAAAATCAGATATGGAGTGAGGGCGATGATATTGAACGATGAGGAAGCGCAGCGGGCAGCCGAGTTGAAACTGCAATGTGCGCATGTTTTATACGCGATCAAATACGCAAGAGAACAGGCAATGAGTGGCACCTTGTACCTCTTCATGATGACCCGATGGTTCGATGCAACAGATCGGCGAGATAGGATATTTGCGCTTGTGGGTCTGACAAGTGACATCGATAAGAGCTTCGTGGACTACTCTAAAAGCTACGAGGACGTGATTAAGGAACTTAGTCTTATGCTCCTAGATGGCAAGATCGAGCCTACAATGGGTTGTGTGTTGGATATCTGGTCGTTCATCACAAGGGGAGAGGAAGGCGACATTACAGAGCCGAGTTGGGTGGTGGATCTACTGAACATGCAGGACTCCGTGTACACGCCTATGATGACTGCATACCCGTCCTCAAAGCCGGTGATTGAACGTAGTCCAGAGATCCAATTTCTGGAAAGAGATGGGACGGTAGTAAGCTGTTCACAGTTCCTGATATCTTTTCCCAATTAACATGGCTACTAGTCTATTGACATCCGCGGCATTGTTTTCGACACGATAACGCATGGCATCCCCTACCCAGTCGCTATGGGCCCGGGCTATACCGCGCCACAATCCTACCTCGAACTTGAGAACCACTTGTCGAAGTATACCGATTGGCTTCAACGTGTGGAAGGTCTCATAGCGCCGTTAGGTGATCTTACAACACCACCTGTTGGCACGAAACCCTACTCGATCTACCAACCGACTGGCGAATTTGTATACGAAGCTTTCTGGCGCACTTTGTGTTGTAACCGCTTAGCCGCAGAAGCATACGAGCCTCCCGCCAACCACGACGGCTATTCCTCGTGGCTCGGCCTTCTTCGCTTTCATCGATATCGCCGTGTAACCCGCAATTTAAAACGGTGGCTTTTGGGCATTACTATTGTTCCCTTTTCAGCTCTGACGTATTATGTACGGAGGAATAAGCTTCTGCTATGCACCACGCTACTGAGCTTCCTCTTTTGGGTTCGCTCTTGCGACAAAATTAGCGGGGCGATTAGCAGCATTATCGAAAAGATTTGGGATGGTGCTCAGGCGCAGTTGGAAGTCCAGCAAAAGGACTTCCAATCCATGCATATCCAGTGGATGCAGGGGAGGCAGTTTGGACTTACAGGACTGGGTAGAATTGGTTTGCTGCCGGTTTCGGCGAAGGTTGGGGATAGCGTTGGTCTCTTTGCGGGGTGCAGAGTTCCGTTCGTGTTAAGGAAATCTGAAGGAAGCTACAGGATCGTAGGTGACGCATACTTGCATGGGGTCATGAATGGGGAAGGAGAGAAGAGCGAGGGAGAAATGCTGACGATAGTGTGAGGTAAACCTTGCTCCACAGGCGGAAGATGAAGAGTCACAGTAAGGAGAAAGACCAATGATAGACTGATGTCAATACATTACATTATATTACATTACTAGATTATTTATAAGAGACACTGCTTCAGTGAGTTGTAAGGTGAGACGAAGCTCGTTCGGGCTGTTGACAAATGAAATGAGCCAGTGCCATAGTCTAAACCTCAGAGCACACGTGCCACTCCCATGGAGTCTTCTTGCAGCAGTCGATGCGATCGAAGTCCTTGGACGACACGCTTCCGGCACCTGTAGTATCGAAAGTGATTGCCTGGCCCTCATATACATTGTTGGTGCCATACGAAGCGAAGGGGATGTTCTTGCCATTGCCGGTAACAGAGATGGTACGTCTAGGAGTGACTTGACCCCAAGTGTCGAAAATCTTGCTAACAAGAACACCAGGCTTGGCTTCGTCAAAGGTGGCTGTGATGTGGAAGCGCTCGTGTCCCCAGGAGTAGCTGCCTGTGAACCAAGAGAAGTGGATCTTGCGCGAGCCAATGGCGCCATCGACACGGTAGAACAGACCTTGGTTCCAACCGGGGCCATAGACGTAAAGTTGGTCGGCAAAGGCATTGAATGTGTAAGGTCCGACCGTGATCACTCCTCCGACACTGATGGAGATCTGTGTGGATGAGGTCTCAAAGATTTTGACCGGGAAAGGTAAGGCGAGACTGAATTTCTCGTTGTAATGCCTGCCGTCGGCGGGGCCAGGTACCATAGGCACGCCTTCCGATGGGTCGCCACCAACAATCTTGGTATATGAAGGAGCCGTAGGCCTGGGTGCGGGAGCTGTGCAAGTGCTTCCAACAACGACTACGGTCTGGAAGGCCGTTGCATAGGGGACACTGGCAGTTGCAGTTATCGTTGCGATCTTTGTGGTAGTTCCGGTGGCGACTTGAGAGCAAGCTGCGGAGATCTTGCTGGTAGGCCAAGCTGAGATAGAGGCTGGAGCCGCGAGGCCACGCTTTTCAACTGCCCTGTTGAGCTCCGCTGCCATAGTATCGTTGAGCTTTGGCATACTTGGGTCGTCCTCGGGAGTAATAGTCGTGACAGCCACGATGGAAATCTCGTAAGGGTCAACCACGACATCATTGGTTACTTCAGTACTGTTTTCCGCACGTCGAACGCGTCTTTCAACGAACTGGGCAGCAGTGACTGTAGGTGCAGCAGTGATGTAGCTCATGGATGTCTTCGTGACGGTAAGAGTTTGGGGAGCAGGTGTCGAGGTAGCGGTAGTTGTCTTGGTTTCAGTCGGCTGGACGTAACCAATGTAGCTGCTGCAGAATTCCTTGCCGCTTGACTGGAGGTAGGTTATGTCGTTGGGGCAGACAGGTACACCATCATCGCTCTCGTCAGTGAAACCAAAGCTGTACTGAATAGTGTAGTGGTCGTCGCCGCGGTATTGCCCATCATTCGTGGCGAAGGAAGCGTCCCACTCTTGGGTGTACATGGAGCAGTATTGACCCTGAGATACACCGTTCTTGAGCAGAATGTAGGTGTTGAAGTAGCGACAAAGCTGTGGCTTGCCAGTGGCAGGGGGATGTTCCAGTGCCCACTTGTTGGTTTCCTTGCAGGCAGTTGCACAGAGCTTGGCATCAAATGCGTTCTCAACGAACAGCTTGTAGCCCATGTAGGATCCTTGCTTGTTGCAGTCGAGAGGAGAGTTGATCGCACTGTTCTTGAGCTCAACCTGTTTGTAGCCGTCAGCAGCCTGTGTCTTGAGAGACGAGTAGCCATTGCTTCCAGCAATGGCGACCTCGAACTTCTCTCGCCACTGTCCAGTGTTGGTCGCCGTGTCGGTGTAGACGGGTCCGCCCCAGAATGAGCATTTGATGTTGGCAACAGCTTCGGGGTCCTGGCAATCTGGCCCCGGGTTTGCCGAAGGGTCTCGCTCTACGTAGATGTTGAAGCTAAGACATCCAGACTTCGAGTCACACTCCGACGCGCACAGGGAAGGATCATAGCTTTCCACCACCTTGTAGCCCATGTATCCATAAGCGCTGCTGGCGCCTTGCAAGTTTGTGAAGGTGTTGAAGTATCCGGACGGTGTGGAAGCACCCTTGGCTACAGAGGCAAGCTTGGTGTCGGCGCGGAACTTGCTAGCAGATGATAGATCGATGCCGTAAGTGTTAGGATTGCTAGGCTCGGGGTCACATGCTGCCCGTTTCAGATGTCGCTTGACATCCGGTACGGCTGAAGGCTCCGACAAAGGCTTAACATCAAGCGGATCGGCGATGACCTGAGAGACAACGTCTGCAATAGCCTCAGCCTTATTGAAAGGGACTTCCTGCTCTTTCAAACCAGGGATGATGTTGATAATTGGGTCTATCTTCTATTAGCATGATACTAGCCGTTGGTCAGGAAGACATCATACCAGGCGTGGCATCGACTCCAGCGAAGTCGATGTCTTGAGCTCCGACCACAGCGAAGGCCGCAGCGGCGGAAAGAACGAACGAAGACCTCATAGTTAAGGACAGTAGATGCTCGAGCTTAAAGAGTGACTGAGCAAATGAGTGAAGGAGTGAAGAGGCTGCTGTTGCTGCTGCTGGATATACTTTCTGAACCGCTGTACGTGTTTATATACTCATGATGAAGCCGTGTGAAAAGTTCATGCAGACTGCGATTCAAACAAATTCACGCCATGCGGTACGGAGTGACCGCAGCTGAAGCATGCAAAAATCATGGCTTTCTCGAGGCGTAGCTGAGTGAATGGAGCAGAATCGTGCCATAGATCAAAAATGGCTGCACGAGTACCATAATGGGATAGGTCTTCACGTATCACTTGACTCGTTCGGTCAGCATCTCGAGTAGTTTTGGTGGATACGCAAGCCACACGCCGAGAAACTTATCATCTTCGATGTTGAGCTCAAAGGGTCGTCCGTGAGTTCTCGATCTAGTCTTGCATCTCGCAGTCCAGAACATGCATGGGTCGTGCCACGTGCGTTGCTAGCCCGCGGGAGATGTGAGGTTGGGAGCTCGCGTGCAAGCAGGGTCCACGGTGCCCCTGGAGCGGGACGTCGCTAACGTTCACGATCAATAGCGTCGCCTCAGCACCTCGCATCTCAGCAGCCTCTTTAGAGCCGAACGCAGTATCTGTACTCGCCGAAACGTAGAACACCATTTTGACCGACGGCGGACAACGAATGACTCTTTGTTATGATTGATGCTTCTGCCCGAGCGAACAACATCGCTTGCACCCGGGGTCTTGGCATGACCTGCCTACGTACCTAGGTAGTATCAAGGGCGAGAGTGCAGCTACTTCAACGCTTAGTCATGAGTCAGGCCAAACTGATCGAAGCAGTAATCGTGGTAGTACAACATTAGTACAGACGTATCTGATAGCTTTAGTTCTTGGCGTTATCTCCACGCATTTGGTATGGTTTTCGGCGGTGGCTCGCTAGCGATTGTGGTAATTTGCCCCTGCCTAAGGTTCCGCAGGTTAAACAAGGATCGGGACTCACCTCCATCTCCTTACCCTTCCACGCGTGGACCGTCAACAAACTCTGCGCGTCATTGCACTGCCCCGTCTTATATTTCCCACATCGTTGCGATCCTTTGCCAGCTCATGCGAACCTGCAGAGGGTTGCGGCTGTTCTGTTGCGTTGAGGTCACATTAGTAACCGGCGGTGCTCTCCTACCTACCACCTGCTCACGCGCGATCAAGACAAGGCATCTCGAGATGAGTAGCTGTGTGGAAGCGACACCAAATTTTCGTACGCGGTCCACATATTTTCGAGGATGATGTCCGATTTTGAGTGTTGTTCACTCTTACACCGCGACACCCTCGAAGGCAAGCACGCTCCCAGTGTACTCGGCTACCGGCAGACATCAAACAAGGCATCCTCCATGAAGAAGCTTACGAAGCTCTCGCATCGGATTGCATCGCATATATACGGCCTTCTCGAAGGCGTCACTCGTGTCTCCTGTTTTGACGATCTTCGAGTGAAACGGCGCGCAAGATCTAAAACATCGGCCCGAGCCCGTCGTAAGCTGCTACAGAGACTCTGAAACTTCTCATCAAATGTAGGGCGATACTAAGAGAGCCGTCATGGTCTCGCTCACTCTACAATAGCGCATCGGATGGTCATTGTGGCGCGGAGAGAGTGTCTAGCTACAAGCTCACAATGTGCCTGATTCGTCACGGACAAGAGCACCCCTAGTAGCGAGGGTGTACCCGGTCACATGCTCCCAAGGTAGCTTGCAGCATTGCCATCCCCTTCGAACGAACTACCGGATACAAAGACAACACTTATATGAGATTACTTGTGGCGATAACTAGCTAACGTTGAAAGTGTAAACGTTCTGCACCCGTTCAAGAGATGATAGCGTAAGTGCAAAGGGGGTTATCTTTATCGAATTAAGATGTTTATCAAAATTACGTGGGAGTAAACGTCGGTAAAAAACCAGCTTCTTCGTACACTACTTGGTAGCGGCTGTCATGAAGGTACTATACTCCCAGTGATAATAATTTTACGTTTGGCTGTGGACGGGTGATCAACCCAAGCGCACAACGCAAGTCCCGTGCACCGGGACCAAACTTTCACACAACACCAAGGTTGGCCTGAGCATGTTGCACAATACCGAAACCAAATTACACATGTGGAAATGTGTTGGCAGTACAGAGTCTTACAAATCTAGCGACTGAGCGTACGCAAAGCGGTAGTAGCGTAGACGAGAGAACTTTACATCTCCTGAGAGAAGTCAGCTCTGATGGCGCAGTCGTTTCCAGGCTCTGGATGATCACTGCCACGCGTCGTGTCCATGGTGGGCTCATGGGAGCCACTCGTCCGCCATATTTGAATGCTGATGTTTAATCGCTCATTGCAGATCCTCCGTCACACCTACACTCTGCAGCACCCTACACGATGCTTGTGCACCCGACGTTGCCAGCTTGACAGGCATAATTCCGCAACCATCGCTTCAGTATTGATTGACATACCCTCCCGAAGCCGCCACTAAGGGGCGATGCACGCGTCTCTATAGTATCACGGAGCGACCAACGTTTCGAACGACCTGTCAAAACAATGGCCGTGCCTGGTTACTGGCTCCAAGCTTGGCAACACTCAAACTTCAATGCACACCCTCTTCGCAGGAATCGCAGTCATTCTTTCCAAACCAACAGTGAGGCTATTGACGCATGGTAAGATGGGTGGTCCTGTGCCATCGATCATCTGCAGTAAACGGAACATTATCGGCTGTTGCTACTGCACATCAAGTCCAACAGCGACCGAAAAGGTGTATACCATCGTAACGAAGTCGATAAATCTCATCACTTTTGAGTTGATCTGGCGCCTAGTCAGGCGACCCTATGGACGTTTCTCCGCTTTAACTCTATCGTAATTTGACTCCTCAATCTCGCCATAACGGCACACCAGTCGGGACATAGATTCCGCTAATGCATCAGCACTCCCTGGTCTGGCGCAATGCATGGATACTACCTCCAACAACAGGCTCGTGCGGGTTCAAGCAGACAACGTCCAGCCCAGCAGGACGGAACCATGATCTTCTCAAGCGTGCACGGCTGGTCGGGTCGCACAGGCGAATATGAGAATCGCCAGTGCCCACTCTACTCCTCCCATTTCAGCGATGAGATATAATGACTTTCGAAAAGCACATTTCTATCTACAAACACACATCCTCTCTTTCAATTGTGCTTTCACCTCCCATCACCTTGAGGCCATTCTCTTCAAGCACGCTTGGTAGCAACCCGTACTGGACCATGTTCAACGACAAAGAGACCGACTCCGGTCTCCCCTTTCATGAGCCATCAACTGCACCTCCCTCGGAAGATCGAAGAAAGCATCATGTCATACGCACAGAAATCACAGCTTTCTTGGGAGAGCTAATCGGAACCTTCATGTTTCTATCCTTGGCTTTCACTGGTACTCAGATCGCGCTCAATGCCGCCGGCACCAACGACTTGACGGCGAGCTCAAACCCCATTCCCGACGTTGGAAAGCTTCTCTACATTGCCTTCGCTTTTGGTGTCTCTCTGGCTATCAACGTCGCCATATTCGCCGACGTCAGTGGCGGTAAATTCGTAAGTCTTCAAACAATCTCCATGATTCCGAACCTGTACTGACATGCATAGAATCCAGCAGTGAGTTCAGCCGTGCAGCTTGTGTGCTTGTGTTCCCGGCACTTGGGTAACACCATTTGCAACATCGGAAAGACACATTGGTAGCATACATATGTAGTGTGACAAACACTAACCCAATTGCTCACAGGTTACTGCCGCCTTGTGGCTCACACGAAAGATTCATTGGCACCGTGCGCTCCAGACTATCATAGCGCAGATGATAGCTGCCATCGCTGCAGCAGGCTTCGTCTCCGGTCTTTTGCCCGGCGATCTTACCATCGACACAAAGCTCGACGCATCGATTTCCGTAACGCGAGGGTTATTCTTAGAAGCATTCGTCACAGCGCAGCTTATTTTAAGCATTCTCATGCTGGAGGCCGGATCATCGAAACCAATGTACATTGGCTTATCACTGTTCATTGCAGAAATGTGCAGTGTGTACTTTACCGGCGGCAGTTTAAACCCCGCACGAAGCTTTGGTCCGGCGGTTGTTGTAGGATTCACTAGTTACCATTGGATTTATTGGGTAGGTCCACTAGGAGGAGCAGCCGTGGCGAGCGGAGCCTATGCACTGATAAATTTTGTACGGCGAGACCAGTTATAACAGATCGAAGCGAGACGAAGTAATGAACGAAACAACAGTTTTCTACTTTTGGTGACACAGCAGCTTTGATGTCTTCGCAAGTGACTGGTTCACAATTTCCATGGGTGAGCGAACGGTGTAGGCACTACCTTCTTTCTCCGCAAGTGAACTTGGCTTCGCCAACTATCTTGTGGCCTACATGACAACTCTGATGTCACTTTACTAATAAATTACGAACTCGTGCTACCCCCCGAAACTCTTTCAGTGCAGCGAAGTGCTCTTGCATCGACGTGGCAAGTTTCTCTCGGCAGTCCTCCCATCTTGATCACGTAGACGAGCTATACGTATCAAAAAGCAGAACGGCCTTTATTATTAGCAACGCACGGATGAACAGCTACGCGAGCGTTCAAATTCGCATCTAGAACCGCATGCATATACAGGAAGTAGGAGTAAGCGATACATAGCGAAGTAAGCATACCTCGATAGTAGGTTGGCGTTATTTACACAAAAGGTGTAGTGGTGAGCCCGTGTTGGATATCAGCTAGTACTCAGTCAACCATGGGAAATAGAGGATCTTGGTTCTGGGATGTTTCGGTGTCGTAGGAGAAAGGTCTGGTAGCTAGTCCCCAATCTTCACGGGATTTTGTGGAAGCGAATCGTCACAAGATATCACTTGAAGCAACTGAACTAGCTTTAGAGCCACGTACCCTCACCCAACCCAACAGAAGTGAGCATCAAATCATGAAGACCACAACAAGTAGCGACATGCACAGCCTGTAAGAAAGCAATAGCTCAGGATGCTATTTCCTTCCCTAACAGTATGCAGCACTACAAAGAACTATCAACGCTTGCCTCTCTTTAGCCTGCCTACGGAGCTCATGAATAGGTGTATGAGTGCATACTCGATGAAGTCACAGCTGTGCGGCGGCGTCCACTCGACAGCATATAAGCGCTTCGAACTGTCCACGACAACTTGTGTTGGTTTCCAGCATCTATTATATGCACAATCAGATTGCTACCTTCACTCCTTTGTATGTAGCAACCACATTGCTTCTTTCGGGGAGATGAGGCATGTGGCTGATAGAACGAAGGTAGAGTTACTCGCCAGGGTTCCATCGGTCCAGACCAGTGCCCTTCCAACTAGCATCATGGTGTCCAGGTTTTGACGCTGCGCGTCTATACCGTTGGTTTACACGGAACTGCTGAAATATGCAGGTTATCTATTAGGATTGGAGCACTGGCACGTTGATGGAGACGACGTTCTTTTTGGTCGTGAACATGTGTTGGAAGGAATCAGAAAATCAATGGGTCGCGATGTGGAGGTCACTTTTGGACTGAAAGAGTGATCTCCAGGAGAGTCCTTAGGGCGCATGTTGCTTTTGGATCCCTGAGCGTCTTCGTATACCTTCGAGACTGAAGGTGAGAGCGGATTCTCCCGAGACGGCTTAGCGAGATGATATAGCTTAAGGTTGTCTAGCGACTGCAGAGAGGTGATGGAATAGCCACGTGCGTCAACGCGATCGTCTCTTGTTAATATCATCCTCTACTCTCTCCAATCACTCACCAACTACGTTCTCTACGGGAAATCTTGAGACTAATCTACCGCTCCAACAAATCCAACCTCGTCAGGCGGATATAGATCTCGACAGCATGTAGGAACCCGCAACTAGGGTACAATCGATTGTAAATTCACTTATCATGATAGCACCGCCACGAACCAGCGCACCTCGCCTCTCCTTCGCCTTCCAGTCGAGCTTTGAAACAGCATCTATCGCTTTACCTATGAGTCCAACGAAATTTATCTCACCCAGCTCGGCAGGAAGTACCGCGACTGCCAAACTCGGACCGTTCGTCCTATGAGCTTAGCACAAAGCTGCACACAGTGCCGCTATGAAACGCCTCCATACTTCTAGCAGAGTACTACATTCCGTTTGTGCTACGAAAACATGCATGCTCTTATACGTAATACGAGCCCGAGTATGCGTGTTCAGATCAAGGTGGTCCTTCCCAATCCTGACAATGTTTGGGATCTTCAGATAGGCCTACATGCACATAAGAGGGCATTCCCTGAGGTACAGAAAGTCATCTTGATATTTGAAGAGATCATGATAGGCGATAGAGACGCGTACACTAAGAGGTTGAGAGAAGCTTTTGGAGGAAACGCAGAACTCTTTTACCCTTACGGCCAAGATCTTTGATCCAAGAAACACGAGGTGCTTATGGCTCTGATCAGGATGCGAAGGACATTGGGGGACCAAAATTAATATAAATACAAGGGGGTTGACTCTGATCAGGTTTTGAGCAGAAGACTGTCAAGTTTGTTTTGGGTGTGGTGAAGGGGAGTTTCGAGGCGGTCAATGCTCTTACATAACAGCAACTCGCGATGCTAGGGATAATGAAGGCAAATAATCAATAAAAGTGGCTATGTTTCGTACAGCATTGAGTGTCACTGTGTGCAGGCGTCGTAAACCCTTCTACCTAGGTATGGCGTCGCCCTCATGATAGACTGGAACACATCTAGTAGTGACGCGTGATAAGCTTCGTCTTTCTCTCTCTTCGTGGTGGTAAAAGGCGCCTGCCGCTGGCGGGCGTGTTAACTAGCGTTGAGCTGGCGCCTAGAGAGTGATTGGAGAATAATACTGCCTTGGTCTACTCGTTTACTCCTGCCACTTCAGTCCAAGCAGTTAACTCGCCTCGATTCTCACGACTGCCAACCCCTCCACGTACACCATGACTGGCGGCAAACAGAAGAACAATTACGGATCCATCTCTCGAGACGTCGATACGATGTAAGTGAATGACGACCGTGAATGCTTCCACACTGATGATGTTAGTACGTGCGATAACCAGCTCAACTCTCCCTTGTTGCGCCTTCCCGGAGAAATTCGTAATCGTGTCTACGAGTATGTCTTCTCCGGTTCAGAGACGGTTGTAAATTATTTGTATCGGAATCGCTGGCCGCACAGCAAAAAGAGTACCCCAGTCCACGTACTCGCGACCTGCCGACAGATCCACCATGAAGCCTCATCTATCTTCTGGGATGCATGTATCATCAACGCTTACTTCGTCAATGGTCTTGTCGATGTGGAAGTGGCTATGAGAACCTCCAAATGCGCTCGCATAACATCCCTCGTTGTGAATGAGAATGTGGCGTGGGAGATGTCCCACCCGAGTCCCACCGCAGAAACCCCATATATACTACAGATGTTGCCGATGTTGCGGAAGTTGTATGTGCAACGGGCTTACGCTTTCGACACGATCGAGGACATAGTCGAGATACTGTCCGGTATCGCTGCCGAGGGCTTCGAGGTCGAGTACAGACCCTCTGGGACTGTGAGGACTTTTGAGTATGGCCAGCATAGCCAGATATTATGGTATTGAACACTGTGGGCAGTGCACTCGATAAGACTGACCATGATAGTTAACGACTCGGCTTGGAGAAGATTCGTCTCAGCTCTAGTATTCTGGAAACAAGCGGTTAGACTTCTTGAGAGACTAGCCATGCTCAGGTGAATGATTACGCAGGCAACAGAGAAGCCAATGGGAATGAGTGTATGCACGAGTACTCAATTGCAGGACACAATCATGACCAAGCGTGATCCCAAAACTTCCTACCTTTCATGAAATGAGTGTTCCTTTTGTTGCATACAGCCCGTGCGGTAGCCAACAACATATCCAAAGATCGCGAAAATTCTCAGGAGGATGACAGATCTTGTCTTCCAGTAATGTATTTTGGAGTCGCCGGGCATCGCAAGTATTTACCACAACCACCTTCCATGCTCCCCGTCCGAAGGTGGAACGACAAGGGCGCCGACGCCCGTAAATTTTCGGTGTTGGGCGTCCGAAATGCGACAACCACCGTCGGTCCACCACACCAACCTTCCCAGACGGGCAAGTCACCTCGAAAGCCATCGAAACCCTTCGGCATAGCGGTGCGACACGCCCGATAGCCATCGGGGCGCGGATTTTATGATGATGCGAGGTTCTCTGTGACTGGCGTGATACGGAAGGCGAGGCGGCGCCTCCTTGACGGATGCTGCTGGCGCGGGCGAAATCGGCAGTTTGGAAGTCCGGACTGCATTAGGACGGACATCGGGCGCATTGGAATATAGTCAGCTTATTTTGAATATGTGTATGAGGACGGTGAGTGTCGGCATCTCATTTTCAGCTCTGAAGTCCTCCACATAGGTATGATGCGATGCTGAGGAATACTGCGCGACGCCGACTTCTTGAACGAAATCGATTATCGCACGCCAGTGGGTAAGACTAATGTCACCGAGCTGTTCGTTCGACCTTGCAACTGGCAACAATCTGAACTCAGTGTGTACACAGACTTGGGGCGAAGTAACGATCGTTCAAAGTACCACAAGAAAAAGTACGAAAAAATATACGCAGCATTTGGTCTATACTTACGTCTCAGCTATACATGCTGACACATGGACATCGAAAACTACCTACTCCCTAGCAACAGTCTTATCTCTCATTATCCGCCTGAACAGCTACACAATTGTCTTACAACTGCATTTGTACAGCCTTGCTATCGCTATCTTCAGGCCGAAGGCCGTTACAGCTGCTTGTTCCGGTCTTCCCTATCCAATGAGGAGTCATGCGACCCGATACAGTTAGATTGAAGACCCTGCATGCACGTCCCGCAGACGCAGGGTCCAACCGGTCGTCGGCGAGATGCAAAGTCTGGGGTGTCTGGACATACCTGTGAGAGGGCCGGGAGTCAGAACACAATACTGAAGTGTCTCGACAATGTCTCCGACCAACTATGCGACATCTGGACTGGACTGGAAGCCTACAGGCATCGCTTTGATGCAGTAAGCAGACAACGTGAAAGTTACTATGGTATCTCCATCTAGCATACACAGGGCCTCCACCGCCTTCTCCATGCATAGCCGAACATCAAGCATGGGCCATGGATCTATCCCCCGGCTCGGCTTCCAATCTTGGAAACACGAACATGTGGTTGGTTGGAAAGAACCGCTTTACCTTATCAGCTAATCCGGGGGAAGACCATGGAGCATATCGGCGTATCTGCAATACCCCGTCGGCCCAAGCTCCTGGTAAGAGTCAGACAAAAGACGGGCATAAAGGCCCGCTGACATCTTGCGAAGGTGACTCTCGAGTGCTTTTGATTCTTCGGATCTGAAAGGAAATCAACTGCAAGATTATCAGTGTGAACTTAGAGCATAGTATCTATCGACGAAGAAGCGGGTACATCTCAAGCATTGCCAAGGCTGCTTTCTTTTGGAAGGGCATATCTAAAGGTGAGTTAGAGCGAGCTGAACAATAGGCCCTGCATACAGCTTTGTTGGAGCCACGACTACAATGCTGGGCCTAGAACTGCACACTCCCTCCCGCGGAACACAGTCCAAGAATGCATACTCACAACGAGGGGGGATCTACAGGGGAAGAAGCGGTCAGCTAACATGTATATAGATCATTGAGGATACATGACCATATAGGCAGCATCGTTTCCCAGGCAAGCCTACACGGAGAAGTGTAACAACCATTGTGACCAATCCCTGCAAATAGACCAGTGCAACTTTCAAGATGTGCTCCTACACCTACTCATGGTACTACTGCAACCATGACTACTACATCTGGTAAGCCCTTTCCACAGCTCCAGTACCTCATGTCCATCAAAAGTGAGGCTAACATGCCGCAAGGGCCAACAGCATCGAAGTCTGCTCCTCACGGCTATTATCCGGATACTCGTACGACGCCTGGTCCATCGACATGTGTTCGAAGATGAAGATCGAATGCGGCGGTTTTTCAAATTACTATTGCACAGACTGCTCCGAGGACGTTGCGTTGGAGTTTGAGCTGGATGAGTTGTAGACGACGGACGGCCCGGTCAGGTACGCTTCATTCTTCCCCCCAAGCGAGATGCAGACGAGCGGAATTTCGGGATATGCGGAGGTGGAAAGATATATCCGGTTGATTGGAAAGCGAAGTACTGACTCTTGTTATGCAGGTCGATTCACACGTCGCGTCCCTTCGCGCATGGCGTTGTTTCGGCACGCGTCTGTCTTCGGAGTTATTGGTCGGACTTGGCTCACCGCCTTCTCGATGCATGCACCCTCTGCCTCGCGCATGCTGCACGCAGTAATCGTCCCATCCAGTACTTTCCTTTCACGTTTTTGCGCCTGCATTGAATGCGCTATACCTCTTCATTGTTTGAGTTGCGAGTTATCGGCGCATGCAGGCGCTTCTACTAGCCTCTAAGTTGCATTCTCGACAGGTTTCTCTTGGGAGGCGTTTGGGATATTTGGAGATGCTGGTCGATACGTTGATACTGTTGATATAAGTTCAATTACAATATACACGGTCAGTCGCATGATGTTCAACGCAGCGCCGACGTCCAAGACTTTCCTCCAGCATTGTTCGTGCTTTCAACATATGTAACCCTAGCCTTACTCCGTCAAACTATCCTCTGCTGTTTTCGGGCTGACACCGTATCCTTCCTCCAGGGTACGCTTGACCTGCTCAGCTCGCCTCCTGGCATCAATGTACATCATGAATTCCTGATAGGTCCTTGGCATGACCCTGATGTTCTTCGGTACGGTAAACGTGTAGTTGAACTGCCCAGTAGGCTTAGAGTGGCCATGCTCAACGTCGCGGACCTTGGAATCAATCCTAATCTGCACGCGTGTATATTCGGCTTGATCATCGACCTTTTCGTCTGGCGCGCCAATTAGAGGCGGGTCTGTATATACGACCGTAGCGGTCAGGTATAGTATGCTGCCTACAGGTACGGGGTTCTGGAACGTGGAGGGATCGAGCGAGACGAAAGTCGGGCGGGCGTGTGCGAAGGCAGCGGCGGCGGTGAAAGCGAGTTCGAATGTTTGTTTAAGGAGGAAGCCACCGAAGATCATGAAGTGATGTCGATTGCGATATTGCGGCTGCATGATTGTAGCAGTCTGGAGGCGCGTGGCGTCCATGAAGACTACATTGTCTGGTTTGCGAAGGTCATCGTACGGGTCTGCACTTGTTAGCTGGGCTATGAGTGCTGGTGGGAATAGGACCGACCGTGATACTGCAGCTGTTTCTGCCAGAATGCGTGTATAAGATCGCTTTCGAGATCATTCGGAGTATGCTTGAGCAGAGAAGTATCTCGGCGCTCTTTCCGGACTTTCGAGTTGCGTTCGCCCAGAGCATATAGGCGTTTCTCTTCAGGCGTCTCCACAACCAATGGATTGACGTTTACCGGTCTAAGAAACCAGTTAGCTGCGATTCGACTCCTACCCGCCACGATGAGCTTTACTTCTTGGTGCCTGGATCTAGGGAGACCATGGTAAATGTGCAATTGATTAATACATCGTCATCTTTGGCCTTTTCGCCCTTCTTAGGTGCTTTGGCAACTTGCATAGTGATCTCTAGACTGCTTCTGCCAGTCGCATAGGTAACGCGTCCAGATAACTCTAGATCGCATATCTCGGTTAGTGGGGAGTGGATGGTGATGCGATCGCAACTAGCTGTGACTGTGGTCACATCGTCTCCGGTATGCTTGTACCTGTTGGAGCATTTAGACCAGGTCAGCTATTCCGCGCAGCTGTTGGACGCTTACGCAATGATGCCAGAAAGAGCATCAAGGTCCATGAAGATGGTCCCAAGCCGTATGTGCCCTGAGGAGTTCAGGTATGTGTCGAGTAGCCATGGGTCTTGAGCTAGCGGAAGCACAACCGAATGATAGCTTTCATCCATGCGTTTGGGTGTTAATTCGCGATCTTTGGAGACTTCGGGCCTCCCTGAGGGCTCCACAGGTTGTTTGCCCTCTGCTTGCTGTTGACGCAAAGCTTCCACCCACGGAGTACGCACCCGCATCGAAGTGAGCTCTCGGAAGACGCCATCGGTGCGTCGCGAAGGACTGGAATGAAGATTTCTGCGAGCTAATGAACCCACTATCACTACTGGTGACTGATGTGTAGCATTCTTGGACCATGCAGCTTGACCGACGCGTTGGAGCGCGTTACGGGCGAGGTTCCTCATACTGAGACGCGAGGTGGAGGTTGTGGAGCTGAGAGCTTGCGAGGAACTGACATTTGGAGGTGCTTGCCGATCGCATGTCTTGGCGCTAACGGAGAGACCTCACCATCCCAAACTCTGCCCCTCCACCAACCTCAGCAATCCTTGTGTCGAAGTCTTCGCCTTCTCCACAGACCGGAATTCGGTTGGAGTAAAATGTCGAAATCGATCGAGCTCGGGCGTGCGGTACTGAGCTCACCGAGCACAAATCACGAGCTTTGGCTCACAACATTGATCACCATCTCACCAAAACAGGATGCAACTTACCTACAGCAGCTCACCTCAGCCCAGTATCTTGATATGTTGACGTCCGGGACTCTCTGGGTCAGCCGTGAGCATAACATGCACATTGAGATGAAACTTCAGCTACGTGAAGAAGCCTTGCCCCACAACCAACTGCAAGACCTCATGAATGCTGTACTTCATGCGCCAGTAGGTACGGCCGCTCTCAAAATGCATCAATATTGACAAAGCACAGGTTTGGGACCAGCTGATGTTGAAGCCGACCCAACCAACGGATGTCGCAATGGATACAGGGACAGTACACCTGAATATCAATCATGCATGCGCCACGGAGGTGCAGGAGGGAAAGAAGCGTCACAGACTCTTTTCCGGTGTCCCGGCAGCAGATACTCGGCCGCCCGAGGGTATCATGACTGTCTCACTCCAGTCGGTACGACTCTGTATTGACGTCCTCGAGACAAGCCCGCGCCGGAGGCTCACAACAAAACGATCGGACTTATCTCCAAGCGAGCGAAAAGCACCAGCTTTAGATAAAGAAGACTCTGCAACGCTTTTGCATAAGACGGCGCCCGATAAACTATTACATGATGCTTACATTGACCGTGGCCCAAACGCTCCGAGAGCAGCTGCACATCGAAATAGAAAACGGCCAGTTACAGAGACATTGGTATCGACTAACTCATACCCACCTGACATGACCGAAACATCGAAGCGACAACGCAGACGAACGGCCACTGACTCTTTCATGCAGCGTAACTCACGTACAAATTTCACATTACCTGACAGGACAAACGTTTTCAGTATGGTTGATGGGGCGTTGCGTCTGTCGATCTGTGGTACACTGAACAAGACGGCAATCGGATGCAAGGTCAAAGCAAACACCTTCCGTCTTGGGCTCGCAGATGTGGCTCCTGCAATATGGAGGACTGGATATTTGGTCGTAGGAGGATCTTATTTCTGGTTCTCTATGTATTGCTAACCCTGAGCAGGCTTTATCTCAAAGAGCTCATCTATCACCTACTATTGCTCGTTCCATCGCCCAAGTCGGTAGCGTGAACTCGACATCCATCTCGCTCAGGGACAAGATGAAGAGCTTGAAGACGATACCTCTTGAGCTACCTAGCGAGGTATCTTGCGCCAAGGGGCCAAACGTTGGCGATTATGTCGCTGAAACTGAATCAGCTATCGCAGGTCGTTTATGGGTACAATCCCAGAGAAGTCTCTTGGACAAACAGATGGCTCCGATCCAAGCATGTATTACTACCTCTCTACATCCAGGCCAGTCCGACTCGGAAGACATGCTGGCGGAAGAAGAATCACGCTGGCATCATTCCCGGCGCACTACATACTTCAAGGATGACAGCTATCATAATTCCTCCAATCATGATTCAGCATCGGCCGCGTATGGTCAAACAGTCCAACAGCAAGGGCAACCTTTCGGCAGTCCCAATTTGGATATGAATGTTCGAGAAAGCGAGGATGACCTACTCCTTGACTCACCTTCCCAGCATACTGTTTTAATCACAGCGTGCTCCGCCGATGATCAGCATCATACGCCCAACAGTTTGGATGGGTATCCTCCGTCAATGCTTCCTGTTCCAATGCAGCAGTCGATTGGCTCAAATTCACGACGCTACCTCAATACGTTGCACACTGTACAGCCTTTATCAGACCAATCGGCAATGGCAAGCCCTGAAAATTCACATGAACCGCTATTCGAAAATGACGTTAGCTGTACCGAGGAACTTCTCCCGATCCCTCGAGTGTTAAAAGGGGCTTGAGCTCACTAGCGTTAAGCTGGCACGATAAGGTTTCGCATGTCTATAGATTTTCAGCCGAGGTGGGTTGGCAGCCGTTTCACATAGAAATGGTGGCATCACGTAGTCGCCGCTATGGCTTTGAACATATTTCTATTCTTATTACCCGAATGGGGCTACACGTGGCGTGCTATCCCGCACGGCGATACGGAGACATATGGCATTCTTCCACCGGCTTTGTGATATGAACTGGCTCGACTCTAGGAGGCATTTATCCATTATTCGACATTGATGTTGAATCAACAATCGGGTCACTGTATGTAGATCACAGCTCACATAAACACACTTTACCAATATCGCCACCATCAAACAATACGAAGCATGAATCGTCTTTAGACGCATGCCCTAGCACACATGTCCGTTTAAGAGTGGCTTGGCTGGTGGCTAGAGCTGCGCATCATCCTGCAGGTCCCGGAATCAACGGGAAAAACACTGTTCAACTGAAGCCGAACGATGATGGCGTACGCCCGCCTAGAATGGTTCCTTACCTTCCATCCAACTGCCACGCGGACGCGACGGAAGTTTTTGAGTAGCAGCATCCACTTTGCGAACGATAGACTGGGTCTCGTTCGTAGCCCGCGTGGCGCAAACCGATCCGTCAAACTCTCCTGTCAGTAAACGTCACCGATATCCAATGGACCAAGTCGTCCACTGCCGAGGTTGCACTAAGCGAACCAGATTCGCTTCGGACACCAAACACCGACGAAAGTTACCACGGGATCAACACGCCACAAAGCAGTTGGCATACGTCAGACATGAGTGACAACCCTTTTTAACAAAATCAATTCGAGGATGCAAAAGAAGAGTCAACAGGCTCTGAAGCTCTCTCTTGTCGTGATTCGCGCCCCACCGGCTCGGCGGGATGACTGCGCGCGTGAAGATCAATTTCGGTTATCGAGCACAGACCTTGTCATGACCTAAGAAGATGTGATCAGAGGCGAGCACGCTCATTCTCCACCCCACTACGTGCCGTCGCACCAACAGATAGTTCGCGAGTACGACGACACATGTCAAGCCGGCGCTTCCGAATTTACCATTCGAACGGATTATCGGCCTGGAGTCAATGCAATCTACAACTGCTCTTGAGGGCTGAACATGAGTGACTGTTGATGCGCATGATGCAGTACTCATTGTTGTGCATATGCGATGATAGATCTTGCAGTCACATCCTCGAAGTAAAGTGGCGGATGCTCACGCGGGATGATGGGAAAGACAGAGCACTTGAAGTTATGGGCTTGTTCCAAAAAGATGCATCATTTCACACCCTGGCTGCAGCCGCGAATTGTTTCAATGGGTCGGCGATCGTTGTACCAAAGCTCTGGACACACGGCACATACCATCCGGGCTTGTGTAACGTGCCAACCCTGGCCAAATCGCGGACTACCCCATCATCAGCACCTACTTCTTGCCGGCGCAGAATGCCTCTGATTGCTCTGTCAGCGTCGTGAACGAACTCAAATTACCGCTCTCACCAATGTTACTCGAGACCCGGGATCAGTCGGCCAGCGTACCAGAGTTGAGCCTCACGCTAACTGTACAATGACATCCAGGCTAATGCTAAGCTGTGTGACAGTCGCCTCTGGCTGTGCAATCTCCACGGCAAGCGTTTGTCGCGTGCATTTCACATCCCGCTCGTCAATCTCTAAGCGTGCTCTTATTCGTAGAGAGGGCACAGTCATTCAGGCATTCAGCAGCCACAGTTGTAACACAGCATGAGACCGGGGTCGGTTGAAGTTACCTGCATAACTAGCGAAGCACGTTACATGCGTAAATGGCTAGAACGTCAAGCCGAACGGGATACATGAACTTTGCAGTTACCCGAGAGCAAGTCTCGAGCCACTAGGTTCGAGCCGTTTGCATCAAGGGCCGGAGCTGTGGCGTTGAAAACTGCCTTGGCGCCATTGGTATCTCGGCATGAAGATGGCGGAGCTTTGTGATCGGTCCCAGCAGCAAAGTGTGGAGACTTCGTGCGACGGGGTGTCGCTGCCTGCCGCGCCAAACTAACCAGGCCCAAAGTATGTCTCCCACTTTCCTGGAAGTCTAGAAGGAAATCTTACCGGCAAAAGTGCAGGTACATATCTGCAACATCCACTGTTCGTCGGCTACCTCTCCGATCGATCTTTTAGGTTCTCACTGCTGGAAGGAGACCTACACTTTATACACAACTCTCCGCACACGTGCTGATTGGACTCTGGAAAAGCAGTAGTCTGTAAGACACTGGTTACCGCCTGACTTGGACGACCAAAACGAAACGCCGGAATCTTCTTCTTACCCTGATCAGCGGTGGATGATGCAAACCACTTGAGTGTGATAAACCCCTTCTTCCCAAGAAGACAACCAGAACGATCATAACCCGTGCGGTTCCGCTCGGCTGATCCTCAACCTGGTTCGACTCTTCTTTTGTAAAGGTGCGTCCCAGATCGTCTCTTCTTTTGTAAAGGTGCGTCCCAGATCGTCTCTTCTTTGACACAGCCCGATGAGCATAACTAACTGACAAACTGCAGTCTTTGCTCATTGAGCAGCGTACGTAAGAGCGCATCATCAGCCTTACGTGATTACTATACCTTTCAACACACTCAATCAAGAATCTGCGTTGCAATGTTGAATTCAGATATCGAGACGAAGTATCCATTGGGGAGCAGACCCAGCATATCATTTCTCCCGGGGCTCATCGTGGGTTCATACGTGGTCAGCCTAATCGGTGCTTTCACAACGGTAGAGCTGCTGCATCGGAGAGTTTCAGGAGCAGGATGGCGATCGTGGTATGTTCTGACAGGTCGTTGCTGTATAGCATTCCCTAACCAAGTTCCAGTGTACAGATAGGAGGTTGTGCGGTCTCCTTCGGATTGGTAGCGATTTGGTGCATGCACTTCGTAGGGAACCGAGCTATTGTACTCGGTGACGGTGAAGACGAGATCCAACTTTACTACAGTTCGACCTTTACCGCCGTATCGGCTATTCTACCCGTGGTCGTCATTTTCCTAGGACTATTGGCCGCCGACAAGTTTTACAAAGGAAGTAAGGGATCTTTGGTTCGATTCGCATCTCTAGGTGTTTGCGGTGTTTGTGGAGGAGCAGCGGTCACGGAGATGCACTATCTGGGCAACAACGGCACAACTAACTATCGGATCATACTGAGTTGGGCACACGTTGTCGGCGCCGCCGTTATCGCTGTGGGCGCATGTCTCATCTCATTCAGTCTCTTCTTCCATTGGAGCAAGCACTGGATGAACAATGTCTGGCGACGAATCATTGTGGCGATCGTACTGGCCTTGGCTGTTTGCGGAATGCATTGGACTGCTGCAGCTGGTACCTGGTATGAGATTCGTGGCTATCACAGCGGGCCTGGCCAGGAACGAAATACAAACCTGATCATCTCCCTGTGCCTTGTAAGTCACTTGCTTTATAAGCATTGCGCATTGCTAATTAGGACCAGTGCCTGAGCGCATGTGCCGTATGCTTTCTACTCGGCTTCATCAAGCAACGCCAACGACGATTGGAGAAGAATCGAGCCCAGCAGGTCGTTTTGGCGATTGCTACGTTCGACCCTGAAGGAAAGCTGCTAGTTAGTCAAAGTGGGCTGATGCCGTGTCAGACTATCACTCACCAATTCCATCAAAGAACCTTTGACGACGAGTTCAATACATCGCATCCCGTATTCCAATGGATCTTTCGGGTATCGCGCAACTGGACTGGCATCTCCGATCTTATTCCGACAATGCGAGAGCATCTACAAGCGACCGGTTATCTCCAAACGCCTACTTATGCAAGCAACAGCCGGACCTCTCTTGAAACTGACGAGGATTCGAGCTACTCGGCCACTTTTCGGGAATTGTTCTGCGTCACAGCTCATGAGATTGCGAAAACCCTTGATACGAGTCTGCAGAACTTGGGATGTCTATACGAGGACGTCTTGACGACGGGAACCATGAACAACCGGGCGATCTGGACAAACAACTACGGCAACAAAACGATCGTGGCTGCAGATGTAGCAACAAAAGATCTTGAAGCCGCTATGGTGAATCCGATCTTGTTTGGCAGAGGTCAAATGCTCGTTCTTACGAAGAAGGTTGATACGACTGAGGCACATCGGCTACATAATCTGGGATATGGATTCGCGAGTGTCGAGCAGGTTAGCGATCTTCTAGCCCGCAGCTTGCAGATACCGCGTGACGATCTCGAGAACCTCGTTGGACGCCTACATGCGTTCAGCGAGAGGCAATTGTCGCTCCCCAAGAAAGGTACCTACATCGGATCCTTCCTCGTACAGCCTAAGCCTGGTATGGGAGGCTTGGATATTATTGTGCCGCGCGCTACACCTGGACGCCTACCAATGGTCAAGCTGAGCGATGGTGAGCTGGAAAATCGACACATGGGCATCCTTGCGACTTTCAACGGCCTTACTTTAGATGATTGCCTGTTGCGAATCAACAACCGATCGGTGACGGAACACGAGGACGATTTGTTCCTCGACAAATTTCGCAACCGGATTATGGAGCTTCTACGGGACTGTCCTGAGGAAACTCTACATCGCGCGATATTCTCATCGCAGCAGCTCGATATGATGCACGGTCAGACCGAGTCCAGCCAGGCAACAATATTCGCGTTCTGCGGCATCAAAGAGATTTATGTCCAATCGCTGCAAAGCCTGACACTCAAGGCGATTCCATTATCCTTCTTCCAAACGTACTTGAGGTCACAGCCAGGGTGTGCCGATCACGCGATACTGGCACAGAAGAACCACAAGGAGTTTAGCAGTCTTCGACAAGTACCATCCATTACGAAGATGCCGCCCAGTAGCCGCGGAAGCAAATGGACCCGTGGTCTGCGCTCAAAGAGATCAAACTCAACAGAACTGACCTGGCAGACGGACGCTTGTTCGGAGAAGGGTCTTGTCAATTACAGCACGACTTCTGCGCCCGAGCCTTCGACACATCCTTGGGGAGGAATCATGGTCACTTCGACCCAAAACATTCACGTGGACGAGACCAAGGACGGAGCGAATGTAGAGCTGCACGATCTTGGTGTAAGAGCCAAAGTCGGTATGGCGGAAACGGAGCAGCAGACGCTGGCGGACCGACTAATGTCTATCACGACTGCCTTCCGCGACCCGCACGCGATACAACGACCTGGCTACCACGGTATCCGGAAGTAGATTCTATTCATGGACAGATGGACAGATGGACCTCTGTACACGTCTGTCTCTTTTTTTTTTTTTTTTTTTTTTAAGAAGCATTGCGCGGCGTTGAGTTTGTTTAATATTTGTGATACCCTTCATCATGAAATGCAATGACAGCAACGACAGCAAGAAGGGAAGTTTGGTATTTTGAGATGGGCGTTTATCGGGTTTGGTGAGGAGAGAGTCTCCTAGAATCTTTGAGAAAAGTGTATCAAATACGTAATATGTACAATGTGTATAACAAGAAGGATTCCAAAAACACATCTGGTCAAGGAAGGATAAAGCACGTCTGTAGGTGTCCGATAACGCAGGCCGGCCCGCAATGGTGGGAGGCTTGGCGGATGACGCTCATCTGAACTTTCTATGCCCCACGCGTGAACTCTCCAAAACATTGACTCAATGCTAGCTCTAGGCGACCACGGCAGACAAGCTGATACGATTGCTCTCAATTAATACTCGTTCACCCCTACCTCTACCAACATCTCCAATTGCTCGCCGCTGACGAGTTTCGGAAGCCGCAACCCGCCCGCAGCGGCCCCTCCACCATGTCTTCGCCCACAAACGCACCGACACACACTCTCTCCGCTCTTGCAACTCTCACACCACCATCCAACTCGCGAACATGGCAGTCGGCGCCACACCCTTCTCTCCCCATAGTTGCGACGGCTTGTTCCGACCGCAGCGTGCGCGTCTACAGCCTGACATCATTTACACTTCTCCACTCGATAACAGGGGGTCATAAGCGCAGTGTACGGACAGTCAGCTGGAAGCCTGGCACGCGAGGACAGAGCGTTCTCGCCACAGGCAGCTTCGACTCGAGCGCTGGCATCTGGCGACGCGAAGAGCACGGCGGAAGCCTCGAAAACGACTTCACGAACCGACGAATGGGCGGCGCAGAAGACGACGAGGACCAGGACGATGACGCCGACGATTATCAGTTCAGCTGTATTCTCGACGGTCACGAGTCGGAGATCAAGTGCCTGTCGTGGAGTCCCTCGGGGCAGTACTTAGCGACTTGTTCGCGCGACAAGAGCGTGTGGATATGGGAGGAGCTGGAGGACGACAACTTCGAGACGGTAGCTGTGCTGCAGGAACATGATGGCGATGTCAAGTGCGTGGCATGGCACCCAGAGGAGGACTTGTTGGTCAGCACAAGCTACGACGATACCGTCCGGTTGTACAGAGAAGACGCGGACGACTGGGTGCAGGTCGCGATGATCGACGGGCACAACCAGACAGTTTGGTGGGCCGAGTTTGAGGGGAGCGGGATGAGCAAGAAGGATTGGAGGGCAGAGAGGACGGGACTATCAGAGGAGCAGACACAGTATATTGAGGGCCTGGAGAGGTCTGGACCTAGGCTCGCAACCTGCTCGGACGACTGCACAGTGAGGATATGGCGGCGGCAGGCGAAAGAGAGGGACGACAATGCAAGCAGCAACACAGGCGTACCTAGCATCATCCGCTCTGCAGCCATCGATGAGGACTGGTATCAAGAAGCGATCCTTCCGCAAGTCCACGAACGCGCCATATACTCAGTATCTTGGAGTCGCACCACGGGTATGATAGTCAGCGCAGGCAGCGACGGCAAGATTATTGTTTACAAGGAGAGATGGAGACAACCCGCCTCTGGTGGTGTAAACGGCGACCAGATGGAGGTAGATGGCGCGCAAGCACAATCCCCAACGGAGTGGGTAGTTGTTGCGGAACTATTCTCAGGACATGATGTGTTTGAGATCAACCATGTCAGTTGGGCGAGGAGAGCAGACAAGGGCAAGAGGGAAGAGGGGGAAGAGGTTGTTCTGAGTACTGGTGATGACGGCGAAGTTCGAGTGTGGACTCTGGACGATGCGGTCGTGCCTCAAGCATGAACAATATCTACATAGCAAGTACGGCATAATCAAGCTTTACGTATCCCGATGTTGCAGGTGCTAAGTTTGGAGCAGCTATCCAAGTCATGACCTGGGTGTCCATCTCCCTCGTCATGACACGTTCTGAGATGCAGGATCTAGAAGTTGGCAGATATCACCCCTGTCACATGCCAATCTGGCGCGAATGCGAGGAATCAGGATGGGAAATGCCACACGTGGGCCATGTTGATGCAGGCCCTGGGGTTGGTTGTGTGGCGCAGGGAGCGTTGGGCGGACTTTCGTCATGCCAAGCGTGCCGATCACATCAGGATTCAAGGAAGCGCAGCGAGATTTTAGGGACTGATGCTAGGTGTAATCTACGCGTCTCCAACATGTACTAGAGACCCTCTTCTCCGTACTCTCTCCCGACATCTGACCTGTATCTTTTATCGTGTCCAGTCTGCGATGCCGTGCAAGCCTCTCGTCACTTCCTCCATCTAATTGGCGCTCGCGCATTGTCTTCCCGACACCGTTATCACCCGCGTTTCCCCATATCTGGGCATTGCGCACCCGACATCTGTCTACTTTGCTACCTACGACTACTTCCACCTCAGCATAGTTTGGAACCAGCACGTGCAGTGTAATCGTCTGCCCACTGCGCCTGTAATTGCCCATCTGTCCTATTGCTTGTTCACCGCCTGAACCCTTCGGACTCCCCACGCTTATGCCGCCAAAACGAAAGCGATCAGCCACTGTAACCTCGGTCAAGAAAGACGCCATGGACGCTGTACAGCCCTCATCGCGCGATGCCTCGGACGAGGGTGCCGAGGACCCTGTTCTCCAGGCAGTCGCGTCCAAGAAGGAGCGACAGGCCGATGCCAATGGCACAACCACTAAGCGGGTGCGCGTTAGGGGCGCCCACGGCGACCAAGACAGCGACGAGGATGAGCGCGCGAGCAAGAAGAGCCGACGCACATCATCGCTTGCGGGCGACGACCACGGCGAGGGTGGTGAGGCCGGAAGCATGCGCATGGAGCCTCCACCAAAAGCTGGCTTGGTCGACCCTGTAGGCTACAAGACGAACCCCCCGCCAGAGGGACGACCGGTCAGGATATATGCAGACGGTGTTTTTGATCTCTTCCATATCGGACACATGCGCGCCCTGCAGCAAGCCAAGACGGCCTTCCCCGACGTCCACCTCGTGGTCGGCGTTACCGGTAACAAGGAGACACACAAGCGCAAGGGCCTTACTGTCTTATCGGCAAGGGAGCGTGCCGAGAGTGTGCGCCATTGCAAATGGGTCGACGAGGTCATTGAGGACTGCCCGTGGATCGTCACCGCCGAGTTCTTGTTGAAGCACAACATCGACTATGTTGCCCACGACGACCTCCCCTATGGCGCAGACGAGGGTGATGACATTTACGGTCCGATCAAGGAGCGAGGCATGTTCTTGGTCACCCAAAGAACCGAGGGTCTCAGCACAACGGGCATCATCACAAAGTAAACTTCTCCGCTCGCACTTGAAGTCATATGCTAATATGTTGCAGAATCGTACGCGACTACGACCAGTACATCGACCGCCAACTCAAACGCGGCACTTCGCGCAAAGAACTCAACGTATCGTGGCTGAAGAAGAACGAGCTCGACGTCAAGCGCACCATGGCCGAGCTCCGTGACAGCATCAAAGCGAACTGGACCACAACCGGTCAGGAACTTAGCAAGGACTTCCGCCAGTTCTGGCAATCAAGCCGTCCAGCAAGCCCAGCTCGGACACCAACACGGGAGCAGACCCAGGCCGAGGCCATGGAATCAGCCAACGTGGCTCGATCGCCCTCTGCTATATCGCGCCTCAGCCACCTTGACATCCCGCGTGCGAACAACAGCACGAGGGAAAGCTCCGAGTTCGCGGCTGGATATAATCTAGGTTTGATTGGAGGTGTGCGATCATGGGTATGTGCAGCCAGCAATTGTGGACATGGCGAACATAGTACTAACGAGATTATAGATGGCCCGCAGTCGTCGTAACCTTAATGACAGTAGGCCGCAGAGCCCCATTGACGAAAGCTCAGACGAGCAGGAAGCGAGGAGTCCCCATCAGGAAGCGCCCCGTGGACGTACTGGCAAACAAACGAAGAGCGAGGCTATGGATACTGCAGCTTAGGAAGCCTTGACCCGCTATTTGTACTAGACCTCTGCGTACCTTTCTTTAATTCGACCCAAAAACTCGCGCTCCATGAGAACATCGGAAAAGTTGCTTGGTTCCATCAAACGTCTGCACAGCCAGATCTAGCAAGCACCGCTTAGGCACCTTGTGCGACTGAACATGATACGTGGCTAGAGGAGGAGAGTCTTTCCACACTTGTTGCTCCGCCTCTCCAGCAGGGCGAAAACTTACCTTATCATAATATTTTACTCTGTTCCTCGTTGCCAATTGCGCCTTCTTGCGCCTTGTTTTGTGTTGCCGAACCTCCATTTCCACAGTCATGGTTTTATGCTAAGCGCCTACTTACCTTTGTCCTGATGACAACTTGCAAAGCCTGCTTTGCTGTTGGTCAAACGCAGTTGGTTAGCCAAACGTATGGTTGTTGTACGGCGCAATCGCCTGGCTTGTTTCCCTTCCCTTTCTCGCGTATCTTTGACAGAAGGTATTGAGGCATTGTTGAAAGGAATGGCTTGATAATAAGATGGATGACCGGATATGTTCTCAACCTGACGAGAAAGTGCGCAGTCGATTATCAAAAGTACTATTCCCATTCTGACGCTGTTTAATCGCTGCGAACCCAAGATCGTTTCTTGTCTGATCGACGACGACCAAACTCCACTACATACGTAGAAGAGTCATCACGACGTGCACGGCGGCTACTAGATCTTGGAGGGGAGAGAGTGGTATACGCAAATACATATCAACACTTCACCGTACCTCACGAGTACCAAGAACCAACTGATCAATCAATCAAGCCAACTCCCACGACGATAAAGAATACCTCACGTCAACCCATCTACCCGTTCATCCAGCTATTTATTCACAAACAAATGTGTATAGTCCTCTTCGCCACCTCCTCCCACTGCGCCTGCCCACCAGCCCCCATATACCCCTACCTCCGCCTCTGCCCTTACGCAAGATCACTCGACCCCATCAAGGCGTGTCCTGTGGGTAGAAGAATGAGTCAGACCATGTGGGTAGAGGGGGAGTGTGGGTGGTGTAGACAGTGTGGGAGGGAGAAGGCGAGGGAGGGGAGGGTGCAGTGGAGGAGGGCAAGGTTGGCTGTGGAGGCAAGGCAAGGGTACGGGAGGGGCAGGGGGAGGTTTGTTCGGTGGGATTGACTATGATGAGAAATGGAGGGTCTTGGGTTGGGTGGGATATAGGTGGGGAGGTGGAAGGTGCATTGGTGGGGTGGTAAGAAGGATAGGAAGAGAGATGGAGGACTAGAGATGGACGGGAAATGGGAAGATATCCTGCATACCAAGGAAATCGAGGTCAGTTTGGGCTGGAATAGTCGCAATAGTAGTAGTAGTACTGAGCGAGAAGGTGAACATGAAAAAACCTGCTCATGAGAAGTATCTGCACAGTTTACGTTTCGTGGATGACTGGACCAGATGCCCAAATTATGATAGGCATCCGGCTTTGGGGGTGATGAATTGCCGTGGTGTATGTGTCAATGCCTACGCAAGGCAACCCAGCGCTGTTAAGTAAGTCAGTATGATAATCACATTTAGTACATTGCGCGTTCCCTCGATGAATGACTGGCGATGGTTAATCATTTGGGGCTTGTTTGTAAGCGGTTATTTCGTTCTTGCAACGCGATTCTTGGACAGGTAGGTGAACGCTGTGTAGGGTAATGGCAATGCTGCGGAATTCAGAGACTTGCGCGTTTGCTTCATTATTTTTCGAGATTGAAAGTCGAATAGGGCGTAGGTCTTGATTCGTCAGTCGGAAGTGTGCCTGTTAACGAACATGATCTTCCTGAACGCAATTCTTCCCTGCACTAACGTTGGCGTCACCGGACGTCCATCGTCGCTACACGCAAGCGAAGGACTTCTCAACCATGTTTCACCATAAAATCGTCCTCCTGCAGTTCTGAGAGATAACCACTCAGAGTGCGCCGGACGGCAGGAGACAGCTAGTCGGACCTAAAAGAGATTGCGTCGTGTGACATCGCGACTTTCCCAAACCTCAAGAGGGCGTTGTTGCTGCCTCAGGAACAACCACCGGCGGCTCCAGCCCTACTATATAAATAAATGGGGCCCTCTCCGTGCTTCTGTTCTTCCAGATGCTCTTGGTCCCACGCACGCATTCTGCACGCGGTATAGATCGCCTCATACCCGCAATGTGATATACGACAAATACTCCCCGCACCAGGGCTTTCCTTACTAGCAGCCCTTTGTCGCCCGCCCGTCGCTTATCTGTCATACCATGAGAGGCTGCTCTGCTTTTGCACATCACGATCAGCAACCATCCTGCGACACACGTACCGGAGATGCCTCTGAACGAGTCGGTCCTTGAGTACTTCGGCAGTTTGTCGGAGCGGCAAGGCCTGCTAGATGAAGCGGTTGCGTTTCAGTCAACCCGCACGCGAGGACACTCGCACCTGTGTCCGACTCATGATGGTATCGAAGAGACCAAGAACACGAACCTGACGTCGACGAGTCTGACCCACCGCGGAGTAGTCTAGAGGCTGGACACGAGTGCGACGCGTCTGCTCGCCATGTGCTCTAGCAGCTGTCTACTGCAGCTCAGTGGCTTCTGCTGCAGCGGGCCTCCGGTACATCTCCGATGGTAAAGGGTGGAAGCGAGCATCCGGTCAGTCGCGCGGGTCGAGCATGTCGCGACACAGCACCGGTTTTTTCTTTTCATCCATCCTTGGTAGCAACGCATACGCCAAATGCTCGCCCTACTTTCATAAAAGTGAGGCGGTCGTGATGCGCTCTCCGATGCTGCAGCCAATCACAGCTAGCCGCAAGCGGTCTCGGCGTCCTGGGCCTGCACATCTGCTGCATTCTGCTCCCTCACGACATCGTCGTCTACAGTGTCTGACGGGCCAGACGACGCTACTGCGGCTCCACGTTTACCGTCTTGATGCTGAGCTTTATTTTTGCTGCTGACTAGCGGTGTGGACTGCTGCTGGGATGACACGCGTTGTAGCTTCACGCTCACCAGACACGCCCCCGATGTGACTTACGGAACGCCCTAACGCCGTCGGTCGTTCTGTGGCGATCGCCTCCACGTCCCAAAGTATTGGATTGCACATTTAAGATATGGTCAGAGCATAATCACAGACGTAGCCTGTAGTCTGTGCCCTTCTTTTAAACAAGAATGCAAGGGCACCCGCTCTGACCTCAGCCTCCGTTATTGCACAACCACCCGTAACGACACAAACGCTGTTTGATTTCCGCATCGTCACCTTGCCGCACTCCCACGCCTTGTCGCTACATTACTACTCCGTTCAGTAGTACCCCTTCCAGTCTGTCTCTCTGATTTTTGCTCTTTTTCCGCGCTGTTCCACTTTGCTTTTCTTGCAAAGTGGTTTTCCTATCGAAGCTGTCTCTTCACGCTTCCGCAACCGTCATTGTTCTGCTTTTGTCATCGCGAATGACCACTTTGTCCTCCTTTGCTATGAAATAAGCCTCGACTTGCATACGAGAGATCCTATTTGATCTAGTATCCAAGTTGGGCACATGCGAAAAGGTACGACTCTCCCAAGCACGATCCCGCCTGTCGCCGCGTCTTCGTGCTTGTCTGACTCGGGAGCTATTTCGTTCGTTTCAGCGCCCACCCGTGGCTTCGTCAAACAACCTATGAACACGTTGACGGCTTGTGTCTTACAAACCGCTCTGTCTTGGATAGTTTGGTAAGCTAACGAGTGGTAGTCCGCGCTTGTAGCAACCCCATGCGCTTTTCTTGAGCCTTCGCTTTCCCAGGCTTTATCGTCGCCATTACGCACACTCGCGCGCTCAACTCGGTACCGCTTCCAACCGTCACCGTACACCCTACCTACGTCATCTCATGAGAACCCGACCGACCATGCAGCAGAACTGCGGGAGCATCCGTCGACGGAAAGAGATGCGTACCCAGTCGACCAAACCTGTTGTTAACTCGACTTCCTCTTTTGAGAGAAACACTTCGCAACCATGGCATAGTTCTACCACCTCAGATGCATCGGTCAAGGTTGCGTCAAGAGATGGAAGTCCAGCAAAGTCGTTATCACTCTTTCATTCTACCATTCCAGAGGAGCTCGCGGGACATTTACGAGCTATGATGCCTGGGCAGACTGGAGTGGAATTGTCAGGCGAAGAGCTGGCAGAGAACTTCCTCGAAGCATTAGATTTACCTCCGGTTACTAAGCAGTCGTTAAGTGAGCTGGACATTCAGAGTATCATCACCAACATCAAGCTGCGGCATGATGTCAACTTCGACAGAGACCTGAGCTTCAGACCGAATGTCGATGGTGTCAAAGGGCAAGAGAAGGAGAAAGTAGCGGACAAATATTGGGGAGCATTGATCGCCGAGTTGGTACTGTACAACCGTATGTTCCATGGAACGCCACCACTATCAGCGATTCAAGTGGAAGCTTTCACTCCCTATGCGCAACGACGGATACCGATCCTATTCCAGAACGTTCGAGACGTTCTCAAGAGTCTGGTACCCGACCGAGATCATTCCAGAGTGGACGAGCATCTAGATGTTCCCATGTTGATGCAAGCTATCGAGCGAGGAGTGTGTGATTTGGGACGGCTGGCAGAGTGGATGGCGCAACTACTCAAGGAACATTGCGCGCCGATGCGCGATGTCTTGGTTGACGAGATGGTCACTTGCACGAGACTGGGTGAGGCAGATCGTAATCTCGAAAAGATCGTCGAAGGATTGCGAAAGCTGTTTGGCATATTGGAGGCTATGAAACTTGTAAGTCACGAAGAGGATATAACGTATCCATAAGCTAATTGCAAATAGGACGTAGCGAACCATCAGATCCGCAATCTGAAGACTCTTCTGATTGAGGACACGATCAACTTTGAGAAGCACTACCATCTCGATAGACTTGTGCATGGCAGAGCAAGAGTCAACATCAACACGGCACAAAACTGGTTCACAAACGCAGTTGATGAGTTTGGTCCGCAGTGTTCGCCCCGACCCCGAGCTGGACCATGTTTTGAGCTAGAGGTCTTTACTCGCGCGGTAGTGGCAATCTCATTCGGCAGGGACGGCCGGAGTGACTTCCCCGAAACCTTCTTCCTGGACCACGATCGACTAGTGATACTCAAAGCCGAGGTTGACGATCTTGTCATGTTTGAGGTCTGCATGGAGATGTACGTGACGCTCGCAAGACAGCTAGGGTACCAAGGACCCATGACTATGGCCATCGGACAGCAGCTTCGCACCGCTCTCTCCGCCATCATGGGTGAGGCTGCGGGTCATGGTCCCCAACAGTGGATGATGAACTCTGAAGCTCTCTCGCTTGAGATTCTGCGCCAAGCTTCACATCTCGCCGGACAAACACCCGGGTGCAGTTTCGATCGCATGGCTGAATCTAATCAATGCCTCCGTCTCATGTTCGTCCGCAAATCTGCCTGGCACGCATCGCGTCTCGAGGCGTCACTCCTACCACAGATCCTTGCCAATGTCGACCGCCACAGTTCCTCATCGCCCATCGAACTCTTCAACAGCCTTGTATCCACATCTCATTCCATGCCGCAACTTCCAACACTTTCACGACCTACCATCTCCGATACGTTTGCTTTCGCCCATCTACACCCCGAGACCGCGAAACTGACCGACCTCGCTAACCGCATCACACACATCATACTACTTCACTGGCGCGTGTGGGGCCCTATCGCATACGTCCAAGAAGACGAATCGCAACACCTTTCCCTTGATGGAGGCGTGATGCCATCCGCAGTATCACAAACTCAGTCACGACAAGCGCCATCAAACGCCGAACAGGAAGCTTCCCTCCCTACAAGCATGAGGACAGGCGAGCCACTAGAATCAGGCCAAGACACGCACATCACACACCAATCACTTCCCCAATAACACAAACTCCTCTCTTGTTCATTTCCGGATTCTATGGCGTTCAAAAGGTGGGCTATGTGGACGATATAACGGAGCGAGATACACACCTGGCGTAACAATGGTTCTTTGTTCTTTTTTACGATACCAATATTCCCACGGCGCTGCGGCAACAAATATACGTTGTAATAGATTGGTCAGAAAGACTGATTTTTTCTTTACTATCATTAGCGACGTATGTAGCATTAGCTGGGGTTTCATCGGAGCAAAGTATAGTTTATATCATGCCCAGTAAATGCTACGTTCAATATACCATCTTACAGTATAACCTTTTCACATTCTCATTCTGTCTTCGCAACTAGACTCTGATTTTCTACCTGCCATTTGTAACATGATATCGAACAACTCTCAACCCACCACCCAAACGCAACGCGCAATGCGCTCACGATCTAAACTCCAATCACACATCTACCTCACAATTCCACAACAATCTTTTTCGCACTAACCCTCTTCCTCAACACATCAATACCGTGCTGCACGCTCACCAGCCTTTGCTCCACAACCTCAGCATCAGGTTTAGGTTGAATCACTCCCTTCTCCAGCGCTTCAGGGACAAACTCCCCAAACAGATACTCTCCAATAAACTAATTCGGAAAAGCCAGAAACTGGAACGCAATGGAGAACTGCGGGTCAAACCACTCTGAACACATGTCGTGAGCGCATGGCAAAACAACCACGACTTGTACTTTGCTTTGAAGCGTTTCGATTATCTGCTTGACTGTTGTTGGAGCAAACCAACGGTATCTCCAACCACAGACTCGGATTTGTAACCAAACACTTCTTCCGCACCCATGCTCTTCACTAGGGAGAAGTTGGTGGGGGATGTGGTTGCGATGACGTGAAGACCTGATGCGGCGGCGAGTTGGATCGCGGAGAGGCTGACGGAGAAGGACCCGCTCCAGATTGATACCGTTCCTTTCGTCGTCTCCTGTCTCCACTCCGGTATCGGGGTAACTGGTAGAGGAGGTACAGAAGCTGTGTTCCGCGATTAGTTAGTGTTTACTGTTGTGACAGGCTTAGGAAGGAGTGGTTCGGGTGTTGGTGTGTCGATGTAGGAAAGGGCAAGACAAGGAAAGACAAGAAACATGCGCAATCACCCTGTCCAAATGGTATGATTGAGTTGAAGACGCAAGAATTCTTACAGTCTTATGTAGAAGCTGTTCATCAAATACTGATAGGTGTTTGACCCGCGCTACCTGCGTAAGTCCTGCAAAACATTCGCGACACCGGATTCCCGTAACGCGACATGACGGCATAACAAGTTCCCGCCGGTGACTTGATACGGGTAAAGCTGTATAAGAATACGACGATGCTTAGTCCTACTCATTTACGCGCTTGTGTGTTGGAACCGCTAAGTCTGTTTATGCCCTATATGCTTCGGAACTAGAGTGGGTAAAGTTTCAAGACGCCAAGGTATAAAGGTCCGCTGATGTTAATGCCGTTGCCAAATCTTGATATCTCTTTTCTCGAGATACATCGGTTGAAAGATGAAGGATCAAATTCGGAAGTGTAACGCGATGAAGCGGTGCGATGTCGAAGATTTTGCGCATCATCTTGTAGACATGATGCAGTCAGCGTAAACATCTCCTCTATTGGCGCATTCCGAGAGAATTGGCTAAGCCAAGCCGTACGAGTTCGAAGACCGAGATCCATCAGCTTCCAAGGTATGCTCATAAGAAGGTTGCAACTGAACAGCGAGGACATATTGTACTGAAAAAGCCAGCCTTCCAAACACGACCATAGGAAACTGAGGATTAGTTCTCCTGCCCAGGTTGCCGTCTGTCGTGGTACTGTTTTGGGTACGGTGTAATGCGCATTCCTGTTTTCGGGAACTTGGGAAATTTGCACCAAATGAGCGATAACCAGCCTCTAAGAGTACCTAGCAAGTTCGACCACTCTGGAGCGCGTTCAAAGGATTGAGATCCAGAGGTTGCTGATGCTTATCGCGAGCCTTAGACGTGAACGATCCAAACCATGCGCAGCGGAGGCATTTCGGACAAGATTCCAATCGTGCTATCCTGCACCTAGAGCAACAGACATGTAAAAGCTCCTCTTGCGGCAAGAAGGGGAGGAGGCTGCGATAAATACACATGAACAGCACGTCATAGTTTGATCGGGACGATTTCGGAGACTCAACGGCGTGAGCCTTAATTGCATAATCAATCAGAAATGTGCGGCAAACCCTCCCGACGACCTTCCTTTTCGGGATAGACATCTTCCAGAACTCACCCACCACGTCTATTGCAGCGTACCTAATAGCTTTAGCAGTTCGTCTCGGGTCGCAAAGTAGAGGTGGGCTGTTATCACAATGCGAATCCCGATCTTGCCTGAGCGTCTAGACACACGCCGCGGAGCGAGGACGGAGGGTTTATGGACTAGATGCAATCTATTCTATCTGGATTGTAAGGGTTATGCGTCAGGGTATCATCTAAACAACCAACATCTATCACATTCTGCCTCAAACAGCGCCCCATCGATCCTGCGACAAGTGCCCACCACGTACGTGCCTGGAGCAATCCCACACACAAGCTTGTGCAAGCTTTCTTCGATGCGTCGAAGCCTCTCCTAGCGGCTTCTTATTAAAGACACCTAGCCTGATTGATAGCTAGCGTGCCTGTAGCGTACGTTAGTGCTTATTGTGGCTGAGCGGTTCATTGATAACATGTTGGAGTTTGAGCGATCTTCGGGCGTTGCGCGATTGCGGAGGTGGAAACGTCGCGAGCTAAGATGGGTACAGAAGGTCCGACATTGGTGCTTTCCCAAACGTGCTGAGTTTCCTTCCTCTGAGTCTACCCTGGGATCCTAGCAGGTAGTTCGGTGCGCGAACGCGTTCCAAGTCAATGTACGGTCTGTACTGAAGAGACGCCAGAAGAACTTTTTGTTCTTTGCTTGTAAGCGATACCGCGAGCCAGACACCCAAAGACCTTAGAACATATCTCCACAACCACTCGCGGAGGCCTCGGATCCGTCTCCACGTCAGTCTACACGTTGTGTTGCATGACCACACGGAGCGTAACCCTAGGCTTACGAGGGTGGCGTGGTACAAAGGGTCGGTAAATCTTGGTAGGGTATACTATACCAATTATGTGCTGAACGCCGTGCCAGAGGGTCTGATATAGCGGTTCGTGGGCGAAGATAGGCTGAGTCCCTGTGCGCGGATGCAGCCACCAGATGGTCGCCACTGACTGTCTAGCCGCGTCCTCTCTTCTTAAGCTCCTGGCCCTCGTCGCGAACCGATGTGTTTATTACCGCATCTCGCGCACACCTCGCTTCTTTCACTCTTGCCCTCCATCTTGCCCTCCTCTCTTTGATCGCCGTTCGACGTTCCAAACGTTCGCGACTTTGGACGTATTCACTCCGTCTTGAGCCTGGCCTGAGTGTCGCACGGTCCTCGCTGGTTCTCGTTACGTTTTTGCCATCATGAGCCTCGCGCACGAGACTGCCGGGATGGAAAAGAATCACTATGACAACCCACCTCCTGTGCATTACCCCCTGGCGGATCCTGCCAAAGGACATCAGCTCAGTAGCAACGACGAGGATGTCGCTATTGTCGCCTCTGATCAGAACGAGCTTAAGCGCGACTTGAAGGGTCGTCATATGCAGATGATTGCCATGTCAGTCTCGCCGCGCACTCCTTGATGGAATAACTATGCTTTGCTCAGGCTGACATGCTTTACAGTGGCGGTGCCATTGGCTCCGGTCTGTTCATTGGTTCTGCCTCATCCTTCGTCACTGGTGGACCTGCCGCTGTTATCATTGGATTTACCGTCATCGGCATTATGATGTACTTGATGATGCAGGCATTGGCCGAGCTTGCGGTCATGTATCCAATCAATGGAGCCTTCACCATGTACATCTGTCGATTCGTCGATCCATCTTGGGGCTTTGCCTGTGGGTGGCAGTACGCCATTAGCTGGCTCACTGTCCTGCCTTTCGAGATCTCCGCTGCTTGCAACATCATCCACTACTGGCCAGGATCGGAGGGCATCAACAATGCCGCGTGGATCACACCACTTCTTGTGGCTTTGATCGGCATTCAATTCTTCGGTGTCAGGGGTTATGGTGAGGTGAGTGTGCTGCTCTGTGGCCTGCTCCGCTATGAGACAACCGGACTAACATTTCCGAACAGGTTGAATTTGTACTATCCATCATAAAGGTTTTGGCTTGCGTAGGATTCATGATCCTGGGCATTATTATTAATACCGGAGGTGTGCCAACCGACGACAGGGGTTATATTGGCAACAGATACTAGTACGTCCTCCCTACTCGGATCGCAGAGCTGTTTACTGATTCAACTCTAGCAATATTCCTGGTGTGACCTCGGCGGGGTTCCGTAATGGCTTTCATGGCTTCTGCGGTGTTTTCGTCAATGCAGCTTTCGCATACACTGGCACCGAGCTTACTGGCTTGGCGGCAGCTGAGACGCAGAACCCTAGGAAGGAGATCCCCAAGGCTGCGAAGCAAGTCATCTATCGCATCATCCTTTTCTACGTTGTGAACCTTGCTCTGGTCGGCTTAGTTGTGCCCGTTGACAACGAAGCATTGAACGGCAGTGCTGGCGCGAGTTCGCTTCATTCACCTTTCGTAATCGCTATCCAGCTCGCTGGAATCAAGGTTCTTCCATCAATCTTCAATGCCGTCATTCTCATTGCAGTCATGAGCGTCGCCAACGCTTGCACCTTTGGCTCGACACGCACGATGCAGGCTCTTGCGGCGAACGGTGAGTGTTCTACACCACAACATACTAGTCCTTTACTGATCGTAATGCTTATCTAGGTATGGGTCCGAAATTCACCGCCTACATTGATAGGCGGGGTCGTCCAGTCGTTGTGGTGGTTATTCAGCTTCTGTTCGGACTGCTGGCATATATCAATCTCGCTCCCAGCGGCGGAGATATCTTCACCTGGTTGCTGTCTTTGTCTGGCATCACTGTGCTGTTCGTCTTCGGCAGTATTGCTGTCGCACATATCCGTTTCCGCAGAGCTTGGTGAGTCCTATGCTACAGTATGCAAAGTCTGTCTTGGCACTAACGTTATTTTAGGGCCTTGAATGGCCACACTCTTGATGAAATCCCATACAGAGCCTCATTCGGCGTTTGGGGCTCTTGGGTATGCTTCGCCATCAACGCCATTGCGCTCATCGCCCAATTCTACGTCGCGCTTTACCCAGTCGGTGGAACACCTCTCAGCGTCGAGGGCTTTTTCGAAACCTACATGGCGGCACCTTTCCTCATCGTCTTGTACTTGGGGTGGAAGGTCTACAGCTGGTTCAAGTATCCTTCGCACCGTCCATTGTGGATTCGAACGAAGGACATCGACATCTATACTGGCATGAGGCAGGGACAGAGGGAGGTAATCAGCGGCGAAGGTGTGACCGAAGACCAGAGACGCGCGAGCATCGAGGAGATGCGCGACGGGCAGAAAAAGAAGGGTGTCAAGGCCTACATTAGGGCGGCTTATCATACAGTACTTTAGCGGTGGACTTGCCTCGCTGGTGAGCACGTCCACAGAAATGAACAGCTCTCGAAGGTTCAAGAGTCTGGCAGATCCTTGACCAAGTCAATCGCAAACATTGAAACAAAATCTATTGCATGGAACACCTTTGAGCTTAGGATACAGTAGTCTCTAATTAATATCCTTTACTAACGCACTTCGAAGAGATTAGCTAAGCCAGGCCGGACAAATTTGGAGCCCGAGATACATCAACAGGCATTAGCAAATTACTGTTGGAAAATTCGAACAAATGTGTTAAGATTATATTGTGATACAATGGCAACTCTTCCACATACGACCATAGGACACTGAAAATTAGTTCACCCTCGCCATCCGTCAAAACTCGCGGTGCCGTGTTGAGGTCAATTAACTGAGGTTCGTCCTCGGTTACCCGTTTCAGGAATCGCGACTCCGTCCGCAGCCCCCACCACCATAGCCCCGAATGACCATTAACAGTCATTCACCATTCCTGTATGCGTCTAACAGTACTCGCTGCAATAGCAGCGCACTAGTTTAAGGATAAGTTGCCGCCAGGATCGGGCTCACAACCTTCCTGTCCTCCTCGCATTGTCTCCGCTGCAGTGCTACTCCCTCTACGGTCCTAACTTCTCCGTGTGCTTACTATGGCGCCTAAGAAAAAGAGTGAAGATATTGCGCACTTGCACTCTCTTGTTCAGCTCGAGGAAGAGCCAACTCTACTCACGCAGGAAGACGTAAAAGCTATGTTAATTCCTTTAAGCTACAAGTCACACAAGTACACTATAGATCTCTAGATAGAGTAAGTTAAGGGCTAGCATTAGGTGCAAAGCTTTTGCTAGCAAGCTAGATTCTTCAAAACCTTCTACCCTAACGAACCCGTAAACCCTAAGTTTAGAGAAGCACCCGCTGTGTACCGCATTAAGATGCACCTGTTCTGGCTTGCTGCAACAAGAACTGGCTAGCTAGACGAGAACATTACAGACACTACTCTTCGGAACCGCCTGTCTTCACTTAAACGAGCCATCAAGTTATACACTAGTTACTAATATAGCTCCGCGCAGAACAAGGAGCTAGAGAACTACATTATGAAAGAGCTCGTACATAAAGAGAAAATTAGAACTGGGGCTTATATTAAGCCAGTGGCTCCTTTGCTTGTCGCTGAGGATTTAATCCAATTTATGTAGGTGTGCAACGAATATTAATTTGCACATCCACGTGCACGTCTGCAGTTAGCTTTCTCCATCGTCCTTATGACATATTTAGGCAGCCGCCCAGGAGAAATTATTGAATCAGCGGCCTGGAAACACAGTAATAAGGGGCTCCTGTATAGTGACATCACTCTCGTACGTTTCCAAAATGAAGAATACGTAGGGTTTCTTCTTCATGTCAAGTTGCGCAACCGAAAAGGACACCGCAACAATAAAAAGCACTCGTAAGCGAAGATCCCCAAGCGCAAAAGACTCAACTCTAAGAAAAAACAGACCTGTAATGCTTCTCTACGAAGAACCTACGCGAGCTCTATGTCTAGTCACACATTTTTTGTCGTTAGCACTAGCAGACGGAGTGTTCGCGGACTGTTAGTCTTTCCAAGACGTTGCAGCACAGGAACTGCCACTAGGTAGTAAGCTGTATAAATATCGCTACAAGCCGGAGGCGAAGAAAAGACCTATCCTTCGAGGTATCTGCAACAACGGTATAGTCTCCGAAAACGATATCCTCACATACAATTGCTTCAACAACATGATCAAGGGTCTTGGACAACGGGCTAGGTACAAAGATAGGCTGAGTGCATATTGCTTCCGCAGGGCTTATGCTGTAGCAGTAGAGAGTATGTATCACACGATAATATAATGCTTGCTTTTAACTGACCATCTAAAAGAGACGGCAACTCTAGCTTAGAGGAGGTTACTTATGGGTCATTCTAACGATGATACGGTCTTGTATTACATTTCCGGCATTGTTGGAGTTGACAGCCAGTCCATAATCCACGGGCGAGAGCAAAAGACCAAACTTATTGACGAAAACACTTCTATAATGTCGAAAAGGAATCTTCTTGCACCAATGCCTCCTAGATCTTAACTTACTAACCGTGTCATACTAAAAGCTAAGGAGATTAGTAAGACTGTTAAGGAAGTAAGTTTATTAGAACGAACTCCAAGCCAAGAGTATGCTATACGACGGCAATTCTGAAAAGTCGCGTACTGTAAGCAACGGGAGGCTTTTTTCGGGGGAGAAAGTACTAGCTCTCCCGATGATACAACATCATCGACTTCTGGACAAACCACAACAAAGCCTTTGCGTACTCCATCGCGATATCTGCAAGCTCTATTGAAGTTTAAGCCTAAACGGAAAGCTATGTCAAGACTGCTTTACCCTGGCCGCGCTACAGCAGCTGATGTCGCGGCCGAAGGAACTAAGATCTCGCTCGATGTTATACTCGAGCTAATGGTAAAGATCTCTCGTCTGGAGAAGAAGCGGTACGCCTATGTTTCTGCTTTACCCACTAAGGAGAACCGTTGTAGTGTGTGTAGACATCAGTTTCATAAGAACAATAAGAGGTACGTACTCCGCATTATGTTGTGTGCTCTACTAACGATAGCAGATCAAGGCCAGATCGAATAAATGAGCACTTACTTCATTGTGCTCGCAAACAACACATACAACATGCACGAGAACACATAGACCGTCAATTCGCCTATATTCACCGTTGTGCTTAGTACGACTGCAATTTTAGCTTCCGTGGAAAATCTTACGGGACCAACTCTTCTCATGTGACGAGGCATATCTACAATATACGCAGTCACCAGTGTCTATAGAATGCGTGCCTCTAGGTTTTCTAGAGTTACGAGAAGCTTGCTTATCACGTCTCTAAAGAGCATCAAGTCCCTAACGATTAGACTATGCTGACAAAGATGCACTACTGTTACGAGCACGACGAATAGTGCCGTTTAGACGAGCTGTAGTCACAGCATCTTAAACTATACCACTTCTTAGAACTTAACAACTTCTGCGGCATCATCTAGCTTAATAGTGTAATTATAGTTGCCGAGCATTGCCTCTTATGCTTAGGCGATACGAATGCGCCGTTGCCTGATCGCTTTCTGCAATTTAACAGCGCTTTTAATCTGCATACCTATATAAGAAAGCATCTAGCTTAACTAGATGTTCCTCTAGCTGTTTGTCCGCACCCGCACTGCTAAAGCACACTTAGCTCTAAGGAAACGTTCTGGAGCTACGCAGAAACCGTCCATAGCATGCCGCCTTTTAGCCCTCGCCAAATAACAGGAAAGCGCAAAACACTAGACGAGCTTAAGGACTCTGAAGATTATACGAACCACACAGCTGATAGCACGCCAGACCCGCCTAGCAATGACATTAATACATATGCGGAGTAGCGGCGGGCCATAATTCAGCGGCAGTTTAAGATGAGGCAGTGTAGACCTCGTACGACTTGTGGCGCTTAAAGTTAGCGGTACGGACGGTGAGGATAGCAGGATCAAGACGCAGGCGCTTTGGTAACGAGGCGCTTTGGTGACAGGATTAGGAACACAGAAAGTAGCCAAACCTAGAGATACATAAATGACATTGTAGAATTTTCATCTGAACATACAAGCACTTGGTACCCAAAAACCTGCTCACTACATAGCGCTGACCCAAGGTTGTTAACGCTAATAAGTGTCTGAGGTTTCTCTCGCCCAAGCGCCTTCTCATATCCTTGCAGTGCTCGTCCTACGACGGAGCTAGTTCGGTTAGACAACGACAGTAAGAGTTGAACATTCGGATTCTAATGCTCTTCTAATTGCTACAGGTCTGCATGACCACGACATCAACCTCGTTCTAGTACTGCAAACTCTCCCCGCCTGCCGTTCATTGCCATTCAACAGTGGCAGAAAGAACCTCTTTGACGATCTCTCCCAACTTATCACCGGGATTATCCCTACTCTCTCATTATACACATATATATAGTCTCCCTCCTTCATAGCTATTAAATCAACTCAGTCCTTCATGCTCTCTCACCCACTATACCTAATACAACTTCAATGCAGCGCTTGACCATGACCCCAGAAACCAACGATTGGGTGAATCTACAAATTCCCTGCAAGGTCGACGGCCGCGACAGAGGCCAACCATTCACTCCTTTCTCACCCGACTTTTCCCGAATTGTGTCCTTCCAATAAACACCTTGGGCATTCAATACAGGTAGTTTCGTGAAGCATGGAGCAGAACCTAGACTATGTATCTTCATAGGACTTCTCTGGTTACTGGTTCTGATTCCCATCATCGACAAGCACCCATCCAAGTCCTTGCATGATATTCTTCGCTAGAGTTGTTGGAACCCCATCGCGGGCCACGACCCGGACAACAATCTTTTCCAATGAGGATATGGCTTTGAGTTGCTCGTCGATTAAAAACAATGCCTTTTGAAGAGAATCGCCGGTCTCTCTAAAGACACTATTACTTTTGTTGTGCACAAGGGTCTCCAGTGTTGATAGATTGGTACACCTTTCTCTGAGGAGCTTCAAACTTTGCTGGTTGTCGTCTCTTAACTTGACTTCCCCTGTTTGGCCATATACTTCCTCCGAGACCGGAAAGTCAATGCATAGATGAGACAACGACGCAGCGTTCACAGACCCAATGCAGTCTAAGAATGATCGCAGAAGGCCGAGTTGTTGCTGCGTGGTATCCACAAGATGGAAGTGGTTCGTTCCGTAAAGTATAACACTAGCCTCACGGCATATTTGCCGGTTGGTAAGCAGTATTGCAAGCCATAGGATCTCTGCTTCCTCGTATTAGGCAGATATGTGATATTAGCCAGCAAGGATGAGGAACGGTAGGACTGACCAGCCAGCTGCGTTGATCGCAGCGATCAACGTCACCCACTCACGATTGCCTAGCTGGATAGCCTTTGGCCTGCCTCTGCTCTCTAAACCTGTTACAACGAGCTGGGTCTTAATCTTGCCCATCATAAAGCCTGCCTCGGCGAAGTTGTAGACGTCCTCATCGCAGATGCCGTACTTAGCCTTTGTCTGCTCTACGAGCTTAAACCAGCTCCTAATTAACACAGAATCCTCACACAGAGCTCTCTGCCTATCGTACGCTCAATTAAAACGCGTCGTGAGACTGTCTGTACGCCTGACGAAGTTAGCTAGCCACTTCTGCCCAACCTGGCCAGCGCCGCGCGGCTAGCAGCTTATTAACCATATCACGTACAGCTGCGTACGTAGGCGCAAATCAGCGTTTATCTAGGCTAAGTATATACTGAACTATTACCTCCTCTTCTAGCTGGGTGAGCTTCTTCGAGTTGGGCTGGCAATCGCGTCGGGAAGGTCTGCTAGCGCGTTGGCGGTGGAGGGTAGCGCGAGAGACTTCAAACGTCGCTGCAGCGTGTCTCTTAGTCTGAATTTAATCTGTATTAAGAGCTAAGATTGCAAGGTTTATATTAGCCTTACAAGAGGCGTGTTGAGATAGGTTTGGTGGAGCCATAGGCGATTTGAGGATGTAGGGTGCGCAAAGTTGGTGGGGTGGCTCACTCGCTTGCCTGGCTTACTCGCTTATCCGACACGTTATAAAGTTTCGCATACATCTGTCACGGCGCTAGCTGAGGAAGGGGCTAAGAGGCGCGTGACGCTGATTTGCTCCACAAAAGCCGGGTGCGCCAGTCGCACCCGGCGTTTGTACAGAAAAACCTGCAACCGCCGCTCCGCCCAAGGCTCCTTGAGCTACGTCCTTGTCCTCAGCCTGACCCGTACTGTCAGCGATACGTAGTGAATACCGATCACGTGCATCTATCTTCCCTGCCTGCCGCCCCCGTGACAACGTCTATAGAACAATACTCTAAGAAATCTAACGATAATCGCTTTTTTACATGGCGCCAGATGTTTCAGAGTAGGTAGCCTAAGCCTTCCTGTTGCATCTTGTCGAACTACCCTTATCAAGCTTCAAGTTCACATAAGACAGCCAAAACAACAACCTGATTTGTGTCTGCTCCAAGCGGCCTGCGGTTCTCCGATCTTCGACCTGCCACAACGCTTGCGTACCTCGTCAGTACGCATTCTGGAACAGCAGCAACCGTATCGCAGTTATTACGAGGGCAAAACACAACACGTGACGTGACGTCATTGTCGAGTACGTACTTGAGAATTCGCAACTATACGGGCGAGGCAGCCACTATCCACTATGCAGGGCGATTCTCAAGAGTTGGGCAGCTCCCAGCAGGGCCCCAAGATGGCCATCCCTAGGCTTAAGTGTGCTCCACCACCACCACCCACATCAAGTAAAAGGAGTAGAGAGGGCCACGTGTATGTTGTGAAAGTCAGCAGTCCTCTTTTGCCTTCGCGCTGACGATCTTCTAGAGCCCGAGCATGTACAGCATGCCGTGAACGCAGTTAGTGTCTCTCAATCTGCAACTACGTTGAGCTTATCTGCTTACTCGGCTAGAAATCAAATGTTCAGGCGAAGTGCCGCGTTGTTCCAACTGCCGACTGAAGCCATTTAATTGCATCTATGAGCAAGCTCGGAGGGATCGTCTGAGAGAGTATGACCATCAGAAAAAAGTTCTCACTTGCTGAAAGCGTACAGGGCCACACAGCTGAATCACACACTGGCGACCCTTCTCCGGGACTTGAGCGAGCATGTCGATAACGAAAATAAGCAGAGAATTGACGACGCTCTCCAAGACGTGAGTTAGCTCTTATGCGTTACTTCTAGCCTTACCAGTCGTCGTGCATGACTAATTCTTGTTTCGCGTAGGCGGCCGATGACTTAATCTCGCATGCGGCGAGTGCGTCTCTCAATTTGGGAAAGCGCAGCAGAAAGCCATCCAATAGTGAGGACGAGGATGGCGAAGCACATGGTGAAGCCTACGTCACCGCATCGGTCGGTTCAAACGAGGGTCTCGACCATCTCGACGAGGACCTGATGCGTGATCACGAATCGAGGGCTACCGGCTACGTTGGTCTGAATTCTGAAGTCCAGTGGCTCCGTAGTGCACAACGCCAAACCGAAGATACAGGAGCGGAGCCTTATGGTCAACCACATGGGCCGCCAGGCTCGACGCGGAATGCTGCTAGTAAGCGCTCTGATGCTCTCCATGACCGACGAGACGATACCAAAGAGCATTCAAGGCAAGGCTCAATGAAGTATATGAATGACACAACGTTCTACTTGGATAACGACGACATCGGAATGGATATTTTTCTCGATCCTTATGAAGACCCGGATCCCGATGCGGCTGAAAGGCTGTTCAACTGCTATTTTGAGACTGTTCATCCTTCTTTCCCTCTTGTAAGTTCCGCCACGATCAACTGCCAATAGTAGTAGTAGTAGTAGTAGTAGTTGGCTTATTGTTCCTACCTATCAGGTACCCCAAGCCTTTGCAGACCAGTTTCGCAAGTATTTGACTGCACTAAGGCACAACGGTGCATATCAGGTACCCCAAAAGTGGCGAGCCCAAATGAATCTGCTCTTGGCTATAGGCGCGAAATACTCCCATCTCATTAGCGCCGAATGGAGGGAGGATGATCGCGATCATTTGATATATATGACCAGAGCTGCGCATCTTCTCGGCTTGAAGAACACTATCATGATCGTTACAGCGCCGGACATTGAACTGGTACAAGCAGTAAGGATCATACAGCTTCAGTTTTACACTAGCCATATACTAGTTGACTAACTCTCGCAGACCGGCGCATTAGCATTCTACTTCTTAGCGATAGGCCATGTGAGTAGGGCATGGATCATGATTGGAATAGCCATACGGCTCGCGCTCGCTCTTGGTCTTCATTTGCGGAACGAAGATCCTGGAGCCGAAGAATCAAAGAAAGAGTTGCTTGTGCATACTTGGTGGAGTCTGCATTCGACGGAGTGTTTAGTGAGCGCAATCACGGGAAGACCACCTGCTGTTGCTTTCGAAGACTGCACAGTATCTCTACCACGCAACCTTCCAGGCGAACAACAAGAGTCCGGAGACACATCTCGACAATCAGCACGGAGGCGTACCGGATACAACTTGCCGCAAACTATGAGAAGCGGCCGCATGTCCGAGGCTGGCCAACGAGTCCCAAATCAACATCGCTACCTCATTGACCACATCAACATCAGAATCATTTCGCAAAAAGCCTTGCTAGAGCTGTACTCACCTCGAACTGCAGCTGAGTCTTGGGAGGTACGTATCTTAACCTGAATCCGCATACAAAGCTGCGGTGCGATGACCCTCCGGTGTTAGCCTTACGGTTGACACTTGCAGCCACACTCGTTTCCTCCTATCGTTTTTGCGTTTATATGCTAACAGTAGGTGTCCATAGTCCGTTCAAAGAAAGATCTCGGGACTGCTTGATGAGCTCGAGGAATGGTCGAAGGCAGCATTACCCGGGGGTTGCCAAACAGGACAAGAGAAGCACAAGACGAGTCTTGAACGCGAGAAGTTCCTCCTCAAGGCAGACTACTGGAGTACCAAAATGGTCGTTACACGACCATGTCTCTGCAGGATAGAACGGCGTATTCGCGATGAGAGTAACGCATCTGCTGAGTTCAATAAGACAATCGCAAAAGCTTGCGTCGCAGCTGCTTTGGAAATGACCAAACTATTCCCTGATGAGCCGGACCTCGACTTCGTCTATTCTAAGGGGCCGTGGTGGACAGTTGTTCATCTTAGTAAGTCTTCATCCAGCGTGAAGTATGCAACATGATTTAATTTTATCCGTCCAGTCATGCAGTCAATTGCGGTACTCATACTAGAAATGGCCTACGGGAACAAGGACATGGAGAGCTCTGAACCCAGCATGGTCGTTTCCATAAAAAAACTGATTCGTTGGTTGCGCGCAATGCAGCATAACGATCCCGTCGCCGCTCGAGCACACCATGTCATCAGAGGAGTCCTCAAGAGATGTGCTCCGGCTCTGCAATCTCAGGCTAATGAACTTCTCACCCTGTATGAAGAAAGAACCCCAGAACCTCATACTTATCAGCATTATCATTATCATCATATCCCACATAACGCTCAGCAAACTGCGCAAGTGCCACAAGGGAACTTTCAACTTAACCCAATGGATAATAGTGGCACTTTCAATCCTCAGCCTCTCCAGGACGATGCACTGGACAATCTGCCTGCATATCAGGGTGATTTTGACCAGTTCTACCCGCAGCACGAACTCGCAGCATCGATGGCCTTTGGCAGCCCATTTTTCACGAACTTCGATTATGGCGTACCGTTTGTCAACATGTCAGACCTGTGGGTACAACCTGGACCTTCCGATGCTTTCGATCCGAATTTGCCACACGGAAATCCATCACAAGATAGTCGCGATGGTGGGCATGGGCCGAATATGGGATACGCGCCACAACAGCAAAGGTTCGACTATTATCCACCACGAGGATAGTTCGGGCAGTAGTGGCATTCAAAATGGTCGTAGTCTCCCAAGACTCCTTGGTATACCCACGTCACGCTGGTCACCAGTCTAGATAAGATTCTCTCATAATTGTTCGTGAATCAACGTCTTCTGGGCGCTGGGGCACCTAGGAAGTCATATCTCGAGACTGACGAAAGCTTTAAATGATTGGTAGGTGCGTTGCTTGGCTAAGAGATAAGTTTCGAGGACTCAAAGGCTGCAAACATTCATTGGTCGTTTAACGGTTTTGCTAGGCTAGGCTAAAATCATTTGAGCTTCCTGTATCTCCTAGTTATAATCATACTGTAAAGCTGCCAGGTAGACAACACTAGAAGGCTCAGCTGGTTGCGCTTCTTCCTAAATTGTTTTGTGAGTCAATATCAGCCTGCACGGCTGCTTCGTGAGCGTGCCTGCCTTCAATATACTAGATCAGAAGCTGTAATTAGACAACCTGTGGTAACGTGCTCAAAACAAGAGCTCAGGACGAATAGAACTCCTTAGCCTAAGTAACTAATGCAAAGACGCAGTTTATCAGCTGATTACATTTCTTCCCTTTTGCGGGATGTATCACGCCAAGACAAGTAGTTAATTAAACATTCAGTCAAGAATTGCCACCACAAGCAGAGAGGACGGCCGACCCGCACCGGCCACAGGCTTGCTATAGGCGGGCGCACTGGATGGCGTTGCGAAGAGATGACAAAACTTTGGGGGTGTAAGAGTTATCGTATTGTCAAGGTGAGACCTAAGACTAAGTACTGACGCTAATTAGTCATGCAACATCAGTCACATGACCACTGTCTTCATCGCCCATCTTGACAAGAGATACAAGGGTCATCCTCGATGACAGGACGGCATGCAGCTTTAGAGAGCGTATTCCCATAGTAAGCATAATTACCATCAGATCTCTGCTTTACCCTTACCCATCGCTCATGAGTATGGAAGATCCGAACTCCTCATCATCCTTAGAGATTAAACTGTGGCACCTTTCTACAGCCCTAATAATTACAGTGCTCATGCAAGGAGCCATTCGTTGTACAACTGTACGACAGCTACATCCCTAAAATATGCAGACCCTTTCCCCCTTTAAGCATGCATGCAACGACGGCGTCTTTTTAGTAGCACTCACTCCGCTTGCTGAAGCCTAGACTTAGATCTTAGTACTCTGTATTATGTTAGCTAGTCCCTGTTTCCTGCCATGCCTGCTGTGTAAGACCTGCCCACCATGTTCTTTGGACGCCACATAACTCGTAATATTTTTGTTTCAACGAGCTATAGCACTATTCGGTTAC